ATTCGTGTTCGTCATATCAACGTCTAATGCAAAACGTTTATTTTACAATAATGACAACGATATGGAATTGACAGATAAGCGAGCTCGAATGTTTCTTCGTTCAATGACCAATAATGATGATACAGCATCGCTTGATACTCGCGAATTCGGAAAGAATTGTGTTGCCTGCAAACTTGGTATCAATCCTTGTTGTGCACCAAACATTTGTATTAAGAAACGATTCCGTCCAGATGAATGTATGGAAATCAAAACCGGCAAATAAGATGATTTATTAAATAAAACTGAGTTTATTTTTAGTTAGCTAAAACAAATTACATTTTTGTTGCTTTTAAGGTTATATCTTCTTTGAAAATAAAGTTTTTTTAGTTCTTAAATAAATATTAAGAATTTGTAAAATGAAATATTTCAAATGTATATCCTATGATATGAGCTTCAGAAGGAACTGTCAGTATCGTGTTTGAAAGAAACAAATAATCGATAGCTTTGGAGGGGAATGGTGTGCGAGTAGTTTTGTTGATTTGCATATATTTGTCGACCTGGATCAATAGATGAATTGATCCCTGTTGAGGCATTGTAAATCAACAACCAGCTTGCTCCAGAACTGAGAGCTGTATAATTGGTTGCACGAGTTCCTTCAAGTGTGATTGTTATTGGATCACGATTCGAATAATCATTTGCAGCAACTGGTATAATTATAGTTTATCCCGCCAGCTATGTATCACATTCGTATCAGAAAACTATTATAGTTTGTGCTTCTATGAATATTTTTGCTGGCAATATCATAATTGAAATACTATTTTATGTATGTATAACATTGAGAGAAAAGAAAAGAACTTGTTAATCTAAAAACTTTACGGAACCGTGACTTCAGTGTTTTGACCGAAATTCGTTCAAAATATCTTCACTATTTACATCATAAATACTACGTTCAACAAGCTATTGGTAACCGCTTACGAAAGTTAGAACAAAGAAGTTTTGCTCCGAAAAAGTTGAACCAATTGAAATACTCCGCGTTTCTTTATGCAACTCCTAATTTCTGCGGTGACTATGCGCATGTAAATAAAAAGCACAGTACTTGTCGTTATGCTTGTTTTAGTTGTGTTAGTATAAATGATTGCATACGTAACAAATGTCAGAGCATTCAAAATGGCTCTAGAAATTAAAGCGACTAGAAATATAATCCATCGTTTCTCTCTTGATTTTAAAGCAGGGCAGAAGAGGAATTTCTCGTTCCTTTCTTATTACGAGTCTTCTCCATAAGTAGCAGGTCAATTAATTATATTTACGACACATATAAAGGTAAATGGTAAAATTTAAGATATTATTCTAAAGAAACTGATGTAGATTCACAGCAGCCGTAGGTGAGTACTATGCTAGAAAAATAGGAAGCAAATACACAAAAAGAACGATTGCTCTGTAATAGGGAAATCTCGTAAATATCAAAAATCTATATCAATAATATCAAGGTATCGAAAGTGCCTTCATTTTACTGCTGTTTTTCATACTGTAAGATCCGATTAGAAAGACTTCAGTGTAATAGCAACAATCAAGGACTCACTCAAACGAAAATCATTTTCCTCATGTTGCTCTCCTAGTACACTGATAGTTGGAGACGAAGTTTGAATATCTATTGTTTGTCATATGAAAAAAATTCACTTTGTGATAAATATGAAATACTTTCTCATACCCATTGATTATGAACATGGTCGAGGGGTACCGACGGACTGAGAAATAGGAATTCCTATTTCTCAGCTCATATGCATAGGATTCCAAGAGTTTTCGCACCTCTGTGTCATATAGTTTCGCTCTCTTAAATAGCAATTTTTATCTTCATTATTATTTTATGCAAATCCATCATTCAAATAAGGGCCTTTCAATCAGTAGCATATATATCCTAAAACAATAAATAACAAAAATATAAACGTTCCTCACGATTCCTAAAATTCTTCACATGGCTGGTTTCGACAATTACATCTGATACACAAAGTTCTACTACGTAAAATCCCACTAGAAAATATGTTCTTATCATATTATAGTAGAAATAAGCTATGAAAATAGAGCAAAACTAATAACATATTATTCAAGTAATTCGAGTTCTTTCTAAATCATATTTAGTCTTTTATTCACTTTTATTTGTTCATGGATAATGAAAAATTGTGAAAAGAAAACTTTCTAATCTAATGAGTGGGTTATATCACCATATCGTTTTACGGTAAGCATATAGTGACTCCCTAGAAGAGAGAAGAAAACGATCGTATAAAAAGGCCCACAATTTCTGTTGTATCTCAGTTATTCAAACTGACATTTGCTGTTATTGCAATACTCCTCATAAAAAACCATTATGAAGACAATTATGTTGCTCGTTATTTTTGCATTCGTGTTCGTCATATCAACGTCTAATGCAAAACGTTTATTTTACAATAATGACAACGATATGGAATTGACAGATAAGCGAGCTCGAATGTTTCTTCGTTCAATGACCAATAATGATGATGACAGTAATGATGATACAGCATCGCTTGATACTCGCGAATTCGGAAAGAATTGTGTTGCCTGCAAATTTGGTATCAATCCTTGTTGTGCACCAAACATTTGTATTAAGAAACGATTCCGTCCAGATGAATGTATGGAAATCAAAACTGGCAAATAAGATGATTTATTAAATAAAACTGAGTTTATTTTTAGTTAGCTAAAACAAATTACATTTTTGTTGCTTTCAAATTTCATGTGCAAAAAAAGCGTACTTTATATTCTATTTGAAAATAAAGTGTAATTTCAGTTCTTTTAATAAATATTAAGAATTTGTAAAATGAAATATTTCAAATGTATATCCTATGATATGAGCTTCAGAAGGAACTGTCAGTATCGTGTTTGAAAGAAACAAATAATCGATAGCTATGGAAGGGAATGGTATTCAAGAAGTTTTGTTGATTTGCATATATTTGTCGACCTGGATCAATAGATGAATTGATCCCTGTTGAGGCATTGCAAATCAACGACCAGCTTGCTCCAGAACTGAGAGTTGTAGAATTGGTTGCACGAGTTCCTTCAAGTGTGATTGTTATTGGATCATGATTCGGAAAATCAATTGCAGTCGCGAAAAGAATGCCGATAGCATAGATGCATTACTTATTTCGGGTGTGACATAAAAGCCAGTATTAATTCCACTAGAATCTGAACTGATGCGATCCGTGGTTGGATTTCCAAAGTTAAAATATTTAGTACTAGTCAAACCATCTATAGCTTTAGTTGGTTCTTTATTAGTTGGATAATTAGCTTTGAATGCACCAGTAGATTCACCAGTGATTGTATTACATATGGCAAAAATGGAATCATGTACTCCTGCTATAGTCACAATTGACTGCGCAGTGGTTGTGACAGCTTGAAATGTGTATAAATAAAAAGACTACATTTTGTATTAAGAAGTTTTAGAAGGTGTTTCTTATGAATATCTTTACTAGGAACATCGTGATATTGATCGTAGTTCAAGTATTATTTTATGCCAGTAACAATTTATGCAATAAAAAAAATATAATATGCAAAACGTTTTTTCAAACTATTTCCTGTAATTGGAACAAAACTTATTCATCGAATTCTAATTTAACATATGCTCACACGTATAACGTTAGACATGATATCCAATTTAGTTATTCCTATTTTAATTACTTTTTGTTTGCAATAGTGATAAAAAAAACAATTAACTGAAATGTAGATAGATAATGGCAAAAAATCTACACGTAAGGTTAGTATTAACATAAATCTTTGATCTTCAAGTAAAATATTACATAAATGTACATTAAAAATCAAGGATTATATACTTTAAGGCAATTTATAATATAGTTCAATTTACAGGTTGTTTTCATTATAAAAGTCTTCTGAAAAATTATTTCCGATCGGGAGTAATTATTGGACATGACTTCTCTGATGGCATTACTACTAGATAAACACATTGCGTTTGTAAGCATGTACCGAGCAAGATGAAATCTAAATTTTCATTATTCAACGCATGAAAAATAGACTAATACATACACTATTTTTTATTTCATCAAATATATTCTATTATATGCCATGTACTGACGACACAATATTTATTGATTAAGACTTTAATACAATAGTACTAACACAAGGATTCACGTCTATTTGATCTTATGCTGGTATAGTTTCATTATGTTCTTCATCGGATACCATTCTTGTAGTTTAGTAAATTATCTTATTGATGTATACGTTCAGTTCCTGTCGAAAAGCTTTTGATAAGCATACAAATATGAAGAAAGTTGCACCATAGGGAATGTAGTGAAGAAACGTACCGAAACTGTTTAAAAAATTGTTAATAGCTTGATCCAAAGGTGTTTACCGCTGATATCTTACTGTCGTACCATAAACTAAACCAACGGCGATGGCAATACTACAGATGTAGATTATGTTATGAGCGTATAAACAACGAAGTAATTGAAAATCTTTTTTTGCGTATCGGTTGAATTTGTTTACTTTGTTGTTGACGTGGGATGGTTCGAGTACGTCGAATATTTTTAAAAGAAAGAATTGAGAAAATTATCAAGCTAAGAGGTTCAACTATACTGATGATTAGTGTTGAATATATAAAAAAAATGGGCATAAAAGTTTGAATTATCATAGTAACATACAAAGTAGGAAGGAGCTAACTGTTGAAGATCAAGTTTAATAAGTACATGGTAGACAGCCTAGTTTTTAGAGAATTAAATTCTGTAGCAAACGGCAAGGTGTGGAGCATTTTTCCAAAAAGTCCTGTTTAAAAGATTCAAAATACGATTTTTGAAAAGCCTTAACTACGATTTACGACGCCAAAGTTCCATTTTTTTCAAGAAAAAAAACTATTAGATACATAACCATCACAAAATAACCATCTAATGATCTATAAAGATCTATTGGTCTGGAAAAACAATTTTGAATACTTTGATCATCGCAGTATCACATTACGTGGACAAGCCGTTCTGTTAACTTGAAAAGCTATTGCTCGACTTTTGCATCAAAGTAGGAGCAAAGAAAAGTATTTTTTGTTATTTTCTAATCTTCTTTTTGATACTGACTATTTTTATTTTTACTGAAGCTCAATAAAAAGAAGACTTATTTTCTGCTTGATACTTTGATAAAAATTCCACGGTAGAAAAGAATATGATGAGCCTCACCTAAATTAATGACGCTCCGTCGCCCCTACTCGAAGGGTTGCCTTTTAGGATTTTCATCAACGTTTTGTTATTCAATATTATAGATTCGATGGTTTTTACTTTATGAACAAGTTCTCGAATTGGAAGATTAATACAAGCATCCAAAAGAAATATCCGGGCAAAGTTTTTGAACAAATTAATGTTTCAATCATTGATCATTGCATTTTGGATGAATTTCGATCATAAATATTTTTAAACGTTCAAAGTAATCTAACATAGATTCGTTATCGCCTTGAAATAAGAGGCGACCTTCTGTTCGAAAATGTTGGATCTTGGCAGGCGTACGAATATGTTTCATAAAATTGTACTTTAAATTCTTCGCAACTATAATTACGTTCGTCATATCTTTGCATTTGACCGAACCAAATAAATGCGCCTTCATAAATGGCTTGTTAGATAGTATGTAGAAGATAGTTGTTCGTACCTGCGAGCTATGAATATGATTATCACTCACCTAGTTTTAGATTCGAATGAAAACTGATGATCGACTATGAGTGCGTGTTAATTGATCGGGTAAAACATGTGGTACTAGAATTAATGGATGATTATTCGATGACTGTGTTGACATTAATGGTAATGGTTGAGTTGAGTGTGATGCTGATTGATTATTATTAATTTGTGAGTGTGCTATGGCAAGCTCTAATTTAAGACGATTAATTCCTTCTTGTATTTGAAAATGTTCTGACAAAATAGTTGAAGAGTTCTCGATCTGTACTGATTGACTTGAAGCAGGTCTGGCGTCGGTGTTGCTGATTGTTCGACACGTGCAAGACGTGCGGAAAATATTTTTAATTGATCTCGAGTATTATCAAGTCTGATATTCTGAGGTTTATCCGTTGTGTTTCGAGTAGTATAATCAACTTTCGAAGAATTAGTAATTGCTGGTGTAGCTGAATGACGAGATGATCGAATTAAATCATCGATTTCATCAAAATAACAGTGTTCCATTGATGACATAGAATTTGATGATGAAGATAATATTTGTGATGGCGAAGGAATCTATGGTGATTCAAACTTTCAAGTAAGCAATTGTGCAAAATAATGGTTAGTAGACTGGCGGCAAACAGAACTCACACGCCCATCCTGCTGAGATCGCCACTTGTAACATCCTCAATTTTGTCAGCTGAGGAACAACTATCCAAAATGCCAGGTGCGACAATAATTAGTTACGGTAGAATGACAGCAATGAAATAAATGGTATTGAATATGGATGAAGATCGTATATGTTATTCAATGAACAAGATAGATATGAGAATAAGAACTCGACAAGCAAGTATCTAACACAAGTAGAGTCATCGTAAGGAACAATCGAGTTGAAATGATAAGCGAAATGTATTGAAAGAATGAGTGTAGGTATATCTCAGAGAAGAGAGATATACGAAGAAGCTTCAAGAAAACAAAAGAACAATAATATGATTATACTTTTAATTGTCAATATTAAGCACAAAAACAAACAAGAAAAAGAGAAATAAACAAGAGTCAATATAAAATCATCGATGATTGTACCGTCGCTCCTCCCCCTCCCCGATGCCGCATTCGTTTCTTCATTGTCACCATACAGAGAAGAAATAGTACGCTTATTTAAATTTTGCAATGAATGTACTTGACACGGAACTTAAAACAAAAATAAGAAACAATACAAATAAGAAAGAAACATCTTGCATTACCTCTTGGAATATAGTCGAATTTTAATGTTTCTAAAAGTCTAGTTTTTTGTGTCAATATAATATTGATCGTTGTAGCACAGTTAATGAGAAATGGGAAAATCGGCGCTCGAAATGATACCATTCGATCTATGACTTCTAGTTCAAGAGCAGGTTCTGTCCATTTATCATTGAGTCCCTCAAATTCGAATGTAACTTGTAACTCTATACAAAGAAAAACTACAAGAAGTTAAGAAACAAACTTGATTTTTATCTAACCTCCATATTTTTTAAACTGAAGTCTATTTTTATAGAAGATAAGTATTTCATCACTACTATCCGCATAACCAAATTTCGGTGCATATTTGTGCACACGACAATCGGACTCTTCTGGTGAATTGAATCGTACAGAACTCGTGCCAGAAGGTGTACAATTTGCGTATGATTCTTTACCAAATTGTTGAATAAGTTCGTCTGAGAATACTGTTGTACGATGATATATAATCCATATAGTATCGTTATCGTTAGTGTTCGTTGCTTTCTTTCCTATACTAATTGCTAATTGAGCTTTTTCAAGATTAAATTCTTTAATTGTATCTTTTATAGATAATAATTGTGAACTGGATTCGTTATCTAAAAAACAGACAAGGAAAATTATCTTTTCATTTTCATGTAGGATTTAACCAAAAACTTACTAAGACAATTGAATACTTGCAAGTTACCATAATTCTTCAGATCATCTGCTTTTTTCTTTACAATACGTAAATTAGGAAAGCTAAATTAGAGAAGAACACGTTTTTTTTTAATTTTCTTTTATTTTTCTTTACTGTCAGTACCTTTTAATTCCATCAATATCTCCGATTTGAATGGAATACCAAATACTATTATGACTTCTATCATGATAACCTTGATTTTCAACATCTTCTAGTTCATATGGATGTATATAACGATATTTTGTTGTCTCGCTTTCAACGGTCACAAGAGAAATACAAATATAATGTTCGTCGGTAGGAATCATATATTGCTTTGGAATCTAGAAGTAAAAGACAGCGTAATGTTGTTGGCAAAAAAATGTTAAAGAAAATATACTCGAATAGTTGGATATTGATAATTTAGATTATTTGTACTATGAAGAACTCCACGACGCTTTGTTTTACTGACATAATCGGAACGGTATCGTAATTTCGATGTGTAACATGGCTGTCCGATGATCTCAAGTAATCCGGAATCACGTGGATTTTCAAATGAAGTAGAGTAGAATGGCAAGGCTGTAAAGATAGTTAAGTTAATATATTGTAATGAAAAGTTGTTCAAAAATACTATTTGACGAGCTTGCACACATAATGAATATACGTCTTTACTTGAATTCTATATAAATAAATGAGTATATGTATTCTACAAAAGAATAGAATAAAAGCCATATATATATTCCAATTAATAGTAATCTCGAATAAATTTGAAGGGGGATGAATATTTTATTTCTGTTTCATGCAAATGATTTTACAATAGAAAGACACCGAAACAATTTTTAAATACATTTCTTGAAGAAAGTTGGGGTAAAATCGTTGATTCCAAATAGGGTCCCTTTTTTCTCAGTCTGCATACTTTTGTGGGTAGTGCCGCAAGTATACTGTGGATAAAACTATAGTTTGACTAAAATTGAAGTCTCTGTCTTTCTCTATTTACGCAATCATGTAAATAGAAATGCGTGAGTAAATACAGCGGAATAAAAAGAAAATAACTTACATATAAAATAAAGCCTAATAAAAGAACATGATCATGCAAAGCCATATCAATATCTATTCAATGTTTTATAGGCTTTCTTAGCAAACAACAGTCATTCTCTAATCAATTTTATCATTAATTCATAGACAAGTGCTGCGTTTTTTCGTAAGATAAATTTCTCAACGGATTTGAAACAGTGTCTTTCACAAAACTAGAGTAGATGTCTAATTCGAGTTCGAAAATAAATGGAAAAAACGCCACTTCCGTGTTATTTTAGCAAAACAGCAAAAGAAAAAGTTTCATTTATAAATTTATAAATGAAACTTTTTCTTTTGCTTTTTTGCTGCAATCAACATGGGTGCGGTCGTTTTTTTTATTAAATTATATTCGAAGTGGTAATGATTACTTCATTCTCCATTTATAATCGAATTCGAATTAGACAACTCATGCAACTACTTTTGTATCTAATGAAGTCGCATTTTGAGAATTAAGTCCGTAATCAAATATTGACCCACTATTTCCTTTGTCAAGAGGATAGTAACCAAGAACACCTGTATCTCATAGAATTCTATCACCGGTTTTAGCTTTTAATGAAATCGATAATTAATCTATTATACCTTGAAATCCATAGTCAATTGTCAGTGTTACGTTTTCATTATTGGAAATCGTCTTTGGTAAAAATGGTATTTGCCCAGAAAGTTTATCATCGACGAATAATGTTATGCTTTCCTCAGATATATCTAAAACAGTTGCAATATAATCTCATTGATTAATTGATAATGGATCTTTCGAATGAACTGTATTATTATAGTTTAAATAAAATTTTGCATAACTCATACTGATATTAAATGACATTCCAGATGAAAATTGAACCAGACTTGCATTTATCGAATCAGTAAGAAGAAAAATGAATGCTTCAATAGTAAAGTTTGTATTATTGAAATTAAACGAGTTTCCAATAGATATCCAAGTCGTTGATGAATCATTCACGAGGATAGCTTGACCAGTACCAATATAATCATCTATATAATTCTTCATGCCTCCTCTCACTTTTCCATCATGATTGCGATAAAGATCAACAACATTCTGATCGAAAGAATAAAATGCATAAGCAACAGAAACTGGAGAAAACACAGTTATATTACTATCATAAGTTTTTGGCGGCTACAGATAGACACAAAGAAAAAGAAAGAATACAAAAAAGATACGAAATGAGTTTTATTTATCCGTAGTCGTTGCAGTTGTTGATCCAGAATCACTTTTACGAGTTCCTAAGAGTGTTGCCAAAAGAACAATGAGAATGATAATCAATGCTGTTAAGACGGCACCGAAGATGAATCGCTTTTTCTTATACCAAGGACTATATCAATGAAATAAAAATTGAAAAAAAAATGATAAATGTACAATTCACATACCGCGTTGGTTGTTTATTATAGAAAACTAATGACGAATCCTATGCAGAGAGTGAAAAGGAATCCATTACGATGGCTATAAAAAAATTAATTACGTAAGGAAAATCAGATTCAACTGATGGAAAAAGTTGAGCATCTATTTATATAAATTAAACAATAGATTTAACATCAATAATGAAATGAACATATACCTTTAAATGGTGGTTCAAGAAGAATATGTGGTGGAACTTTTTGTTGTAAATGAATAATGTATAAATCGGGTGCTGGATTTAATCGAGATTTTACTTCACTTCAAAATAAGGGGAAAATGACATCTCATCTCATCCCATTTTTACGATCTCCCGGTAAATTAGTATGCTTATGGTCTCCGGACATGAAGAAAATGTTATGGTGTTCGGAATGGAGTTCGTAAAAGAAATACAACAAAAATACAGGGTGTTCGGAATGAAGCCTGTGCAGGAGTTCGGAATCAATTTTTACAATAGCTTTTTCAACGATTATAACCATTGAAAAAGCTATTTTCAGAATTGATTCCGAACTCCATGTAAATTTTTCTCTTTACGGACATCAAAATTTGGCTGAAAATCGGAGTCCGGATGTTCGTAATGACGAAGACATGAAGGTCGTGATAAAAAAAAACGACACAATTGTCGTAGGTATGTTAAGGTTTGTTGATTGTGAGAGAATATGAAGTGATATGCTAGTCTCGTAACCTAAAATCATGTATAGAGAACGTTTCGATGAATTCAAGCAATCAAGCTTCTGCTTCTGTTCACTATTATAATTCTAGTGTTAGTTATTGTTTTTCTAATTCCTTCAATACACTCTATTACAAATATCAGTTTTATTGAAAGAAAAGGAATATATATTTATTCGTAACTATAGTGCGAATGTACATCATCGTTCTATTTATGTTTCGATGAATGTTGACGCTTCTTGACTCTAGCTGTTTGTTTATTCTTCGATATTGTAGCAATGAGACCAGGTTCAGATAATGATGTGGAATAAGACGACGAAACACCAGCAGTATGATCGTTGGGTCTAACTCTAAGACGACTCAATATTGGAATTGAACGTAAATGAGGTGCCGGAGCACCTTGTTCAGTTGTTGTTTTCAACACGTGTTGTTGCTTTTGTTTTTTAATCAGTTTATTATTTTTATTCTTCTGTTTCTTTAATGGTGGCGATTGAGAACTTTCATCAGAAGATGATTGTGAAGAAGAAGCACTCTTCTTAGTACCTGATGATAATAATGTCGTTTTTCTTGATGATATAACATTCTTTTGTGCACGTGGTGTATGCGTCGATGTTGGTGCCAAAGAGAATACTGTGGGCGCTACCACAGTTTCTTTTGAACGTTTTTGTGATTGTTGTTGTCGTGTTCCCAACTTTGTAACATCATAATCGACATTAGAGCTGTCTCTTGCTGCTGCAACATTATTATTTAATAAACGAGATATGAATTCGCATCTTTCACGACCAATCAAATATTTTGAATCTTGTACGTATTGAAGACAATCAGCAAATGGAGGTAATTTTATGAACATAGAGACTGTTTTTGTTCTACATTATATAAGATTTCACTTCTATCGGAGCCAGGAATACTGTTATCTCTTGGTTTCATGAATAGATTAAAAGAAGAAAATTAGACACAACTTCGAAAACTATAGCACATAGAGTATAGGTAGAGAAAGAATAATCTTCTACTTACATAATTATGAATGTAATCAAATGTACAACCTATTATTGTTTATTAGAACAGAAAGTCTGGATATCAATTACAATATCATTATAAATTCTTTTACGAACTCCATGTTAAAGTACCCTTAGAATAACTTTCCGAACACCCGACCATATTCATTCCCCTCTTCGAGTGTTACATTAAATATAGCAAAAATACCCCATTTCGAACATCCGGTAAATATATTACGATCTTCCTGCTGTCTCTTACGATCTCCGGTACATAGGTGTTTACGAACTACCGTCATAAATTTCTACCAAAAAAAAATCATCTCCTAACACCCGGTAACATTTACCGGTGTTCGGAAGAGGTGAGACGAAACGTAAGGCACCCAAAATAAGTTCCTGGTAATAATAAAATTTCGTCTTCAGTAGTAAAATGAGCATGACCACGAATGGTTCGAGCATTGATTGAATCAATAGAAAAGAGAGTTCTTGTACTTTTCTTTCCCAAATATAGGTCACTTTCAAGTACACCCAATAATGTTGTACAAGATGAAAATGCCCACCATGCCATTTCTGTATCTGGTGAATGATCTAGACTTTGATCTTTTTTATGCCACGCCAACTATTTGACGAGGAGTTGATAGTATTTTAGGTAGGGCTGAAAGGAATAGTTTTAAATATCGAAACCATGGTCGAAGTTTTGTTCAATCAACTTATTTTAGTGTTCGATTAAGATGCATATAGACGCTTGCAAGTGGTTGCTCAGGAATATGATCCCATTCCATGGTATACAGACGAATAGCAGCTGATTCATCTTGTGTAAGATCATCTTCTAGAGCTTTGGAATTTTGTTTAGCTACCCATATATGAGCTGGTAAACGTGGAACAACATTAACAAGAGGTTCACATGTTTCTTCTAATGATAGAAGTGGTTCATGAACATAGCCAGTTATTGGTTGTAGAACTTGCTTTGGTTCATCACCAATACCCGATATATAACGTGGATTAACAGATTCCAATAAATCGCCCCCCGTAACCTTACTTTCACAACGTTTATGCTAATGTATTAATAATGAGGTTTGAACTTCTTTTTTAAATGTTAAATATTATAATGATAAATACATGTTGATATGCATCTAATGTATATCAAAGATAGTTATGAGTAACATCGTTCATTATTGATAAGTAATATACTCGATAATCCTTTATGGCTTCTCAATTCAGTGCTAAATTTTAGGCAGAATAATTATTTATTGTAGAACTTTACATGACTTATATTTTTTCCAGAGATACGATTTATTCTATAATGATACACAAAAAATAATGGTCAACGAAATTGTTTTATATTTTATAATTACATCCAAAAGAAAAACAAATTGTTTTCTATTAAATTTTTGAAGATGCTCATTTCTCTGATTTTTTCAAAAAACATTTTTCCAATGCAAAACTTTAAAAAATGAATTCAAAAACAGCCACTAATCAGCATTGCTCTAGCTGTTCTTTTCTGTGTTTTTGTTTCTAACTTTCTCCAAGCAAATTGATATTATCACTTTCGACGGTCACTCCTAATATTTTACAATCCATTCTTACACCAATATATCTACCTGATTTATGTAATGTTCGTTTTGATTTAGAATTTATATAAAAATATTCATAAAGTATCTTTAAGAACCAAAAGAACGATAATATTCAAGTAGCATTTATTTTCTCTTTTTTTGATTGCAAGGATGGTTTCTTACTGTAAACTTACGATAGATCATAATGATTTACTTTTATCACGAAAGAAACAATTCATTAGTAAGAACGAACAAGTTTCCAGGTCGAGGTTTACGAAGTCTATATACTGTCGTTTACAACCGTGCTTGTTCGATTTGAGTTGGTGAAAGAATGGACTTCATCGCCATTCAAACAATCAATGTTGAGACCACTCGTTGTGTACACATCATTGAAGCAATACATGATTCACTTGTTATTTGATTGAAAAGTAAACAAAAGGACTTCTTGATAAAGTTTTTTTCCTGAAAAATCGTCTCTTCGCTAATTCACTTTTATTTAATAATTCATAAAAGATAATTATATTACAAAGTGTCGACTGATACCAAATGATTCATACGACAAATAAGGTGTGAAAATAAGACTATTCTTAGTAATGCCTATCGACTGTTTATCTGTTCTAATCATTGTCGACTCAACTTACTAAATCCAAATTTTAGAAATTAGCAGATTTTTCTTGGAATTTCATCAGTCATTCGATGGCTGGTTTCTATCTAACAAGATTCAACTAGTTGTTCTTGTACATCTTTTTCTCGTTTCCAAATCAAGATGATGGTGAAAGAGGGTTTTCTTTTAAGTGAATTACAAATCAACAAAAAGATGATAATTTCATTAGCAATAATTAAAATACATGATAAATATTTTGAGAGGATGAAATATAACTAGTGTTATATCATACTAATGTCCCCCAAGAATAGCACAGACAAAATATGAATTGAACATTTATTGGCTCAAAGTTGTGGCATTCATAACATATAATGTGATCTTTTTTCTGCACTATTTTTATACCCACACAATGATGATTAGAAATGTCGTCAACGATTTCAAGATGAGAATAGCTCATACCATGGAATTATGTTTTCTTTCTTTTCTGTTAATAATGAAATTATAAATGAATTGATAATCACTGGTTATTCATTGCTCCATAGGCCATCCGTTGCTATCGCTTTTCTTCCCTTATAAAATTAGAATTAAAAAACAATAGCTGGATGATTCTCCACATGCTAGGATATTTTTCAAAAGAAGTGACAACTTTTTTGGAAAAGTCATGAAATAAACCTGGAATTTTTTGAGTATTGTGTCTCCATCACATGTCAAAAATGTCATTTAATTCGAATACATCAAGTTGAAGGAAATTTGTTTTTGTGGAGATGTGATCTTATCTCTGTATGTTAATGAGAAAGAAAAGAGTTCAACACCCTCCAATAAATTATATGCTAACAAAAAAAAGGCATAAAATAAAGACAACATTTTTATATATCATTTTAAGGTTTAGCTAATCTTTAATGGAATCTATTTATTCACTTCTCTATCATGTAGACAATTAATTAACCTAATATTACAAGTAAAACATCTGATAAAATTCATAACATTATATCTTTCATTATATACTATGATGCATAGCTGTCTAGTTAGACTGCTAGACTTTCTTTCAGACAAATATACTCATGTAGTTTTTTTTCGTTCACTTGCATATGTCAGTGATAAAATGTAAATCAATGAAAGTATCAATGATCAGTCACACATCATAGAGAAAAAAGTCAGTAATCATAAGTCAATTTGCACAAATATATGAAGATCAAATTTTTCTTTCTCTCATCTCAAGATGCAAATAAGTTCTAATGAAAACAACTGACCATTTATTTTCTCCATGTGAACTATTGGCACATACTACAAAATGGGTCATGCCAATATAAAAGAAAACGGAGGCATCGTTCTTCTTTCTCTCTCTATCTCGTCTTCTTGTTGGTAGACATGTCTTTTTTTTATTACTGTAAACTATCGACAAAGAGAAAGTGATCATGAAATATGATCTTAGCGAACAGATTTCAATTAAGAAAACGGTTCGTCCGTTGTCTATTTGCATAATCGGAACCATCATTCTGATCATCGATCGGAATCTATCTAATTTGTAAATACGACAGAGAGAGAGAAAAAAAGATACTACTATACTATTTTAGCGACGCCAAGTGAAAATTTGTCGATCAAGAACAGACTATCGATTTATCTAAATACTTCGTCAATAAAAATATTCTAGCTATCAATAATTAAAGTTAAACAAGAGATTTTTATGAAAAATGTTTTTCATTCAATTTATTCTTGGTTTTATTTCAATTGATATTATTACAAGTACACTTACATTGAACAATATTTCATCAAGTCGTGCTATAATTCTTGCTTCATGTCAAGCAGATAAAAATGGACTTGAATCAAGTAAGAAAAATCTCTTATAGTTTCTCTCGAATTAGACAAGTATAAAATGACTTGTCTTTTTCACATATTACACATATCTAATTATATTATAACGTTACTGTTTACAGATATATATATATATATATATAATTAGATATTTCTATTCAATCCAATCAATGATAAGTTATATTTCGATTAGAATCAAAGGCTTGGAATAACTATATTATACATAAAATTATTGTCTGATATAAAAACAGCTCGAAGTAATTGAAAGCCTTAATCCATGACATTTTGCTTACAACTGGAAAATCTCTAGATTAAAAAAAGAAAAGAAAACGTGACAGTATGCTGCGATTTCACTGAAATACCAGACTAGCTTTTATCGAACAATTTCTTATGATTTTCTTCGCTTTGTGTCACCAGCAGTGTCCAAGAACGGAGAAATAGAAACTCCTAATCTGCCGAGGAATTGTCAGTGCCGCTGTGATAATTCCTAGAGAAAATAGGAATCAACCATTGGTTCCCTCGCAGTTCCACAATTCACGAGAGTCACGATATTACTTTTTTTTAAATAATTTGTGCACGGAACTATTGATTCTCACAATTTTGTAGGTGAAGATGAGTGTAAGAGCAAAAATCATTGTGAATATTCCATATTTTTACCTTTAGTATGCAATGAACTGTAGGGAAACTGGGGAGGAATTTCTAATTCTCAGTCCTTGTACACCCCTCTAATTCTCTGGTCTGTCTTTTGTGTTCTGTACTCGACCTTTAATTCAGAGAAACTTGAACAAAAAAGTAGTCTGTTTTTTTTTATGAATACATTAGTTTTTTGCTCGATTCACTGAATGATGAGATGACATTCTATTTCTTTTCCAATAATGCTTGCCTGTATTGTTTTCTGTATATGCGTGTCTTCCTCTTTCTTCTTGTTTGCGCCAAAAAAAATTATTATAATTCCTCTGCATCAGTATCTTTTCGTTCTCATCATCGGAGTGAATTATTATGGAATCGTCATTCTCTGACATGCAAAAATAAAAGAAAGCTGAATCTTTTTACTCTAATAGAGTCTCTCTGTCGTTCTATCAAATTGCCATCAACATCATCGGCATTTTTATGTTTTATTTCTGTCAGTTTAGATCTTGCATGACGATAAGAAGAAGTATTCATTCGAGTTTGATAGATAGATTTTTACTTGTCTATATACTTGTCTCTTCATCAAAAGGAAAAACAAAAAGAAAACAGCTTCTCTCTTTTTTTTCTTTTCAGTTTCAATACCCAACAGTCATCATTATTATTTTTACGTTTCCAGTCAGTTTTCATCGTCCTTGTCATCTTCCTCTTCTGTTTCATCAGTATTAAATCTATCGTATTGTGAACATCAACAAACTACTTATTACTCATCAAGCGGTTTTTCTATTCTTCATTCATCACCACGCTTTCCTTCAACTAAAATTCAGGACAAGAAAAATTCCATACCATTTCAAACTCATAATGCTGTTCTTTCCGCTGTTGATCAATCATTACGTACTACGAGCGATACGATTCCATTAACATTATCATCATCATCAAATAGAAACCGTGCACTTATCAATCATGATGATGGCATAGTACACGCCACAATTAATCCTTTAACAACAAGTATATTATCTAATATTAGTTTAATACATACATCATTACCAACAATAACGGAAGAAACTCAAAAAATGAGTATAATTTCACTCATAGGATGTATTGCTTGTGGAATTATTATTATTATTATTATTTATTCAATATTGAAATATTGTTGTAACAGAGATAAAGGCTCGTATAAGATTGATGAGAGTACAAATTTTACTACGAGACTTAACTCGGATAATCAAGATGGTAATGGTTGCACTGGTAAAATACTATCACCAAACAATTATCGTCAAACTTTATTGACAACCAATGAAGCAAATATTACCGAGTCGAAAGAATGGTATGTGTAAATAGAAAAACATAAATATTATTTGATGTTCTTCTTTCTCGTTTCTTTTTTTTTTATTTAAATAAAAAATTCATGAGAAAAAAAATGCTTACAGAAAGAAAATTTCAAAGAATCGACAGATGATTTATCTGAAGAGAAAGAAGAAAAAGTATTGAGAAAAAAATATGATCAGATTAAGTTGTTTTTTTGTTTTTCAATAATTGATTCAAAAGCTGGTATCGTGATTACAAACGTAGTTGAAGCTGGTACCTCGATATCTCTAAAAGAAAAAAATAATTATGAAATCAAATTTCATAAGAAAAATAAATTTTATTAATAAAAAAAAAAAACTAATTTACCTATTATCTTCTTTGGCATCAATACAGCGAACAATTATGCTTTTCTTATCACTCAAAATATGTATAACACGAGCTAGTTTATAAAGACATTGCTGATCATCCACAGCTAAAACAATATCGTTTATCTGATGTCGAATAGGCCGAATGAATGCGCCATATAAATATTCTTCGTCTTGTTGACTTTGATTTTCATCACACCATCGGATAGTATATTTATGACCATATACAACACGGTCAATAACTGTGCCTAACATAAATATATTTCTTTCTTGATTTAAACCAACTATAACTTGACCAATAAGAGATTTTTCGAAGTCAATACGATATTGTGCATACTCTTGAAATTTATCTCGGTCGATGGGTAATACATATTTACTATTTGATATAGCATCGTCCATGCCATCATAAAAACGAACAGATTTTTGCGGTTCTTTATCATCCGAAGGTAGAATTACTGCAGGTTTCCAACAATTACGACCGTTTTTCGGATATTCAATAAGTGCAAATGATGGACTCTAGATTTCACAAAAAAAAAGAAAAGGCAAAGACAAATATTTACTATTTTTTAAATCAAATTTCTATTCGTGAAACTTACATGTAAAGTTTTTAAACATCTAAGGTCTGTTTGTAGGAATATATTTTCACGTGAAATAATACTTTCAACTCCAGGTAAGCCAATTCGTTTGACAGTATAACTATTGGAATGGCTTAGCTTATTTAATATAATACCCTAAAATGACCAAACAAACAAAAAGTTAACGTATTGCAAATCGGCAACTGCAGTAGTCTCTTTTATTTAATTGTGAAGAAATTGTATTTTGCTCTCTTAAGTAGTAAATGAAAATCTCGAATTACTTGCTTCGAAAATAAACTGAATCGAATTATTAACAAACCTCATAAACAAAACGATCGTCTTCCAACCATAGAGCGAAGACCTGCGTATTTGGTTGAATAGATGAGTCAATTGATGAACGTCGACTTGATATCGTTTTTGGTGGATCAGGTTCATCGTGATCTGTTGCCAATGATATTGAAACTAGCGAAGCACGTTTCAATCGTGCTACTTTATTCGATGTTTTCTCCTGTAAATCTTTAATTGCATTTATTTGATCGTCGAGTGCCTAGAAAGAAATTAGACAAAAATGCATTCATTCTTTTTCAGAAATTTCTCTAGTACTGTTTTAAGTTGACCATAACGTTTCTTGTTGGATTTATCCAAATTTTCAACTTTAGTTGTTAACGGTTCAAGTTCACGACGAAGGGTATCTAAAGATTATCGAACACAAAATTAGAAAAATTGATTAATTTAAGTATAAAAGAATATACCTTTGAAAGACAGCTCGTCTGGTGTTTTAGGAATACTACCTGCGGGTGATTGAGGTTTACGACTAAATAGTATTATTTTTGAAAAATATAGAAGAAATTAAACAAGCTACTCACTGAATACTTTGAAGATATGAAACTGTTCTTTGATAAAGACCTAAACTTATTTTTAGTATATCACGACGATGTACATGTACCTAAATAAATATTTTTATTTCTATTCCGTTTAAATAAATATGCATACTGCTGATAACGACGGTGCATATACTTGTACCATATATAATGGAGGTGGTTGAGCAGTTGGTGATGGAAGAACTGCAACAACACCAGGTGCCCAATATTCTTGAGTACCGTTGATTCGACGGACAAGAACACAATCATTTACATATAAATGCGGTTGAGCAATGGCACCGTTAGTTGGCAGTAGGATATGTCCAACTGCTTCTTGTTCTATACCTATGTCAAAACGAATCATTGCTCGGCCATCTGGATGCTTTTGTATAGTTCCTATTTAAAGAATTGAAAACAGAAGGTTTTGATCGATTGATATCTCAACATATATAGTTTATACCAGGATGAAAAAATCCATCAGCATCGAACCGACAAATAACATGTTGATGAAAATTGCGTTGTGATGATTTTTGTTTAATTTTTGGTTTTTGTTCTACTGCTGGTTTAGCATCCGCCTAATTAATAGTTATACTTTATTTCCATTTGATCGATCTATTACAAAAAAAACTTACATCAGCTCGTTTTTGTAATTGGCGTAAATCAGTTGATATTTGTAAGAATTTGATAGCCCGATGAATTTCGACATCCATACGAGTAATGCCTTTTAATGCTGATTCAGCTTCGGCTTCTTTTAATGCTGCTTTTACTAGTGTTTGATTTTTATCTTGATATGGTACAGGTTCTTGTAGTAGACTATTATAATGATAAAAATTGTAAACGAAAAAAATTGTTAAACTTCAATATATTTACGCATTCTGCTCTTGTTCGGTCAACTTTCGCCAAGCAAAATTTTCTAATGCACTAAATTAAATATAAATAAATCAGCATGAGAAATTCAAGATAGGTTTAGTCTACCTTTGACTAGTATATTCTTCTGTTCTTATCTCTTGGGTAATTCTAAAAAAAAAGAAAGAATTTATTTTTATTTTTTGCAAAAGACATATTAGTTGATTGATTATTTACTTATTTTGTTCATCTTTTGATAAACGATCCCAATGAATAGATGGACCAAGTCTAGAAGACAATAGATATTTATTGAATGTTGAACGATATGAAACTCGAAACTTATTCTTCTAATTAGAGTTGATCTTGTTAGGGCAAGGTCAGGAAAAAAATTAGAATATTTAGGGTTCTCTGGGGAATAAACAATTTGTCAAAGGACATTAATTTTATAGGAACAAAAATTGCTAAATTGAAATTTGAATTCGATTAGATTAAATTAAAACAAAAGAAAAACCGTGTAGAAACTTGCGTTTTTAGTATATAATGAAGATTCACGTCTTTTTCTTTTTTTTTTTTTTATGAAATAGAGATCTAAAAATATATTTTATAGGTATGTTAATTTCTTTTCGTAGAAATATAACTAAAATTCTTTAATCAAGCAAATAAAGAAATAATAAAGATTGATCTAATTGAAAAGAACGACTTGACAGCGGAGTTCCCTGGAAACTACAATTAGAAAATTATTTGTGCTTGTTGGTTTCATTCGAGTGACAAAAAATATCTTAAGTGTACTATTTCTAGATGCAGCTTTTCACCACTTCATCCTTTTCTCTCTCGAGAGCAGATCAATAGCTTCAACGGCGTTACTTCCATTGAATAATGATCTTGCGCTAGAGTAACACCAACCACAAACATCAGAACATCAACAAGGTCATCTCCCATTTGAGCAGCTGAAACGAGCTGTTTCAAGCAGCCTTCCGTGTTTTTTAATTTGAATATGATTAAGATGTGAACTCGAAGAACCGTCCATTCGATATATAAGCAGCAATTATTCTCGAGGATCACTTCAAACAACAAGGAATCTCAATCCCTTTCTTGCTCATCGGTCATTCAGGTATTAAATTAAAATTAGGGGTAAACAGCAAAGAATCGTATGCAGCATTAATATCTACGGATAAATGGTCATCACAAATCAATAATATCAACAGCACTGTCATAAAACCAAAATTTATTCCTGATGCATTCGCTCTTGTAGTACGTTGCGTACCACTCCAGTACAATGAAGAATATGTCAAAGAAGAAATTGAATGAAATCTTCAATCAGCTGAAAATGTTAGACGTATTCAATATCACTTTCAACGAAGAACAAATGATTTCCGATTTGTTGTTAAAGATTTACGCGAATATAATTCTACGATAAAATTAGGTCGAATATCGATTGAAAATACTCTCTGTACCATTACTCCATTCCTGGCCGGGAATCGTATGACATTTTGTACTCGTTGCTGATGTTTAGGTGATGAGAGATAAATATAAACTAGAAAATCCCCGTTGTCGTATATATCTTGAAAATCTTATCAATGGTCAAACGCACATCTGTTTGAATAGAGCTTACTGCGTTCAATGCAATGGTGATCATGAGTCATTATCTAGTAAATGTGATAAAGTGGTAGAATATCGATCAGAATTAAAAGCTCAAGTCAACAATGTAAGATCGTCAGGAAAATTACACCGATTAATACCTCAAGACCGCACCCGATCGATGGAGTTTCAAACGAAGCAAAATAAATTTCCATCATTACCACAGTGTATGCCTGATACTACACCGTGAAAACTGGCTTCAGCACAACAAGCAACAACAGCTAATATGAATGGAACTGAAGATGTAACAAAAATGTTGGCATTGATGAACCAAAATGTCTTAGATATGAAGGAGAATACAGATCGTATTGATGAAAAATTAGATCGTATTAACGATAAGGTCAATCAATCTGCTCTGGATACGGAACTTCATCAAGAAACACTGGAGAAATTATTACCTATATGCGTATCAATCGTTTGTGACTTTATTTGGTCCGTGATGGCTCACAATTGCAAAAGCTATTAAGTAACGTGGATTTGTTATTGCGTGATCTAAATCGAACTATTCAGCTCGACGTAAACGCAGTACATCTCCACCGCCACAGCTCTCGCCATCTCAATAACCTTCAAAATCGCCTAATATCACTACGAACAATGAACTTGATCAAAATATGAGTAAATAGATGAGTATCAGACTTTCAAATTTAAGAGTAGAACCAAATCCCTTTTCTCTCTTTCAAACAGCTAATCCTACAGAGACTGCGATGAAATAGTTTTGCCAATGGGGATTCCAGGGAAAAGATCAAAAACTAGTGGAAAAAATCCTTGCAGAATGGTTTACATCAGGCACTCTAGAAAATATTTCACCTAAAGAAATTCAAACAGGGCGAACTCCATTAAATATCCTCTGTTATAACGTGCAAGGATGGGGTCCAGATGCCTTGAAGTAATTGACATTATTTATAAAGTAGAGGTCTCTATTTGTGTTTTTTTCTGAATTCGGGGAGCTGTGGAATGCATCTCGAGTGCCTCATTTCAATATTTTTCATCAACATGGTACAAATAATAGTGGAGGAGTATGTGTAACAATAGAAAAACATTAAAAAGGTATGAGAATAGAAATTAATGTTGAAAATACTGTTATTATTGATGTTAATGGTTTTTATGAAACAATAAGAGTAATCGTTTTTACTGGTCAGCAGGTCAGATCATGATGTTAAAAGATTTAGAGCACATATATCATTGAAAACACAATTATCACTGATGATTTCAATGCATCCATAAAAGAATGGGGTAGTGAGTCATCAGATAAAAGAGGTAGAAACTTGAAGGAATAGGTGGAAAAAAATAATCTCTGTTACATTCCATCAACATTGCATTCTTCAAAACGTTCGAATAGAAACATTGATCTATCATTTACAAATATAGATGAGGTAAGAGGAGAGACTCTGAAAATTGGTACCAGTGGTCACTGCCCACTGTTGATAGCATGTGCGAATGTGGGTTTTGATAAGAATAAAATGTTCCCACATGTGAATTGGAAGGCGTATGAAGCCATTCTTACACTGTTACAGGAGTTTTTGACAAATGAGCAAAATAGAGGCATGCAAGCTAATGAGTGGTATATGAATTATGTACGTTTTCTTGCTGCTCTAAAAGTCAGACTTACACAATGTAAAGAAAAAGAAAAATTCCGTCCATCATTACCGCCTTATCTTATTCAAAAACTGAAAGAAGTAAAAAGAATAAGAAATAAATATTATCGTGAGAGAACAATATTTAATACAAATGAAGAGACAAGAGTGTTATTACGTGTATTGCCACGTGAAGTAAAGATAGAAATTGCAAAATATAAATCGAGTAAATGGCAAGAGTTTCTGTCTAAAATTCAAGAAACACATGACAACACAGATAGAGCTTTTTGGTTAAGTCTCTCTCGGATATATAAACATAAATCACTACCCTTTTCGAAATTAGATACCGGTAAAACAGTATTGACAAAAGAAAACGAAATTAGTGATATACACTTTATCGTTATTATTCGGAACAGTTTAAAGCACAAAATGCGAGTATGTCAGTTCCCCATGAAAATCAAATTGAAACAGAGTATCCAAAATTGACGAATAAACTTCCGATATTAAATGAAAATATTAAAAAGACGAATTTTACAGAAATAAAAAAGCACATTTTAAAGTTGAAACCGAAAAAATCATCTGGTTTCGATCCCGTGTCTAACTTTATAATCGAAAGAATTCCACCTGGTTATATCAGTTGTTTAGTAAATTGTTTTAATACTTGACTAAACGAACATAGATATCCCGATATGTGGAAATTAGCTAAAGTAGTTACACTGAATAAATCAAAAGTAGGAATACCTCGTTGTGACCAGACTCGGCCAATTTCACTTTTAGCAACACATTCAAAATTATTTGAAAAATTATGCTAGAAAGGCTGAGATACTGGGCAGAAACTAATAGACTAGTACCAGCTGAGCAGTATGGATTTCGTCCAGATTGTTTACTTCAGACGAGAGTCCTATCTACATATCAACAGGTTAAAAACAATATGACTCCAAATATTCCAACACTAGCAGTCTATGTTGACTATCAAAAGGCATACAGTCAAGTATGGCATAAAGGTCTTGCTGTTAAACTCATTAGAATGAGTATACCCTTAGGACTATTGAGATTAATTATTTTGTGGTTGAATGATCGCCGAGTGCATGTTATATTTGGAGAGAATAAATCGAAAATACTTAAAACTCGCATTGGTTTGCCACAAGGCAGTAGTTTAAGTCCCTATCTTTTCATTGTCTACCATAGTGATCTTGTTACATGTTTAAGTGCCTTTTCAAGTCATATTTTTGCTGATGATCTCAACGTACTAATATCCCCACCTACATGTCGAGGAGTTAAGCCGATGATTAAGTTTTTAGAAGAAGAAAGAACAAAAATATGTAATAAAATAGCGTATTGCTCCAAGAATGGAAACAACCAGTTAATTTCTCAAAATTCGTAGTGCAGGTTTTTCACTCTCAAGTACAAAATTCAGTAGTTTATATCTGTATGGAAGGTAAAAAAGTAGAAATAGTTAAAGAATGTAAATATCTTGGTTTTACTTGAACAAATAAGATGTCTTTGAAACCAACGATAGACAAAACACTTTAAAACATTCAAAGAACGTTTAGTAAATTAAGATGGATGAAAAGTAGTAAAACTCTCTCAACCGATGTTTTACGAAGATGTTTCTTTGCTTTCACTTTTCCATATTTTGCCTGGATATTTCCTTTCTACCCTTTCCTGTCCCTTTGCTCGAGCAACAGATCTTCTTCAAATAACAAATGGAGAGTCATTAGAAGAATGTGTAAAAAGATATATAAAGAAACGATTAGAACAAATTGAAAAATCAGATATAGGTCTTTCACCCTTTTACAACGATGTATTCCAAATTGGAATACATTTCATAAAAATAAAAATGATCATATGGGACACTTTTTTCGAATGAAACGAGTTAGACTTATGCGTGAAAGACATCAATCACTGCTTCTTTAATGGCTTGAATTTTTATGTGTGTGGAAGTTCTGCCATGTGATTAATTGATATGTTACTCACATCATTCTTTAAATCGTTGTTCCTCCTTTTTTCTCTTTTTCTTTTTCCTTTTCGTATTACCCAGTGAAAAATATTACTAAAAAAGAACGGTAAAGAATGCGTTCCTTCAGATTGAGAATATTTCTATCTGACTCTGAACGCATTCGCTCAAACAAGGAGCGCATTCTCTACGTAGGAGATAGGTTTCCATATCCGCATGAAACCATTCTATTCCGTTTTTTTTTCGAAATATTTTTCACTGGGTATTACTAGCTTTTCTCTTCTTTCGTTGTCCTTCTTTTCCATTTTTCATTTTTTTCCTATGTTTTTACATTTTATCTACAAAACGTGGTTTATTATAATTTAATGATGTTTCTTGTATGTTTATATCGCGCATGGTTGTGCAATCTAATAGCTGTGAATGCATAAAGCATTATTTGTAAGCACTTCCGAGTGTAACAATAAAGAAAGCGAAATCAAAAAAAGGATGCAGCTTTTCAAGGATATGTGATCATCAGAGACATAATCGGTCGTATTATATTTTTCTTAATTTAACCGTATTAGCATTCTCATAATTGGCTCAATCAATAAAGAAGTCGATTATATACGTCCATTATATCTGTAGCGTTTTTAAGCACACTGTTAAATATGTTGATAAACTTCAAAATACTAACGCCGGCTTCTTGCTCAATTAATAACTTCAATAGTGCACGACTATATTATAAGTTAATATACAAGTAAAAAAGAAATTTTCGACAATGATGATTCAAAGAAAAAATCAAAATATCTTAATCTTGTTGTTAATACTTGAAGAAATAAGTCTATTGTTTGTTGACATAGGTTACTATGGAAACGTATCCAACAATTGTTAACATTTGTCCTAGGTTACTAAGGAGTGTAAGCGAGAAAATCACGATTTTAAATGTTTAGAAACTTTTCTCTTTTCCCTCTTACGTAATAGATTACTTACTTTCGTTTATCATCATCACTTAAATGTTTCCAAATAAAATCTGTAGTAAATCTACATATAGACAAATAATTTTACTAATTTAATTATGGATTTAAATATCTTACTTATGATAATTATCAATAAGTTCTTTTAATTTAACTTCATATTTTTCTAAATCTACAGCGTAATGATTGACTAAACGTAGTTTACCAACATATGATCCGTATGTTAATGGTAATATCTAAAATGGCAAAAGTCAAAAGAGAAAGTTGAACGATGATTAACTACAAAAACATACATCATCCCAAACTTTTGCAAGTACATAACGATCTATAACTTGAATATGATGTGGATCTTTGACTGTAACTGATGTTGGATAAAGCACATCGAAGATTGTTAAACCTTGCACAACTAAACTTTTCCGTTTTAAATAAGATATCACTTCGTTGTAAGGAGTTCTATACAAGAACAAATATTTAAATAGCTCAACATAAGAAAAAATTTTTTTGATAAATTTACCGGATCGGTTTTCTTTTAGGTCGTTCAACTGAATAGAAAAAAAATAGATGATACAAATTCTTATGTGCATATCAAAATATTGGTTCAATTTACTTTCTACTTTATCTTGATTTTCTGTATCAGACTTTATTTCTTCTGTCTCATTGTTGACCTTCAAATATTCTTTTGTTTCCGGTAAAAGCCATTGATCATTGTTATAGTTAATAACAGCACTATGCGCTGTTAGATTAGTTGCTAAACAATAAAATTTTATGTAAATCAGGAATTTTTTTATATTTTTCTTGAGTCTGTACCTGACTTAGATCTTCGTTGACGATTTTTATTTGTTACCGAACGTTTCTTTTTCGTAGTTCGAAGTGACATTGAAGCTATAGAAAAAAAAAATCTTTTCAACACATCACTTTGTTTCGAAGTTAAGTAAGAAAATTTCAAGCTCCATTATTCTTCTAGACACTTCTAAGATAAGAAATGAATTTAATTTTTTCTTTCTGCATTATAAAACAGGGCATTTAACCAATCGAAGTGCCTGAAAGGCAGGTATCAAACTGTGAGCAATAAAAAAAAGAATTCAATACATAATATTAATTTAAAACGATTAAAACAAAAGTTTTGATTGCAGCTTATAAAAAAGAACTAATGCTAGGAACAAAAAATTTTATTCTGTCAAATATGAAAAAGTCACATTTGTTCGATATGATTCTATATCTATACATATTTATCTACTCTCATATTTGTATTGAACGGCCAATGAAATGAAAAGACAAACCCTATAAGTGATATTTAATATAGCTATGTTTAAAACTTGACAAAATACTGCCATGTGTGATACTTATCCTAATATGAAAAAAATAAGTCAACAGATATTACCAGGGCAACAAAAATATGATACATGATATGCATCAACATCCATTATACACTACAAATGAACAAAGATTGTTATATAACTATTGTTTTGTTTCTCAAGTTTCTCGCGTCAATTTTCGAGTTAACTCTATGCAACTAGCCAGTGGATCGGAGACATAACCATCACCAATTAAACGTTGGCTTTATTGACAATTTCAGTAAATGAAATAATTAAAACAGAACAGTTAACTAATTAAATCTCAATTAATTAATTAAGCATTCATTAGCTAGTGAGAATATAACCATGCAATAAATCTCTCTCGTAGCTTATGGTGGATAAACTCAAGAACACATACTAAACCCCAAACTGTATCTATAGTAAAACTGTCAGTAATATATAAGTCCAAAACCGACTTTCCAGAAGTTTACTGATGTTCTAGAGGAAAGAATCAAGGGATTTTTTCAACGGTAATTATCAGCATGTTAGGGAAAAGATATGCATAAACTTGTTGTGTCCTTTATAGATCGCAGCAGGTCATTTTGAAGCACATTGTTTGAGCTTGTAGAATTTTCAAAGTGAAATACATGAGATGAAAGTATTTCTGCTTTTTTTTTAACGTCATGCTGTTAATGCTTACTTGTCAGGCTATATGGTGTAATTAAATATGCAATTATTACATGAACTAAGCTAGAAGAAGCTTAGAAGTCTAGTAGTATATGTATTTTTATTTTGTAAACTGCCATCGATAAGCAATGAAATCACTTAGATTATTCTCTTTCGTTATTGGAAATGTTCAATCATTTTAAAGTCGATTCAGATAAAATAAATCTTTCTCAAGATGCATCAAAGCGACTTCATAAATGAAGCTAAGTGAATCTATCTATGAAGATCATATTGTTTTTCAAGAAGAATCGTCCTTCGACATAGAATGAACACTAATTGTCGTCTAATATGGAAAAATTAATACATGCAAAGCACATTGAAACTTAAAGAGAGAAGTAACTGAAAAGTTTTAGATTCAAACTAAAATTCAATCTACATTCATCCAACAATTGTTTCTAGAATCAATGGATAAACTACATCAATAATTTATATCAAACGAAAGGTCCAGTATAAAAACTGTTTTTCCTACTTCTGTTACTGGAAGATATCTTTTTCTAGAATCGGATAATAGCTATTCTACACGAGAATTCTGTACAGATACTCAACTAAAAAAAAGATTAATTTCTAACTTTGATTGGTTCTAATCTACTGTATTTACATTACCAATTTCAATAGATCAATTGTGAACCGAAAAATGAATTTACTTACCAGTATTTGGTCGAATTGGAATATCAAGTGTACTTTGACTTCTCCGCTGAGATGGTATCGGCTTGTCATTATTATGGATTCGTTGACTTTTAGATTTTGGAAGTTTTCCTCGTAAATTCTCTTGTGACCATGCTTTACCCAAACATTCATCACGTAGACCAGCTATCCGTTCTAATTCTTTTTCACCACGTATTAATTCATTTTTAACACCACCAACATCTTCACTCTAGAAGGACAAGAATAAGAGTTCGAATTGTTTTGTTTTGTCGCATTAAATAAAAACCTCAGGTATTTCAATTGCAGCTTGTGCCTCAAATCCATAACTAAATGTATGAAAACGTCCGCCTGTCTGTTTAGCTAAATCAATCAGAAATCGATTTGCTGCTTGATCATTACAATTAAATGCTATTGTATGTATTGGTATTGTTTGACGATATTGAACTTGTGAAAGGATATGTCGTTCGTTCTGAAAAATTAACAATGCATATTTTTGTACTTTTAATTTAATAATAAAATGTTACTTGATCAGGTCGTCCATCAGTCAAAAGATAAATGGCCTCAGTCGTTGGATCAGCAAGTGCAAAACGAAGCGCAGCTAAGGTATTGGTTGAGCCTTCAGCGTGAAGTCCATCGATCCATGGTTGAAGTTGAGAATATGTTGTTGTGTCGTTGATTTTTGTTAAGCGATCACGCCATGGAGTAATTGCAGAATTAAATGCAACTAGATTAACACGTTCTTTAGCATGCAATTGATCCTAGAAATAATTAAATATAATTGCTATCAGAAATCGATTGAATTTTTGAAAACATACCTGTATAAGTAAACGAAGTTTCTCTTTAACAAAACTTAAATGATGTTGCATGCTTTGTGATGTATCGATTAAAATATAGATATTATTTTCCAAAATAGCGCCGAATACATCACGACTGCCTTTCTTTAGCCATGCTAATCTAAGAATTTAAAACAGAAAATTTCAATAAAATAGCGCTTCATAGACTGAGATTATAAAATCTCTAGAATTACCTTGCTTTGAGTTTTTCAAGTAAAGTTTTTATGCGTCTTTCATAATCACTGTGGAGATGAAAAACAGAAACTAGAAAAAGCAAAGGTGTTAACAAATCAAAATTCTACCGATATAGTTCCGGTGTAACATGAACATGGAGAATAGTTCCATCTGGCCAAGTGACATGTGCAAACTGATCGCAATATATTGCGTTAATCAGCTTATCTTGAGAGTTCTAAAAGAAAAAGTTCATAAATTTATGACCGAATAAAGCGTTGTTTCCTGCATCTCTGTTGAGTCTTACAAAAAGTAAAAGTTATATCGTCTGAAAAATAAAATCAGGATACACTAGCTAGATGCATTAGAAAAGCATATTGTTTTATTGTCTAAGAGCGAGTTTTTTTACATTTCAAAATGTTAGAAGTCCTAGCTGTCGTAATAGAACTAAACTTCAATCAAACTCATGAAGACAAAACGACTTTCTTTGAATCATGCGAACTTACCGCTGGTGCACTAGCAGCTATTTCACGAGAATCCTCTGGTGGCTTTAGTAGAGTAACGACTCCATCACAATGCCGAAATGCTGCAGATTGAAGAACAGAAAAGAAATCAAGTTTTTGTGCATCTATTCCATGAATTTTCAGCCAATCTGCCGATGACATATCATTTTCTTGATTACTAAATAAAGCCGATGATTGAACAACCAGACTACGTTGGAAATTATGATCGCCAGATGTATTGAATGCATCCATAGATTTCGTTGCTAAAGAAATTTATTAAAATACAAATCGTAAAAAACATCGCACAACAGCAATTGTCTTTACCTTCAATGGATTTAGCTGAACTTTGATTTTCATCACGAATAAATCCAAGAATTTTTTCTAGTCGATCGATAACATTTTGACATTCAACTATTTCTTTATACATCAATGTTATATCCAATGGATACTCTGGCAGCGGTGCTAAAACATTTGTACCCATTTGCAATTTATCCCCTTGTAATTTAATTCGTGTTGGATCACTTAGATTCGATGGAAGTTTTAAATCTGCTACTTCATTTTTGATTTTATAACAAAAATAACTATTCAACATTAAAATAAAGTAATAATATAATATCGAAATAAAATAATTCTTAATTAATCTTATACGAACCTTCCCTCAGCACTTTGTGCAAGTGAACGTAAAAATAACTGTGTATCATTATTGTGACAATATAATGAAACAACATGAAGAGGCTTTGGAGAAGTTGATGACAGACGTGTTTTAACTATATTGTCGCGTAACATTTCACGAGCCAAATCTGATGAATCACCTTCACTGATCAAATAAACACTTTCAACCTAAATCAATTAATTCAATACATAGACTAAAATAAAAGATACAAGAATATATTTACATTATTATCAAATGCTTTAAGAACGGCTTCGCACGTAGAGCCTATAGATATTTTATTTCGTGGACATTTTCGATCACAAATCCAATCGATCTAAATAAATTAAAGATAAATTTAACATTGTAATACAATAATTTGTGGTATTCATCTGTTAGCCGAATAAAAAAACAGTCACTTGTAAAGATCAATATTTAACACGAAAACGAAAGACATAATAATTGATCACTTTTCTTATGAATTCATTAGCTTCAAGTACCATATTGTGACAATAGTAACCTTTCAATAGCTATACACAAACTCATGACTAATTCAAAAGAAACTATTTTAATTATTATAACATTACTGTTGAAATTACTTCCAACATGCGTAAAATATTCTAATATTCAACAATAATTAGTCGATAAAAATTATATCGAATCGACAGAGCCATTGACAAATTCAAATCAGCAAAATAGTCATTGAGAGTATTAAAAGTGAGATCATGCAAGCGATTAGAATCATATATTCAAATTTATGAAACTATATATAACTTGTTTTTATAAGGCTTCCACACTCATTAATGATCAGGTTTAAAAAATGAATCATCCTGAGAAATCTGAAAAGATTCTATATCAAAAATTTGAATAATAATATTTTTTTGTTATGATCAAACATTTCAAGTAGAACTTCAAAATCAAACATTTGAAATCTAGAAAAAGCTTATTTCCATGCAGTATATTTTCCAAAGTATTATAAACTTATAGACATTTTCTTTTGTACCTCTAAAATGGCGCCTGTGAAAATGCGAAGCATCGAATTTCAATCTTCAATTTTACTCACTGATGGGCCTTGAGAACTTCACAATGTCCTGTCAATTTTAGGCTGAATTAATATACTACTATTCATATATCAACTATCGAAACATACTTAGCTCTCTTACCTTGCCTTGTAACACATCGATGTTATGCAATATTCAATATCTCAAGAAAAGTACACGATTTCAGAGTGAAATTCTATAATTCGGTTGATTTTTACTAATTGTGTGATGATGATAAAACTTTAAATAAGTTCGAAAGGCTGATGTACGAAAGTGAATGAATGTCTCTCATTTGAGAACAAACGATTGTATTCTTACTCTCAAGAATACGTTTCCCATTTCAGTTGAAATATAATTATCAATAACTGCTCTTTTCTTTCATAGAATATTTTCTTCCAGCCACTCAAACTTACTGCTTGATCAATATTCGTTGCATTAACATCGATAGGTTGTTCTCGAAATTGTTCATTATCATTTGAAATCCTAAATTATTTTCATCAATATAAATAAATCAATGGCATTTATAATCTTTCTTTACCAAATGACGTTAAATTTTTTAATTTTACTGATTTGTTCTTTAAATAAATTCGTTAGAGAAACTTGAAATTGATTGAATACACGATGATCTAACGTTTTACAATCGCATACAAGACACACAGTTGGCTCACTGATTACTCCAAATAGACGACGTGATCCATTGGTTATGAATAATACACGTTTCCGTAATAAACTTAACATTCGTGTTAAACGATGATGAAATTCACGTAATTTCTCAGGTCGACATGTCAACTAGAAATTTAAATCAACTATAATAACGAAGACAAAAACAATCAGCTTATTGTTCTATCATACCACATATCGATCACCGTTGTCGTGCTGCACTTCATGATAAAGATTACCAGCATATTTAGCTGTCACTGTTTTACCACTGACTGGATCGAAACCTACAATATAACAATGAGAGAACTATTATGCTTGAAATTTTACAGTAATACAACTTCCTATAGAGATTAAAGTAAAATATCAATGTTGCGTTTCAAACTATGTCTTTAATGTTTTCTACGTCTTCAGAGAACAGATCATCGTTTTTAAGCGATGCCCACATAAGGGTTAAAAGTTTAAACGAAGTCTATGAAAAATGAAGGTTTCAAAAAACGGCTCCATCCATGGACAAGCATCTCTATCTTGACAAAACTGTTCTAAACTTGTTAGTCGTTCTGATGAATTTACTCGAATAATCATTGAAGTGTAAGGGAGATACAATATGCTGCTTTTTCTTTCGTTAAAAATCAAACAATAAAAATAATTTCCACGGATTTTAATTTGTATCCCAGGTCGAAAAATCATATATAAGATCTTGCGAAACCAGATAGGGTCGTACAAAAAATCGACGTCTCTGAAAGCTTACATTAAGTCTTACAATATGACGCGCGAAAGACCTCACTATGTCGCAAGATTTTTTATAATTTTGGATTCATATCTTACGATACTGTAAGATCTTTCAAGAATCTGATCTTACGACTTGATGAAAGATTTCAGAGACAACGAATTTGGTACGATTCTTTGTCCAATTTTACACGATCACATAAGATCAGATGCAAAATCTTATCAGATCTTAACATTTGATGGTTTGCCCTGGGCAGTTAGCTAAACTTGTTTTGAGTTATATTGACAAAATCTCATTTTATGATTAAACTCTTATGCTGAATTGATTCATAGTCCAAATCTGAAGTTATCCAAACATGTGATTTGTAAATGAGCTCAAATAATAACATGTCATTTAATAGGTTTCTCTCACCTTGACGCTAATCTAAAATGTAGATTTTTTTCCTCGACCCCTAACAACGAAACATCCATAATTTCAGATCGCTTTCTTCAAAACAAGTTTTCAAAAAAGAACCTATTCTTCTTCTTGGTGAATGATAGTGAAAAAATATTTTTCATTCTTATCGTTGCTATGACTTTCATGTTTTTCATATCGAACTTAAGGGCGAACACAAATTTGCACTAAAAGAATGATTCTAAACTTCGATCTGCTTTCCGGAAGCAATTAAAATTTTGTCAGTAGATTAAAAATACTTACTTTCAACACGTTTGAATCCAATCTGTTGAAGAATTTGATCAAAAGTTAATCTTTGGGATTTAAGTCCATAACGATGAATCCATTCTGTACTTCTTATCTATGAAACAGCGAATTATTTTCATTAACTTAAAAGAATCGTATTTTTTATTCAAGCTACTTGGCTAAATAAATAAGCTGGGTCGGCATTCGGACCATTTGAACCAGCATGCGATGACGTAGTTAGATCAAAATTACGCGATTCACCAGGCGTCACTGAATATGGAATAGCAAGTAGGGCTGTAGATGAACCAGAAAAGGAAGCGCGATCCGTTTTAGATGTCATCATCGAATATAAAGCACAAATCGAATAATCATTTAAATATCATATTGACAAGGTTTTTCTGACAACCATTGTCATTTGTGTTGTTATGGTGAGTTTGTAAACACCTAGGTTATATATCATACGTAGAATATTCGTGTTCCAAACATTAGAAACTTTTTATTTTCCTTTATTATATGCTTTTTTAAGAGTTTCTATATATATTCTTATCATTAACTCGTGTGTTTCAATGGACACAAAGCTAGCGAATCAGAAAACGAGAATGACTCATTTATTATTTTTTGTACTTTTCTTTTATTTCGTATGTGTTCATATCGTCATCTTCAAAAGTTTTCCAGATAAAATACAAGAAAATGTTGAAAACTATTATTCGCCACGGATGTCGTCTTCGGCCAGCACTCAATATGCGTTTACCTACATCAACATTGAATACTCGTCTACATACATTATCTCTATCGAAAGCAAATCCACACGGTCAAGTTAGTTAATAAACTAAAAGTTATATTTCGATTGTTGGTAGTTGTTTTTTATGCATAGATTTGGCCATGTGTTTTTGTGTCACGCCGTACATCAATACTCGAACAAAATATAAAGGATGCTGGTCAAATGCGTACACCACCGCCATTGACACCGCGTGATATTGAGTCGCGAGTATTACGTATCTGTAATGACTATGATAAAATACAAGAAGCGCATAAAAATAAGGTGAAGATTATTCTTCGTTCAAAATTAAAAATGATTTCTTAATGAATGCATTCATATTAAATTTTAATATTCATAATATCAATGCTTCAAATAATAGTAGTAGAAACAAGACATTGTTTTCAAATGACAGGATAGATAGATTTGATCAAGAAAAATAATATCGAAATTCACAATTCTTAGTCTTGTTAGTTTGTCACTAGCGAAAATAATTCAAAAACAAATCTAAAACGACTGAATAGTTTTAAAAAAACTTTATTATTTCTATAGGTTGATAGTCTTTTGTTTCACATACCATATTTTCATTTTCATTCTACTGATCGGCGTTGCTCGTGTCATTCTGTTTATTTAATGTATACTATTTTTAATCAGTGGCAAATGCACACAACAAAGTTTACTATTTATTACTATCGAATTATTTTATACGAAATTTTTTCATTGCTTCAATACCTACCGCCCATGTACTATTTATAGAAGTGCATTCAGTGAAGAAAGATTTTCAATGTATGTCGCAACTGATCCTGTCAAGAAGAAAAATTCTAATAATCATTTGAAATATTATATAAAACTAGACTAGTCTGGTGAATTGCATAGTAAATAGTCTAAAATTTTCATTCGATGAGACGTTGCAAATTGACGTTAAATATTTTTTGATTCATACATATGAATATTAAAATACTAGAATGATGCAAACAGTTTGCAAAACGAAATTCAGAAAATAATACCAATTCTATTTTTATCAACTAGGCCATATCTTTTGTTTTGAACAAAGAAAATAATTCCAATTTTTTCTTTATCAACTAGATCACTTTGGCAACACACTTTATGAATGATCTTGGTCTTGATAGCCTTGATCATGTTGAAATCATTGTTGCATTAGAAAATGAATTTGGTAACTTTTATTCCTACAGTCATTTGTTAAATAATTACTTTTTATTTTTATTTTCAAGGCTTTGAAGTTCCAGATGCTGATTATGATAAATTATATACGATTAAAGCTGTTGTTGATTATTTAATAAAACGAATGAATATTGTCGAACATAAAAAACCTGTTGTTTCATCAGCAAGTGATCCACGTTATGACCATCATCATCATTGACCTTTAGTTTTCAGCAAACACATGTCTTTTTGTTTTCTATTATAACCTTACATTTTTTTTCTAACAATCATCTAGAATACTTTAGATCAGCAGACAGACCTCGTGAAATATTTCACTTTTTTTCTTCCTTTAATCTTTTATCATCGCAAGACTAAAAATAGAAAAAAACAAGAATGTCGAATGTTGATGATTACGACTATATTCTTTCTCGTTCTGTAAGAAAATGAAACAAGGAAAATATGATTAAGTGAAAGAAGTAGTTGATTCATCTGTCAGATGATGGAATGACGGAGAGAAAAAAAAAGAGAGGAGGCGGCGGTGATAGTAACGACTCGAACGGAATATTATCTCTGTTGCGAAGAGAAAAACGGCATTGGAATGACTATTTTTATATACGAATAAAACTGAGAAGAGTATTATGATCGATTGAATTGATTTATAGTAAGAACGAAATACTCGACAAAGAAAGAGAACTCGAACTATTTTTTAAAAGATAAAGGTATGTAGGTGAGCGTCAACTGAATGAATACGGCTTATCGTTGTCGCATTGCTTTTCGGTTAGTCAGTAAAAACTATAAATATAGAAATAAAATATATTTGCGTTTTTTATTTCCTATATAGAATTTCGACAGTAGAAAAAGTCGAGCATGTTAAAATGTTGTGTAAGTTCCAAAACAATAAATTACAATGACAGGATTCTTATCTGTTGAAAAAGTCTGGAGCATGAAGTGAAGTCCTACTCATTTCTACATTAATATATACATTCTATATAGTCAAACCGTCATTTGAGGTCTGTTAACCATGATGAGCTCTTTATTCAAATGAAAACAATCATTTATTGCATTATTTTTCTTCATGATTTAGTGATCAAGTACCGTAATACGCTAAATGATCGTCATACTAGATTATTTGCATGTAGGGAAAAATGCGATGAGAATCAATTGACTATACAAATAATAAAATCAATTACACGCATTACTCTTCACGTGATGACTTATCTTGTTGTATGTTATATCATGATCGATAGACTTAGATTCTAAATGAATGATTCAATTATCAACATAAAATGGTCTTTGTATTTTTGCTCTAATGCTTGATGAAGAAAAGTTTTCTCTTAGATATTGCTTTTTTCTTATTCAAATATTTCAGGTAAACAGAATCCCCAGTAATGAGCTCTGTCTTCTTTTTGCTTCTTTTGTTTGTATCCATCCGATTAATTGCGTCGTCTTAATAATCATATACGTGTTTTAATTCTATTCAGTGTATTCTAAAAGATAGCATTTTATTTGCTTTCTTTTAGCTTGAATATAGAAATCTAATCAAAAGCAGTAAACAGAAACAAACATTAATATGGGCATACATAATTCTAAAGATCACTCTAATTTAACATTATCAACTGTAAATAATAATAATAATCCAACATGGCGACCATCGATAAAGAATAAATTTTCAATCAAGAAGAAAACAATGAATTATAACGGTTGGCAAGAAATTAGTCGATGTTCACATTCGGATTGGTTGAATGGTGTTGCTGGTAAAATGAAAATTTCCTAAATTGAAAATAGAATTGGTATCAATGTCTTTTATAGAATCATTTGGTTTTCCTCGACATAAATTTATTTGTACTTCCGAACTGCACAGTGTGTGTGCACCTGGTTTTTGTTCAGAATCTTTATCACATAAACTTTATCATGGTGCATATCGGTCGTCGTCGAAAAATTTTCAATCAACAAAAATTAAAAAATTACGTGAACATTTTGAATATAATCATATACCAGCAATGATTAGTTCATTGCAGAATTATTCTGTACATGGGCTTATTAATGGTTGTTCAATGTCTGGCTTAGATCATAGTGATACGATTATGCTATTAATTTATTCAGTTGTTTTGGAAAAAACAAAATTTATTATTGTTGATTTAAAATTAAATCGTTATGTTTGCGCATTAGGCGACGATTATAATGGTTTAGTTGATGCGAAAAAAGTTCACGCTGCTTGGTCTATGGATAAAACACAAGTTATTATACGTGTACCGATGGTTGGAGGAAGAGCTGCATTGGATTTTTATAAAAGTATTAAAAAAAAGGATTTTTCATTCGAACAGAAATTTATCCTGATAATTACATAGATGAAATAGCTATTGGTTAGATTAACAAATATGTAGGTAGAGATACGTGACAGCCATATAAAAGATATAATTTGAAATGAAACTGATTTTGTTTATTAACTAATTATTAGTTCAAGAAATACTCATTATAAAATTATTTTTAGCTCATAGAAAAATGCTATGCTTTTTTAAGATTAGAGTACTGAAATACAAAAAACTCAACTTATTGTGCTTCGATGTTAGCATCGAATATAATAAATTAATATTAAATACAACAACACTTGTCGACGTTAGCATAGAATTGTTGAAATTCATTATCTGAATTAGAAATTTTTCGGAAAGTCTCCATAGAGAAAGATTACAACGTTTTATCCTTGACCTATTTCGTTATGATAACATTTTTTTGATTCTCAATTTCAAACTCACAGAAGTGAAAAAAATAAGACAAAAACTTGTTTTAGTCTTCAATGCTTAATAGACATCGAATATTCAAAATCTGCTTTTTTTCTCTGTCTAGTTGTGAGAAAAGAAGCTAAACTATATCGTCGAATCGTTCCAATTGATGTCAAAGCATTGTTTCAATTTTGTCCAAACTATTGGTCATCCTGTTTAATTCTTTATACTTATTCAACTGAAACAGAAACAACTCTCATCAATTATAATACAACAGCATTGACACCCGGTGGCTCAAATAAAGTACAAATTCAGGCTATTCAATTACGTCAACAATTGGCTGGATCATATTTGTATTTAATGAATGTACATTCATGGTCAGTATGTAAAAATCAAAGTATTCAAATTGATAATGGTTTTCAACTTTTATCAATTTTATACACACGTGATAGTGTGTATACAATATTAACATTTGCGGATAATCATTGCCATTGTGGACAAACATTACCTATCAGTTATTTTGATGTATATCAATCAAATAGTCTCCAACGACTTCATCGTATATATACGCAACATATATCGCATGTATGTCCGTGGCATATGTGTAGAAATTATTTGACGCCAATTTTTTCCGTTTCATCATCACGAATGGCATTTTGTACAACAAAAAATAATGATGGAAGAGAATTACAGGTTTCAATCGTTGTATTACCGAATGAACTAAATTTAAAATCAATTTGTCGTCGTCTAATAAATCATTATCTAAATCAAGTAAATGGTAAAATTGAAGATATTACACGTGAACTTCCATATCGTCTCAATCAATACATTCAATATCGACCAGAGTGTCAATAAACAAGAGACCATTCATTCACTAGTCGCGTCAGTTCTATTTTCTGTAAATAGATATATACATATACATTTCATGTAAATAACAGTGTTTATTTGATAACTTTTTCTTCAAACAAAGAACAAACTATAATAAAGACTCAACTATCGTTTTGAAAAGTAAATTCTTTTTAATATTCTATGAAGTTGACAGAAATTCAGTTCGGATATAGAATGGATGTACTAGAATTCAGTGATTTTTATCAGTTAGCCAGTACAGAAACTACTGCTGTAGCTAGACTGCTCGTTGCTACAGAAAAATGAAAAGCGATTCTGGGCTGCTTTTCTAAATAACACATAAAACCAAAATCATGAAGCCATCAAATGAATACGAAAATTCAAAGTATAATTTGGACTTTTTAACATCGGAAAAGTCACATAAACCAATACATAGCGAAAAAATAGTGTTTTCTGAGTAGCTAATTTGTGCCAATAGGATCTGACGATACGCAGATGTGATGAGTATCAGTATTTTTTCTTTCTTTCTTCACTATCATTGGCAGTCATACCTATTCACGGTCGTTGCAAAGCTGACAAAGTTGCACTCACTTATCTAAATACTCTTTTTATCTTCTCTACAGAAAAATCGAAAAACCAGTTTTCCATTTATGTACGTGCTAAGTGATGTTTTAATGATTTTTGTAAAACATTTTCAAGAGTTTTTAAAGTTTCAAGCCTTTCCTAACAATGTACATGTTAGAAGATGATGTTGAAATAATTCAATTGAGTCATTTTTTCATGAATCATGCTTGAAAAAGTTTCGTCTCATTACGAATACATGCATATTCAAATATGGTTTTCATATAATATGAATATAAACAGAAATATCTTTGTTTTTAGTCTTATTTCTTTAGCTATTCACTCAAAATTACACGAAAAGAAATAGTTTAAAGATAGATTGCACCGCATAAAAGAGCAAAAGCGCGATATCTTATTACAATATTTGAGCTTGTGAAACGCAAATATTGGAGATTACGTTAAAGATTATTTGCCTGCAACGAGCATCTGTACTGTTCTCCCTTGCTTTTTCTGTAACACGAGTACTTACATAAAATCAAGAGCAGAGTACATTAGAAAAATTGAATAAAGGTCCAAAAAACTATTTCCAACAAAGCGTCAAAGAACGACAATATCACGTAGAGCAAAAATACGTTCTTTCCGTCAGTAATATTCAACGCTAACGACAGAAAATAATAGCAAGAACATTCGTTGATTTGGATCGTATGTACGGAATAATCAAAAAAAAATATAGTTAATACTTTGTTTTAGTAAAATAAGAATGAAAATAAAATCATTTAACCTCACTAAAGTTTTAGCTACGCTGTAAGTATTAAATAATTAAAATACAAGATTACATTTGCCCATTCATAGTTTTCGCGTAGAAAATGTTATTTACATCTCTTCGATTATGAATATTAAAATACTTGTCATCCTATTAGTACAAAATGATGTCATCGTTTTGATGATCTTGAAATTACCAAATAATCTTAATTTGATTTCTTCATATAAACAAATTGAAAATAGTTATTCAAAGATGAACGACTGTCTTTTCATAAGATGACACACAACATTGAACACAAGCAGTTTTCTTTCCAATCATCTTAATTTAGTGATATTGAGAGTTGAACGTGGATTTAACGTATACGAAGAATGGCGACTATATTCCAGTATTTGCACTCAAAATCTCAGTTATAGGCGTAAGACAATATTATCTAATGTTGCATCAATCCTTTCTTCAACATGATGAAAATGAATGTAAAACCATACAGAAAAATCATTATAATGAAAATACAAATTGCTAATACTCACTGGGAGAGCAGACGTATGTGTCCCCAATTGTATCAGATTGAAGATTTGTAAACTATATTTTGTGTCTTATAAAGTAAATTTTCATCGCGTCGGATTTGAAAACAAGATTTCATTATCGTGATAACTCTATTATTGATATGTCCTCTGAGAGTAAATAATTCTAGATTTTCTTTCTAGCAATAATTTTATTCACGTTATTTTATGTCTACCATGATTATTTATTTAAGTTCAAAAGAGAAACAATAAAACAAAGTCAATTATCTTTATTTTAATTCTATTATAAACACAAAATTGCCAAGAAAATAAACAACAAAACAATAAAATATGATTAAAGCAGCAAAACTAAAATAGCTAATAAAAATGTAGAGATAGATTTGAGCTGTTAGACTGCTTGTGCCATACACAAAGCATAAGGCAAATAATGATCATCTGTTGTATAGCATTCGATAATTTTAAAAGAATTATTACTTATCAATGTTTGAATATCGTGAGGAGTATATTTTGCAGATACTTCAACTTGTATGGCTTCATAAGCTTGTAATTCCAATGAAAAACCATTCTGATCACTAACTGTTTGTTGTTTTGTACTAATCAACCAACTTTCCATTTGTTGTAATAGAGGATTAAATGTTGCATAATGTAGAAAATTTGTGATTTTAAAATTAAAGTTTAATTCACGATTGAGGCGAATTAAGAGATTATAATTGAACGCTGCAGTAATACCTTTCGGATCGTTATATGCTTGAATCATTGTTTTTGTAGCCTTGCAGAGGTCAAATGCACAAATAAACCAATCTCCAATTTTCAAATTCGATCGAACCGAACGAACTAGTTTCATAGCAGGTGAACTTTCGCCAAATTTAATATGATTGGAATCATACGAAGCGAAATTACCAATAGTACTGCCGAGTAACATAACAACTTGTACTTCCATTTCGTTGCTGTTAAGATGTGTATACATCTTATCAAATGTTGAACATATAGGATTGACATGTTCTTTAATAATATCTTCGCCCATTGTTTTTTGTAACCGTTGAACAAGCGAATCAATGGCATGTTGTGATATATCAACAGGATGATAAATAACCGAAATATTTTCCTTTGATTTTATCCATGGTGATAACCATGTTTCAACTTTACTACCATCACCACAACCAAGTTCAATAATATGAATATTAGACGGTGATGAACGATTGTGGATATTCGAATGTTGAAGAATTGTCGATCTGATATCATCAGCTCGTTTTCCTAACAATTTTAATTCTTGATTATAGAGATAATATTCATCCAGTGAAGTTATTTGTTCATAAATAGCTGAACCTTGTGCATCGTAGAAATATTCCGATGGAATTGTACGATGATTTGAATTACTTAATAATCTAACAATTTTTTCATGATCAGCTGTTGTTAAGGGATGATCAGTATGTGCATTTCGTTTAACACATCTGAATGTTGCAAATACATATCGATATTTATCTTGATACCAATTACGAAATGTTCGTCGAATTAATTTTAAATCAGTAGCAAACGAACCACCCAATAGTACAAAATGACTGTCATCAAAAAAATCTGCAGAATAACCCGGATAAGTAGGAAGACTTCCACGATAGTCTGTAAATGGTCGAAATATACTTGAAGTCCATTCAAATGCCGATCCTTGCCATTGTAAACTTTTATTCGTTCCCTTATTTATGGGTGCTGTATGTAAATGACGAAAGTTAGCATTATGAGTACCACTCGCTAAAGCCAAAGGTATGCATTTTGACCAATCCCACATAGCATAAACCCATTCGATTTCAGTTGGTAAATCAATTTCCGAACCAGTCTTATTTGATAACCATCGACAATAAGCTTTGGCTTCAATTTGACTAACAATAACAGGATGATCAAGCACAATTTCAATAGGTATATCACGTTGTAATACGAAATTTACACGATACGAATTATCATAACTCCATGATGTTGGATGAGATAGTTTTGTTTCAGTAATCCATTCAAAAGCATCGTCATCCCACCATTGTTTTGTTGTATAGCCATTATCTAAGACAAATTGAAGAAAATCACCGATACGAACTGGATGTGATTGTAGTTCGAAATTTGGAACATATGTTGGTTCACTAGGAAATTCATTATCCCAACCAAATGAATATGTTGCTAATTGTTCACTGTATGGTTTTCCCAATGATAATTGTCCTCCTGGCAATGGTATCCAAAGATTTTCTGGTAAAGGTGACGTAACATCACAAAGTCGTCGAAGATCTTTCTCATTGCTGATATCCGATCGAAATGCTTCAATCGGTAATTGAGCAAATAAATATATTAATGTTTCTTGATGCATCATTTCATGTTCTACAGCAATATTCAATACATTTAAAGCATTCAAGTCATCAAATTTAAGATCACCATTCATGAGAACATTCTTAATTTCAGAACGTACTTTGATTTTATACTCCTCGACACTTTGAACGCTAAAACTTCGCCAATATTCTTTCTCTATTTCATCATTAATTGAAAATCTACTTGAATGTCCATGATTCACAACACCTGTTAGCACATTTGGATCAACGCCACGTTGAAAAAGTTTATCGAATAAAGCATCAATAATTTTATTCACACCATCTAAATGTTGCAGTTGTGCCCAAGTAAAACACGGTAAATGACCAAGATAAAATAACAAGGGCAATCTTAATTTAATCGGTTGCCGATAAAAATCATCGGATGAGCGTAATAAACCAAAAAGATAATCGCTACGTTCCCATATTTGATTGAATTTGTTACACCAATTAGTGCTATGAACATCATTTTCTTCATTGTTATGGTCGCATTGATCAATGGAATAATTATGCTTAGAACTACCCATTTTAATAATAGTTTTTTATACAAAATTTTTGTCTTTATATGCATTGGAATAGCAAAGAACATCACCTGCGTCAACAAACAGATAAGTTTCCTTAAAATAAATATCTTATTGTATTGTAGGAATCTACTAAACATTTGGCGCGCTTTACATTTATTTCAATTGGTTGAAATGTAATTATTGATATCGGCTCATTGTCATATTTTTAAACTTCGCACACCTCGAATAAGCGTAAAGCTTTTTTGTTCTTATCTTAAAATTGCGACTAAAAACGTTAGGTTTCGATAGTGAGTCTAAGTCTCATTGTATGTTGAAAGCTATTACATGAATCACTAAAAATCATCAAAACGAGCTTAAGTAATTGATATAAAATCAATCTTGAAGAGAGAGCACCATGCTAATCTTTCTATATAGGACACTTTTTCTATTATATTACTTTGATCTAAATTCATTGAAGCATCCGGTTGATATTAACAACAATATGTTACTTTCACTGAAGTCCCTTTTAGCGTACTATTAGAATACAAAGAAAAAAAGATAAGACCTTTAGTATGATGTAACTTATTTTTGGCCTTGTAAATGAAAAGAGCATCTTACGCAATGTTATCAAAATAAATTCATCTCTGATTGAATAATTTAAACTATTAGATTTTTAATTAAAACACTGTCAATCCACTGCAATCTTTAGTTCAAAAGAAAAGAAAATACAATGTTTAATGATTTGAAAAGAAAGCACAACCATTGATTGCTTTAAATCATTCGAGACCAGCTTCTTTTAAACTATTATGTGTTGGATCCCATGTACATGACCACGGAGTATTACCAAGTGCATCCTATATATATATACACCTTTAAATCAATAGAGAATAAGATTAATTTTATTCTCTTACCAATACTTTCATATCTTCATCGGGAATTGACCAGTCAAATACATCTGCGTTTGATTGAAGTCTTGACTTTTGCGATGTCTTAGGAATCGTTATAAATCCATGTTGAACAGACCAACGAATTAATACTTGTGCAGGAGTTTTTGATAGTCTAAAATAAAATTTCATACATAATTCCTATGCTTATGCTTTTTTTAAAGGAGTAATTCTACTTGTTTGCAATACCACCGATAGTTTTATCTTGAATTTTTTGACCTTTGGCCAACGGCGAATAGCCCATTACAACAATATTATGTTCACGACAATAATTAACAATATCTTCTTTCTGTTGCCATGGATGAAGTTCAATTTGATTAACTGATGGTTTCTCAAGACCTAATTTAGCCAAAGCTTTTAAATGGACTACACCAAAATTCGAAACGCCTAAAGATCTATCATATTTGAAAATAATCGAAAAGCTAATGACTCATTAAACTATTCTTACCTTATCTTTCCTTGCTTTTTTGCTTCAATTAATGCTCGATAAGCTTCAGCACAATGGCGACCTTGTGGTGCATGAAGAAGATATAAATCAACATAGCTCGACTGAAGACTACAAAGAATATTTTAGAAAAAAATACACTAAAAGATTGTTTTCTAAGAAACCTTTGTAAACAGGTATCAAGAGTTTTGATTACACCTTTTGCTCCTTCAGACGATGGCCACCATTTTGAAACGATAAAAATATCTTCACGTTTTTTTCCACTTTGTTTTATTCCATTACCAACACCATCTTCATTTGCATAGAATTCAGCTGTATCAATTAATTGATAACCTTGATTAATAGCTGCAGCAACTACATCTGGACCTTGAAAAAACAATTCCAAGTCAAATTTTCTAATCTTAAAAATTAATCTCGCATACAATTATTATCAACTTGATAAACTCCAAGTCCAAATAAGGGCATAATTACACCATCATTAAGTTTAACTGTTGATGTAAGACTTGTAGCAATCAACCTTGAAGCCATCTAGAATAAAGAAAAATCTAAACCGATATTTAAAAAAGAAAGAGAGAGAGAGAGAGAGAGAGAAAGAAAAAATCACACGGCAGCTTGGAAGTGATCATATATGAGCTGATCATTGATCAGCATGTCGATAACACCTTACCCCCTACCGACAATTCATATTTGTAATAAGCGAGAACAACATAAATTCTTATACAAACTGTTACCTATCGAGCGATATCATTAATCAATTTTGTACAATTCATCATCATCATTCATCCCAGAAGAGAGAAAGAGAGAATCTATATATGAACGATTAAAAAGAGTGAAATACAATACATTTTTATTATTATTATTTCAAGGTAAAATAAGAAGATATCGATTCACACATTATTTCAAACGTTTTCTTTTCATAGAGTAATGAATCCACAAGACAGCGGTTATTTTAGTCCAAGTCCATCAAGTCAAGATTTCTGTTCTCATAAAACAGTTAAATCATTAACTAAACCTCAAGAATCTTATGTTGCACTTATTGCTCGTGCTATACTATCTTCGTCGAATTATCAAATGTTACTTGTCGACATATACGAATGGATTTTAAATGAATATCCCTATTATGGAACATTACAAAGTAAAGCATGGAGAAATTCTATCAGACATAATTTATCACTAAATGAATGCTTTATTCGACAACAAAAATCTGAAAATGGTCGTGGTTACTATTGGGGTATACATCCAGCTGCACTCGATGCATTTATTCGTGGGGATTTTCGACGACGACAAGCTCGTCTTCGAGCTAAACGAGCTGATACTTTATCCATTCAACCAATACCATGGATGATGAATACAGATAGCTCATTGAATTATTCAATACAACAGCAACAACCAACACAAACCTATAACTATTCATATTCATAATTTTTCCTTTTGTATAACCAATGAAAAAACAGAAAGAGTTAAAATAAAACAAATTAAAGCATTCGTTAAGTATTTATTTTCATTCGTGAAGTGTATATAATATAGTACATAAAAGTGAACCATAAACGAAAAAATAAGAATAAATATTTGTATCTGTTCATTCATATATTCATTGCAACGAATTCGTTTTAGTTTTATTTTTACTTGTAAGGGTTCGGTTGTTGGTTAATGTAAGGGGGTGGTGCACCGCCACCATATCCTGGTTGTGGTGGATAATAGTTTCCTTGGTTGTATGGTGGATAGCCTGGTTGTTGATTTGGTGGTGGATAACGTGGTTGCTGATTTGGAGGCGGATAATAAGGTTGAGCACCTCCCGGATAATATACTGGTTGGTTTTGAGGAGGTGGACCATAACCTTGTGGTCCATAAACTCCTCCTGTTGGAACATATCCAGCTGGTTGTTGATAATAACTGAATGAAAATTAAAAGCAATAGAGATTTGTTATCAGTCATGTAAAAAAAGGACATACACAGCGGTTGGTGCTTGATTATTACCCGAATTTGAGCCCATCATATCCTTCTAGAAAAATTAAAAATTTTTGTCAAAAATAAACAGCAATTGAAAATATTTACACAGCACTTGCCTAAAAGAAAAAAGAAAAGAAGATTTTTGTGTTCTGTTTTCACATTTTAGAATACATACAACAGCAGAGAGCAGCTAATGGCACGCACAGACAGCAGAGAAGATCATCACAACCATCGTCTAGGCACATGATTAGAATCTATTAAAAATGAACTAATATATTATGTTTTAGTTTGATTTAATTCAATAAATTATTCATAATAAAATTAATAATGACATAATAAATCAAAATGTATATACGCATCAGGTCCATCCAGATGGTTCCACGTTTATATGAATGGTCTATTACATCATCTAGTTATTGGAGCTAACGATAGATAACGTTAGACGTCGATTTACAATTATCTATGATTTACTGTTACCTGTTAGTCAATGCTTAGAAAAGACAGGAAGTGTATTGAAACAAAATACAAACATTTTATATCAGATTCATCTTTTTGATATTTTGAATCAAAATGATAAGAACTTCGTTCCTATTAAAATAAAATACATAGAGCCAATTAAATATCATAATACTTTTACAAGCATCTGGCCAAATTCTCAACAATCGGTATTCGAACGATTTTATAATACATTCTATTGTCTGCTACCTAAATGTGTCTTTCATGTATTTGAAATATTTATAATGAAATTTCAAGTTCGTTGGTATTGTTTTCGTTATTGTCCTATTAATTAGTCTATTGTCATAAGTTTTATTTCTATAAATTATAGTTTTAATATTATCTTATTGGTTCTATTATTAATTTTAATCTATTTTTTCTTCTATCATTTGGTAAGTTTTGCATAGAATGAATAAGTTTGCCGCATTATACTTTCACTCTCTTAAGCGATATATTGATGATGATGGGGAACCTATTGGTACAGTTTATATTACAGAAACTCGTGGTCGACTTGATAAATCTATTTTAACTGATTGTAAATCTTTTTCAACATGATAAATTGTTTTTTTTCAGTTATAATTATTTTTAATAGATGTTAAAGACAAAGAAGACGAATATTTTTCAGCAGCAAATATAAGTGTACCTATTCTTGTCTGGTGGACACCATTTACATATGACACAGGCTCGTATACACGGTGTAATAATAATAACCAAGCACGATGTTTTATATCCAATATACGAAAATATCGTGATAATAAACAATTTTCTGCATTTCTTTTCTATGGTACTAGTTTTCGTTTATATGATTTACCGTTGCCACGTCATGACCATGAACAATGGTCATTGATTCATGAAGAATCACCAAAAAATAATTATGCATTTTCATTTGAATCTATAATGAATATGTTTAATCATACAGCAACATTTAAACGTCACTCCGATCTACCTTTAACAACTCAGTGGTTAGCATCCATTGATGATTTATTAGATCAAACATATCTAATTGATGTTAAAGAAAAAACACAATTACAAACGACTGAAAATTTAGCACCAATCATCTATATCCAATCGGATTGTAGTACACCATCGGATCGGGATTTATATGTTAAAGAATTAATGAAATATATTCAAGTTGATTCCTATGGAGGTTGTTTACATAATAAAGATTTACCAGAGAAGTATGTACATATAGAATATTGAATAAAAATGTTTTCTTTTTATATTAAACATCTTTCGTCTTGTCTTGTAGTTTAAGAAATCCAGTTGAAACTATGGAACACGATGAAATATTAAAACTTGTTAGTAAATATAAATTTACATTGGCCTTTGAAAATGCGATATGTACTGATTATATAACTGAAAAATTCTGGCGTCCATTAAAAGTTGGTACTGTACCAATAGTCTATGGATCAGATCAATTTCAAGTAGATAGAAACATCTCTTATCACAATCTATTGTATTTGTCTATTTTTCAAAATAGGATTTTCTTCCTGATAATCATTCAGCAATATCAATGCTTGATTTTACGACACCTGAACTGTTAGCTCGTTTTATACATGAATTAAATGTCAACGATACTATGTATGATTCCTATCGTCATTTTAAACTGTATCAAATCATTTCAAATGATACACTCTTGGCACGAACAATGTCTGAACGTAAATGGGGTATACATAATGATCGTGTTCGCGGCAATTTTATTCATCAATTTGAATGTCTTGTATGTGAACGTATACATAAAACACGACAGGACCCAACAATAAAGTATCAAGCTAAATTTGATGATTATGGATGTCCACCACCAACAACATTTGATAAAAATGGTGAAAAATTGGAACGTTCAGGAAATTGGTATCGTAGTTATGAATTTACTCGATGTCAATTGGAAGTATTTCACGAATTATTGGATCAAAAAAATTATAGTTTTACAGAGAAAGATATAAACAATGCAGCAACGAAAAGATTTGCACCATCGTTTCGAAGAAATGAATTTTTACGATAATAAATGTTGTTGTTTTTATTCGTATTTCAATTTAAGAAAAATCAAGAGTTTTGTCTAGGTATTTAATTTGAAAAGTTATCAATTTAAGTTTATAAAATATAGAATGTAATTGAAAGCAGCAGAGATCTCCAATGAAGTTACCGGCGATCACACGAAAAATCGATTATAGACATTTCTTAATCACGTGAAAGTAATTCCAACGAATTGACACAATCATTTGCTAGTTATTCTCAGTCGATTCATTTTTTCCGCTTAAAACGTTTTCAGCATAAGATTTTAATAGGAAATAAACTAACGATTGCTACAACTCAAGCAATTTGCTGCATGTGTTTAGTGTAAGATTTGTATTGACATCTACTGCCATCTCGATTATTTTTAGATTCTAAAAAACTTGATATAACCAGTCATAGAATGCAGAACGCAAAAGCAAGGAAGAGAGTGACATTATATTTTCGTTGGAGGATGCTTAATGATTATGGAGATGTGGGTGTGTGTGTGTGTGTGTGTCTCCTTATACACATATGATGAAATGAGGCCAACAACATTTAGAGCATTGCATTAGTCGTTTTCTTCTCTTTATATAATTCTAGATATCAATTAAACGGTTGTTATTCGGATTTTTTTATCGATAGAAAATGTGCTCAACACATCAACAAAAATCATCATCATCTTCATCATGGAAACGTCCTGAAGCAGCAGCAGCAGAAACACAACTTCATCTTTATAACAGCTTTACCAAAAAGAAGGTAATCATAATGTGTACTATTTTAGTAAATTTTTTTTGTTTTCTTTTTAGGAACTTTTCGTACCGATAAATGGTAATGAAATACGATGGTATAGTTGTGGACCAACTGTATATGACACATCTCACATGGGTCATGCTCGGTAATCGAATGAGATTGATTTATTTATTTTATCTACCTTTTCTATTTTCAGATCGTACATTTCATTTGATATACTTCGACGTGTTATGGCTGATTATTTTGGTTATGATATTTTGTATTGTATGAACATAACTGATATTGACGATAAAGTAAATTTTCTAGTGTTTAAAAAACCATATGCTCATTTTTATATTTAAAGATCATTAAACGAGCTCGTGAAAGATATCTTATTAAGAAATATAAAGATGATAGTACAATTCCAATTGAAAAAGTACTCGAAGATTGTCAGCTCGCACTTAAAGTAGAATATAGAATTTTCAAATGAAATGAATCTATCCTAATTTCTATTCTTTTATTAGCATGTCAAAGATGTACGGTCACGTGAAACAGACAAAGACAAACAAGCTATGTATGATAAACAAATATCTACCGTAGAGAATTCACTTCAAAATATTGCTGCTGTAACTGATGTAGAAGCTAAAAGAAAAGTAAATAAAGTGCAAAAGCTTTAATTAAATCGAACTTTTCATTGTTGTTCTAAATAGATATTGTATGCTGATTGCCATGATATACTTTCATCATATTTGGATTTTAGCTATTCTCATTCAACAAATCCATTGGACAATGAAGTTTTTCTTGAATTAGCTCGTCATTATGAATCAGAATTTCATTCGGATATGTCACGCTTAAATATTTTACCTCCAGATATTTTAACACGTGTAAGTGAATATGTACCTGAGATAATAACATTTATTCAGAAGATAATTGAAAACGGTTATGCGTATGAATCGAATTCATCGGTTTATTTTGATACAATTAAATTTCATAAACAACATGCATATGCAAAATTAGAACCTGACCGCATGGGAGATATTGATGCATTAACTGAAGGAGAAGGAGCATTAACAACAGCTTCAAATACGAGCAAAGAAAAGAAGAATGAATGCGATTTCGTTTTATGGAAAAAAAGTAAAATAGGTGAACCAGTTTGGCAATCACCATGGGGATTTGGTCGACCAGGATGGCACATTGAATGTAGTGTTATGGCTAGTACTACCTTAGGTAAGAGATTTTTTTATGAGAAAAAAAAATAGTATAGACTCGTACTTGTTTTTATCTTTTAGGTGCACAATTTGATATTCATACAGGTGGTATCGACTTGAAATTTCCTCATCATGACAATGAAATTGCTCAATCTGAAGCTTTCTATGATAGTGATTCATGGGTAAATTATTTTCTACATAGTGGTCATTTAACAATATCCGGATGTAAAATGTCGAAATCATTAAAGAATTTCGTTACCATTCAACAAGCACTCGAAAAATATACATCAAGACAAATACGTTTATTATTTCTATTACATTCGTGGTCATCAACATTAGACTACAGTGATTCTGGCATGGAAAAAACTTTAAGTTATGAAAAATTACTTAGTGAATTTTTCTTGAATATCAAAACACACCTACGTTCAATGAAACAATTAAATCATTCGAGCGCTTATACCAAATATGATGAATATGATTTACAATTAAATGAACGTTTTTCGGCAATTAAAAAACAAGTACATTTGGCTTTATGTGATTCCATCGATACACCAACTGTAATGGAAAATATACGTCAATTAATAACAACAACAAATATTTATATGAACCGCACAAATGCAACTGTTAATCGCCTCCTGTTACGCAATATTGCTGCTTATATAACAGGTTTAATTGATATTTTTGGTTTGAATTCTTCTGTACCATCAACCGACGACATCGGATTTACTCGATCAACTGAACAACAAGCATCCGCTGTTAATGTCGAAGATATTGCTATGCCATATGTAGAACAATTTGCACTATTTCGAGATGCTGTGCGTACACAAGCCATTGAAGTTAAAAACAAAGAAATTCTGGCATTATGTGATCATGTAAGGAACGAAGTTTTACCGGAATTAGGCGTGCGACTCGAGGATAGAAGTATGAAATGAAATTTTCTTTCAAAATTATATTTCTATTGTTTTCCTCTATTCAATAGCTGGCACGAATAAAGCGACAATCAAGTTTTGCGATCCTGAAGTGCTAAGACGCGAACGTGAACAAGCATTGCTTGTTGAAAAAAGCAAACAAGAAGAAAAAGAGCGTCGAAAATTAGAACAACAATTGGCTAAAGAAGCGAAAGAAGCAAAGAAAAAAACTAGTAAAGAAAAAAAAGTAAGACGAACTGAAACCTGACCATTTGATGATATGCGATCTTTATTAATATTTGTTTTTATTCTACTTTCAGAATACTAATTCGAAAGATTCATCACAACCAGTTACTGTTGAAACTGTTACTGAGGGAGCAACTGCCATGACTATTGATAATTCTGAAGGCATAAATTGATTTTTGTGCTTTTATTTCATTTTAACTATAATCGTTATTGTTTTTTGTTTTGTTTTGTTTTGTTGTTACACCGTGGGTTAATCTATGCTTGTTTATTTATTCTTCTCTATTTTTGTTATATCTACAATGATTTAGGGTAATGAGAATAAGAGACCGTGTTCTATTCATGCACTTTTTTTTTGTTCTTTAATCACACTTTAAACATTGATCACTAATATATAAGATTTGATGATCATTTTTTCTCTTTTAACTCTATTATAATGGATTAATCTAATTTATAACAAATATTAGAAGGATAAAACAGAGAGATATGAGTGCGGATCAGGGTGGCCAAATCAAAAATTGAAAAATCAGAAATTAATCTGAAAATGGCAGTTTTTGGCAAATTCGTACATCTTTCGCTAAAATACTGGCATCCAAAGTTCTGCTGCGTTTCTGTTCATTGACTGGAATTTTATTTCAAAGATATTTCAATAAAACGAAAGGCAATATAATGAATATATCGCTTAGCTAATACAAAGACATCAATAAAAGATACTTAATGTTGAGCTTCGTTTTAAATTTAAAACTCGTTCACAAAAACGAGCAAAACTAAATCAAATACATTATGCGTAGATTAAGAATTTCAACGAGAAAAAAAATGTTAAATCCCATCATCTCGGTATTGTTATTCATATTTCGTATCTTTTGGAAGTCGAACGAGGAATATAAAGATGATTAATAGAGAAAATCGATGAAACAGTATTGATTTATTATAGTAATGGGTTATAATCGTACCTAATTTCAGTGACAAAGCAGCGATCTCAATATATTCCAAATTCAGAAAAAATCAGAAACATGTTCAAAATTCAGAATTTTCCCCTATTTTTCAGAAGATCTGGCCACCCTGGTGCGGATAGAGACAAAGAAGACTGGCATCACTTTGAGATTATATTGTTATTATTATTTGATTTCGGTCTTATTGATCAATAAGTTTTTCAGATAAATGTAATATCTACCACAATTACATTATTTATTGCTCAAGCACACTCATTCACTATCACCTATGTCACAATAAGGCGTCGAGTGTTTAGAAGTATCTTTTTTGGTGGTTGTTTGCCAGTAAACACATTGTGATGGTCAGCATAGCGCTTTTTTTATTCGATTCATTCATGGATAAAAGAAGAAAAAGACTTCGTGAAATCTTCAGATACGATCGTGTTCATCGATGTTTATTAATATCTTTTAACTATTTGATACTGAAATATGATTTGATTATATAGTAAATAATTATATCTACATACAGAGAATGACTGTACTTAAATAATTCTTTTATCAATGAACATATTTTAAAAAAAATGAAATATTGATAGAGTGTAGCTATATATTGTCTAAAGACTTCTGACAGAGATATCCCTCTTGAAATTATATTTTGATTTATTGTTATAAAACTGAAGTTTGTCAATTCGTCTTTCAAACTGGATGTTTTTTTCTGTCTTCTTTAACAAAAAGTAGAAACCATATATACATTCTATATTCTTATTGAAACTTGAAGCGATTGACGTCAGTCATCTGCATTCTGTTCTCGTGGAGAAAAAATATGCTAGCTACCTTGAGTCAATAAAAGAAAAAATACCCACTTGTTATAAATAAAATACCCATGCAGATGTAGCCAGAGTAAGTATACTAGTCAGATTTTCTTATAAGAAATAATAATCGAGCAAACTATTTGAAAGATATTCTAACAGTCTGAGAGTTTCCTTTGAATATGACAAATAAGAATATCGCCAACATTATCCTAGTATTTTTTGTTAGCTTTTCTATTCAGTCTCACATAAATTAGATTCATCATAAAGAAGCAGTGACTTGAGTAGAACCTTAACTGCTCCCTCAAAGTACAGCGAATATTTGGTCCATAATTGCAAATCTACGAAAACTAATAAAACTACAAACAGGTAAGTGCTTCGTGAGATGCCTAGTACGACTTCGAATATAAATCGACATCTGAATAACTATTCACAATTCGAAAATAAATGCAAAAAAATCAAGCCCATTTAAAAACCATCCCAAAGCCAAAGATAAAGATCTTCAAATTGGCAGCCCATTTACAATTTAGGAATAGATTTAGATTTCCTTTTTATATGTTAAACAATTCCGGTGTGGGTTAGTTTGTGTGCCACACTTGTATGCCTTTTCTGGCACCCACACTTGCTGTGTTGTGTTTGTGTGTAGACTCGTATGACCACCTTTCGTGGCACCCACACTTGGTATGTTGGGTTTGTATGTACCCACGTTGTCCGCCTTTCCTACCAGCCACACTGAGTGGTGTCACATATCCAAGATTTTGGAAATGCTACCACATCTCCCACAGGAGATGCCGCGTCTCCCGCTGGAAACGTGATATCCACAATCGGGAGATGCGGTCATTCACCACTGGAGATGTAACATCTCCTTTAGAGATGCGCATCCCACACACTCACACCCACCCAGGTCGGGCAATCCGACAGTAGGCACCTATCGTAACCCATCCGATCCGACTGGAATCCAATAGGATTTTATCGGATCCTGTCAGATCTTACAGAATTATCGTTGGATTCCGGGTCGAGGAATCGATGTCGGATCCTCAGTGTCGGATTCCTATGAACTCCAAGGAAAAACCGTTGTATGTCATCGGAAGTTCATAGGATTCCGGCACTGAGGATCCGATGTCGGATCAGTCGATTTGGGCGCATCTTTCGCGCGAAATGCGGCATCTCCCACGGGAGATGTGGTAGCATCTCCAAAGTCCTGGATATGTGACACTACTGGTCACACTTGGAGTAATCTCACGTGTTTCCGTTTTTCGAAGACAGTGTCTCAAATTCTCAGCGTTCTCGTTTAAAACTAGGTGCTGCAAATTTCGTCTTCAAGGATTTTTCATGAGTCGTTTTAAAAGCGTTTGATGCATATTTAGATATTGGAGAGAAGAAAACCGGGAAGGAAATGCAGTTATCTGAAATCTTCAATATGTAGTGCCTAAATCGATTTCCGTAAAAGTTTCAGTGCGAAAGCTCTCCCACAGCAAGCTGCGAGTAGCATCGAAGGAATGTGTTGCTGAGACGTATGTGAAAAATAATTTTAGGTCCGTAGTATTTTGTAGCTAGGAGATAGGATCAGCCGAAGATTTCTTAAAAAGCGATTTTCCCCTTGATTCTTGACATAATTTATAAAAAGGAAATCTTCGGCCGGGGTTGTGGGAAAACATGAAAGTGGTTTTTCTTGCATTTATATTCGAAGTCGAACTAGGTAGCTACTCAATGATCCATCAATCTCGTTTGCAAAACCAGCAAATGCTAAAAGTGAAGTTTGGACAGACTGTTCAAAAGTTTATTATAAAGATGAAGGTCTTGATTATATAATATGTCCACAATGTAGATATGTATGCATTTCAATTCATATAGATCTGATAGAAAAACTTTCGGGAATGATAATTTATAATGCTGTTCCCTTTTCCCATGCTCGCGTGCAAAAGTCTTTACGGGAAAATACGGGGAAAAGTCGTTCCCGCAGGACTCTATTTCTACCAGGGCACTCTGCACTAATTTTACGATATGCTTCTTTTTGTTGAGTACTCGAAAATTTATGTCTGATTGGGCAGCTTTAGAACACTTATCGCACTTATCTTGTATTATTTATTGATTGTTTTAGTTTTGTAAATTTCTTTTCAACATTTTAAAATCATTTTTACATAATTTTAAAGTGACAGAAAAAGTTTTATAAAACTGGTTGAGCGAAGAAAAATCTAAAAAAGAATGCTCATAAAACGTTTGTCAGAAAACTATGCCACAGAATAATTATTATCAAGAAATCGACAGATTTGTGTCCACATTGTCTATCTTAGATAAAAAAAAAAGATTGTAGCGAAATATCATTTTATCATGGATGAATTTATGAATGTAACACCGTCGCTGAACGATAAGCCAATCACACAAAATTCTTCTATAAGTGGTACATCCAATTTTTCAAAGTATACCTTATTTCTAGTAAATTATATTTTGATTAAGATTTAGTGAATCACAATCCAGTGAATTGGTCAATGTCGGATGTTGCCACATGGTTAAGCTCGTGTGGTCTGAAACAGTATGCTTCCGCGTTTGAAGGTAGTATTCTGTTGCGAAAAGTTTTACACTAATAATCATTGAGGCGGTATCGGTTTTATCAGAGAACACCATAGATGGTGGTGTGTTGATGGACGAAGATTTCGATGAAACAACTATCAAAGAACTTATACCTAACATCAAGGATCGACTATTATTTAACAAAGAACGAAAAAAGCTACGGTTAGCATCAGCAAAAAAATTTTTAATTGATATCTTTCTTTATAAGTAGAGAAAATAAACTGATTACTTCTCAATCGACACTGATCAATCTGCCTGAAAATTCTAAAACATACCTGCAGAAAGTAGGGGCAAATCGAGTCATGTATTATAGTCTTCTTGTGTGATTAATTAGGTTGATCTGAGCGCGTCTAGTTCTTTTTCTGAACTTATGGACAACGAGATGTATTCATCAGGTAATAGATATTGAAGTACTTGAAACATAGAAAATATTATTCTATTTTGACTAGTTCGTACTGGCATAAAAGCTCAATGTAAATGGGAACTTCACGAGCACAAAGTTACTCGACTTGATATCGCTGAACTACTCCACCCATGGACTAGTACACATATCCAAGTTATTCAGAATGCATTGAATGCCGGAGCTTTGGATATTTTCAAGAAAATATTTGGCTATATGTGCATAAAACCAGAATCAGATGGATTCGATTCTGATTTGAATATTATTATTAATGAAGCAATTACTAGCGAAATTATTTTTCACAATATTACTCATTCTTGCTCTTTAAAATCTTACATTCTTGACAGTTTGAAGCGTTATCATAGTCTATTTGATATTATGGATGCACTCTCCTCCTGTCTGAATGCAGTCCGAACGAATAGTTCCATGGATGCATTTCTAGATATTATCGAACAAATTACTAAATATATATTAATTATTTGTACCATAGAATCTTTATCTTCTGATAGTCAAAGATTTCTAGGAAATATGATTCGTAAAAATGGTTTACCTATTCCACTGGCTTATTACACACTTGGTACGAATGGATTAGAATTTAAAATTAATTTCAACACACTTGCCGAAACTTTTTGCTTTTCCAGTGATCGCATTATATTGTACTTCGGCAGTCCGACATCTATTGGACTTGGTAAAACAAGTATTCTGCCATATTTATTTGAAAATATTCGAAGCGAGATGTTGAATACAGATGGAAATCTACAATTTAGATCAAGCTGTATTGATGCTATGTTTGCTTCATTCACAAAAACTGATTCATACATTGTGTTTGATATTCATGGCACAATGACTACAATAAATGAAGATTTAATTACTGCGATTCAGCAATATTCTTCCATGCAGATTCTCTTTGTAACTGAAGCGGATTTACAAAATCGAGATTTTCTGCTCAAAACAATGAATTATTCGACTGAAACCAGGATGAAACCAACGATCGTTGTAGTTTTTGATTCAAAATATGACGTAAAGTCTAACTCGTCCTGTGAAACATTTCAGCAAGCTTTTGCCAAAGAAAATTGGTTGAATACGTTTTATATCAGAGCGCCTATATTAAGTAAATCGATTAGAGAGTCAAAATTTAATGAAAAAAGACGACTAAAACTGTTACGAAACAGTCTCATGGAAACTTTCCGCTCCACACTTGCAGTCTTACGTGCCCCATCGAATTTTGAATCAATTTTTATGATTCAAGCACATTTCATAAAAATAAAATCGACTGGTAATGCTCCGCCACCATCATTATATATGTTTGAAATACATCAAACACTTGAATCTCTATTTAAGAAATTGTCCGATAAAACGGATAACCTAAAACTTGTTACGCCTATTACCTATTTGGAAAGTGCCAAACTTAAATGTGAAAAAGAATTATCTCAACTTTGGGAGCAGTCATCTGCTGATCTGAATGTTCAGCTAGAGGAAATTCGAAAGCAATATCAATCTATCGATCAAATCCCTCAATATACCATGTTCTTTATTGATCTGCTTGTAAAACATCCATACATCGAACTATTGATAGCAGAAAAATATCTAGAATTATGGCGAGCTCAGTATGAAAAACCGTTGTTTAGTCAATTAAACGCAGAAAATGAGGGTGCTTATATCGTTATGTCTCGTATTAAGCATCTAGAAGAACAATGTGCACTACATGTTAACAAAGGTAATGAAGCTGAAGTTGAAAACATACTCAATCAAACTATCTTGGCAAAAGAGGATTACAAAGCACGTGAACATCGAATTATTAAAATTGAAAATCAATTATCAAATATTGATTTGACAATCGGTTTATTTTGCGATGAAATTTTTGCACTCTATGAGCACCTTCCTAAGCTTTTTGTGTCTAACAATCTATCAGAACTACTAGCCAAAACGTTTGTCGACCTTATGTACAAAGGATTTTCGTTTCACATTCTGCGTGGGCGCCCTCTACGGTGTCACAGTAAATTGATACAGTTATCTCTCAATCACATGCATCAGTCGTTCAACAAATCTCCTATCGTACTGACAGTTATTGGAGAACAATCTTCAGCTAAATCCTCACTTATGAATGCTACGTTTGGTTGCAACTTTCGCGTCAGTGCAGGTAGATGTACTATTGGTATGTACCTCAGTGTCGTACGTTGGCAGTCTCATCCAATCGTCATATTCGATACAGAAGGTCTTTTGTCACTTGAAGAGTCAGGCTCAATATTTGATAATCAAATGGTATCGATGGCAATGCTGACTTCACATATGGTACTTGTTAATCACAAAGGTGAATTAAGTGCTAATTTGGAGCATCTAGTTGGCATGAGTTTCTATGCAAAACTACAAATTCGATCTCCTCTAAAGCCAAAACTCTTATTTATCTTGCGTGATCAATCAGATACTAATGCGATGGATATATTCATTAAACAACTTGCTAAGTTTAAAGAAAACTTATACAATGATTGTAAATTTCTGAAATCATCGATTGACGACGAATTCGAAATCAATGAACGGAATATTATTTTATTACCAAATGCATTTTCTAGTGATTACAATTCTATTTTGGAGATCGAACAAACCTGGCGCAACCGTACATTTCCTATGAAAATTAATGAACTACGAAAGATAATTTCGATGAGTTTATTTGAGACTGGTAGTCAAATCTATCATGATATACGACAATTGTACCAGAAGATCGTTAGCAACTGGGATGCAATTGATAATCTAGGCCCTAATTTACTAGCATGCAAAACACTTTATGAACTTTCTATGAAGAATGAACTACGAGAAATTGCACGGAGCATTACAGAAAGCTGTATCATAGTTATACACAATCAAGGTAGACAGCATATCACTAAAATATTATCAGAAATTACGCCTAATAATTGTTCACAATTGGATATCACTCATTTCTCTACTCAGTTCTACGCAGCGATGCAGACTACTCATAGAAATATTATGGAAGAAGCATCTAATGATTATAATTCAAAAACGCAACGCAGCTGCTTTCCACCAGAAATCAAAGAAAAGGTGGCAAAGTTGATTGAGCCACCCATTTTAAATATGCAAGGGTTGTTACGAGCGGAATTCGAAGAATGCTTACATAAAAGAATTCATGATGTACGAGTTTCGAATGCACAACATCGACTTATCGGCGCTGTCCAGGAAGAATTCGATAGAAACATAAATTTGAACACGGAACAATTACAAGTTCGAATAAATAAGGTCTATCAAGAGGAGCTTGAAAGATGTACGCAGAGAATTCTATCAGAATCGGAGGCACCAGATCAAATCAAGTTGAGAGTTATCAAGTTTTACAATTCAGATTTAAGGGCAAAAGCTGCAAACACAACCATACAGAGTGTTTATAATTTACTGCGCCCATTTGACGTTAATCAGTTTCAAAAACGTTTGCAAGAGTTGGAAGAAGTCTATCAATGTGTTATAAGCTACACACAACCTAAACAACCTTCAAATATTTCTTTCTTTCGCCGTTTTGTAAATTTTGTCAGAAATAATGGTAATAAAGAGAACGAAGAAAGAATATGGGAGTTATTATATTGTCAAGTAGAATCTTGGTTTCAGGAGAAACATTACGACAATAAACACAAAAATCGTTTATTAAAGATTGTCGAAGGATGCTTTCCTCAACTGTGTGATGATATAACTCAGATGATACGAGCTCAACGTTCTTCAGATCCGTGTATCATTTCACATACACTGACTTACATTCAAAATTTCTATAATAACGAGATAATCGTAAATGAGCGAAAGCACTTGGTACTACATCATTTTCTGTTGGATGTTGCTGTTATTGCTCTTAGAAAATTAATCGAAGAAATCATCAAAACTGAACAACATCGTCACGAGAAAGATATAGAAAAGGCACGTAATGATTTGGCAACATGGCGAGAGAATCTGAAAACTCAAATTGATCACATGCACGATTCATTTGAACAAGGCAAAAACATGGCTACCATTATGAGCGAAGAAATTTTTAACGAAACTGGTCGTATATTACTTGATAAAATCCTGCATGATATAACTGAAGAGATTGGAAGGAGTCAATTTATTAATCATGATGCCGTTCAAAATCAAGCCTATCAAGAAAGTTTTGAACAAGGCAACGGAGAAAAAATTTTAAAGTATGTTTTGGATATCAATCGTTATTTTCGTGAACTAAGTTTACGTGAGATAAATACAAAATTTGAAGCTGTTATTTACATGTATATGCGGGATGCTGAACAATTTATTATAGATGTGTTCAATATCGTTAATGATACTGCGCAACAAAGCCAACTTGATAATGCCGGCTTAATTGCTGATGAGATCGAAAAAAGTATACTTGATAAGGGCTTATTAGGAAGCAATGTTGGCAATATGTTTACATTCAAAGGAATCATATCGCTACCAATTCACAGTCTTATGAATTTTAAACAAGGCTTCAAAACGCTTCTGGACAGCTTCGATAAGATTCCTGATCGTGTGGTGGCATTGACAAGAGATGTGAAAAAGAATGCTTACAATGGATGTAGAATGAGAATATCACGACAACTCGGTTGTCAAAGTCGATGTCCTGGCTGTGGTGCAAAGTGTAGCCGACCAGAGCCCCATGAGGAAGAGCTAGTGAAGCCATGGCACCAGTGTGAATGTGCACCTGCTAGTTGCAGTTGTAATCCACCAAAACCACAGCTCATGGTAGTTCATGGGACTCCTCATCATATTGCAGAGGCATTTTTCGGAAGAAAATATTACAAAAAGCACACACCAGTTCTCAAGCTTTGCTACCAGTATTGGATGACATCTGGAATGCATATTGGTGACGATGAATATGTCTCTCCACTGCAAAAATATTATAGCCAATACCACCCCGATTGGTATAATAATCTAAATGAACTCGCTATCACAGGGAACGCTTGTAGTAAGAATATTCCACCAACTGAACAGCGTCGAGCTTGGATGATTGTGCGACATGTTCTTGTTTCGCACTATGCTCGTAGGAAAATGGTTGATGAAGAATCTTATGATGAAAAGTTATATCCATCTAATATTGAAGCATTACCCAAGGACTTTGAGCCAAAATGGAACGACAAGAATTACGAATCTGATGAGGACAATGGTTAACTATGGACAGATGGAATAAAAATAAAACATTCCTTTCGTTTTTACCAATTTAATTAAAATAAAGTATACTAACAAAACCGACGCTTTTAATGACCTTTAATATGAACCGCAAATGGAGTGCATATAATTTGATTTGCATCATAACGTTAATTTGATACTGTTTTAATACTCAGTTACTGTAAGCAAATTGTCGAGTATTTCGGAAAAATAAATATAAAAGAATTTTTGCAGGTTTTTCAATTACACGAGATCATCACGATTTGATCCTATTGAGTTCATCTAGCACTCTCAATAAAGTCTTTCAGGATTTAATAGCCACTTAATTAAACCAACAAAAGTTCTATATCAACATCTCGTAGAATAAGAACCTCCTATTGAGTGTAAGTGCGGTTATTAGCCGTCTCTGTACTACACTTTGGCTACATATTTTCACCTTACATGCACCTTCGTGCTCACTTAATAGAATTGTAAGACTAAAGAAAATTTGAAGATAAAAATCTTAGTCATCATGATTTATGAGGAAATTATCAGAAGTGATTTAGCACTTTTATGCTAATCTTTTGAGGATCGTAGTGTGGGCGAATATAAAACTCGCGCCTTGTATTAATGATTCAAAAACAGAGGTTGGCTACTTAGAAAGCTAATAAAATCCATCCTTCATTGTGTAAAATCTGACTTTCGGCCTCGAAACAACGAGCATAATCATACTGCACGTCCTTTATAAAAGAGAAATCTTCAAGAACTGAGTTAAATGTTGGAAGATAACAATCTCTTTTTCTTCTTATCGTGTTTGCTAGTTCGATAACAGATCTATTAATAAAATACTGTTACAATTTGTTTCTTACCCATAAACAATGCCTGCACCTCAATTAAAAATCTTTCGTGTTCTTTGGGGCATTGAAGCTCAGTTTTCGGCCGATATTAATGTTCTTTTTGCTGAACTTCATCGACTGGGCTATACAGGTATTGAAGCATCACTGAGCGATATTGCACGCCTTTCAAACAATGATAGCAACGTTTTTCAACAAGCTTTACATGATCACAAACTCGAATTAATCGGTACTGTTGTCACGAGTTTCTATCCTTCTGAACCGGATGTATGGCATGATTTATCCATTGATGAGCATTTGGCTAATCTAGAAAAACAATTAAACGAACTCATACAGTTCAAACCTATACATGTGAATATTCAAGGAGGACAAGATTCATGGTCAACTAAACAGAAAGAAGCATATTTTGAAAAAGCATTAGAAATTCAAGCAAAATTTCCTCAAATCACATCATCACACGAAGTGAGCTTCATATCTGACTTATAAATAAAATTATGAGATTCTTTACTTACTTAATATTAGTCGATCTGCCGTGAAATTTTTTTCCTACATAAAAATTTTGTTTCTTTTTTTAAAATTTGATTGATTTCAGACCCACCGAAGTCGTGCACTCTACAATCCGTTCGTTACTGCTGATATGGTCAATCGATTCCCAACTCTTCGTCTAACTGCTGACTATTCCCACTTTCCGGTCGTGTGTGAACGTCTTTTACAACATCCTACTGATGACGAACGTTTTCGTCTATTTGCATCTAGAGTTGATCATATTCATGCGCGTGTCGGCTCAACTCAGCATGCACAAGTGGATGATCCTCGGGAATCAAAGGAAGAAAGTGAGCAAATGCAAAAATGGTGGGAAATGGTTTGGAACGAACAGAAGAATAGGAAATGGATAACCTTGACACCAGAATATGGACCAGTGCCATATGCGAGAGCAAGTGAAATTAATGTGTGGGAATTAACTAATCGAGAAATGGAACGGCAAAAAGAAAACTATGAAAAATGGGCAGCTACTATTCAAGAATGATTAACATTATTCAGCTAGTTTCTTGTGTACGCAGTTTGCTCGCTGATACCTACAATAAAATTGTTTCATTAAAAACAACACTAAGAGTACAAAAGCAGAGCGATCTTATAATTCCATTACACCCGTTATCCATATTTTCCTCAATAAGTAGTTACAATGCATTCTCCTGAGGAGTATCATATTCTGTAACTTGACTGTAGCATTTGAGTTCCCAAATATCACCTGAGACCTTAACTGATGATATAATTGCGACTATCCCTTGCCTTCGCTCATCATTCGTACTATATTTGTAACTATTCACTCTCATTTACTTTTTTTTAGAATACAGTGATATCCTATATAGAATATCCACAGGATAATACATCAAACCAACCAGAGATTTTCAGCTTTTGGAGTGGGTACTGGTTTAAAGCTACGATTATTTTACTACTTCATAAATTATCCTTCATTTAAGAAGTCAATATCCATAACGTGAATACTCTATGCTGTAGACTATTATGGCGCTTCCATATCGATATCAAGTGAAATAGGATTATATAACATCTGTGGGTAAATATAACAAGAATTATATCTACTCATATGCATATGCAGTAGTACTTCTATCGTGTTCATCGAAGAGAGCTGAATTAAAATAACACCATATTATTCATGTGCATAATCGTAGATGTTATCGAATGTTCTGAAACACTGTTGCCAGCTTCCACAGCTCACTGTAAGCGTGCTTCGTAAATCCTAAGTCAAATCTTGGCCGTGCTAAAAGATTCTTATTAGATAGTTTGGACTCTGTATCATTCAATGTCAGTAATATGAATAGATAAAATATTGATGTATCATGTCCTTGAGTACTAATGTAAAGATGAAAGCCTCACCATACACATTTCAATATTCATTTACGGAAGATTTCAGTTAATGAACGATAATACTAAGAAAATAGTTGATTATTGCAGTTCATCGAAGTGCATGAAAAAAATTCATTGGAGATGTCGTTAGTTAAAATGTAAAGGTGTATTTCATTGGTTCTTTTTACCTGCAATTAAATGATTAATCAATTGATTTTCAGTAAAAATATGGTCTCGTGCTTACCTGATGTTATTTTTTTAGTTTACAAATCAAAATTTATACAATAATATTATTATCGTGCATCACAAATAAAAGAATATTAATGAAAAATTAAAAATCATTTGTTTCTATTCTAGAAGTGTTTTTACAGGTGCTATCAAATTCATTTTTATTTCGTTGAAGATAACCACGAGAACAAAATGACTGATGATGATGATGTACCATTATTGAATGGTGACGATGATGAGGAGCAATTAATAACATCAGAAGATAGTCAACCAAACGTTGAAGCAATTTTTGTCGTTACTTTTGACGTTACATATGGTAAAACTCTAATTCAAGTTTTCTTTTTATCTACTATTCTATATAACTATTCAAGGTAATACAATTGAATTTCAAATGCCAGAAAAAGAACAAATGCCATTAAATGGTGTAGAATACAAAGCACTACCAAGTGGATCCCATCATATTCATGAAGATTTTGTGTAAGAACGATTTGTGTTTCTTTTGTCGTTCGCAATTATCTTGTACTTATAATATCTATGAAGGTTAAGTATCTAGAAAAGCAACAATCATTGATGTGCAAATTTATTTTTACTAATAACAGATATTTTACAATAAAATATAAAAGATAGACCCATATACAGTTTAGGTAGGTTCGAGCACTATGAACCATATGGACATCCGTGGTTACCATGGTTTTAATCATAAAAGATAACGCTAGTTACCTCTCTATATAAACTTCTACAAAAATCATATACTATTAGAAATCAAATTAGCCATGTTTTTCCTTGCTTAAGAGAAAGTCTATATGATAACGGAAAATAATATATGTATTTTCTGAATTAATTTCTGCTCGTTTAAGAAAAAGTTCATTTAGGAGTTTTTTTTTAATTTCAAATAACTGTATAATAAAAATAAATAGACCTTGAACTCATTTCTAAGATAAAATGATATCGGAAAATTTGACTTGAACAAGAATCATGATGATTACCTTGAAAATATCAAATAACATTAGATAAAATTTCAAGTTCATTGAATGCGTCTACTTCATGTTAGGCAAATTAAGTTCTAAGAAAGGTTACATTTGAAAAATAATTTTGTTTCACTCGATGAATCAAAACGAACGCATGAGAATCGACGTTAGTATTTAGACATAAAAAAGAATAAAAATTTCAAAGAATATTTCGTTTGACATATTTTGATAATGATAGTATTTGTTTAGATATTTTCGTCATGAAAGTAAATATGGATTGGCTTGTATAGTACGTGTTGATGCTGTAAAAGATGAGGATGATGGATCAGCTTTGTCAGTAGTCGATCAATCACAACGCGGTATGCGTATTAAATCTGTTGGTATTTTAACTTCATCTATGATACATATACAGTCGTATCTTGCATTTTTACAAACTGAAGCTAGGTGGTTAGTCCATATAGTCTAACAGTAGAAATGATCAACTTATTGATATTTAGAACTTATCTTAATCAATCATCAGCCGACTATGATCGTTTAAAACGACTTCTTCTACAACATGGTCAACCAACATCTGTTCCAGTTTCTATTTATGTAAGATATCATGTAGAATCTGTTAAAATTAGATCAGTGTTTTCTATTTCTATGATACGATACATATCAAATGTGTTTTATATATTGCACTAGAAGATAATCGACATAACATGTGTTACAACTGATATGTCATGCCATAGATATATGTAATATTTCTTACATTTGAAAAAACAAATTTGTTTATTGAAAGAACATAAGATTAGATTATGTTAGTTTTGAAGATGTTTGTCCTTAAGTAGAAAGTTCTCTAGAGAAGAAAATATAAATTTTAATTATTTCTCTGTTTGTTAAATTAGCGTAATATCGATTATAACTTGAGTCGACTTGTTTCTTTGCGAACAAAGAACAAAGTCAATGCTAAGTGATCGTATTAGTTGTACTCGACAACGTTTGATTGATTACTTGTAGGACAATTTATTTGCGGAATTCATTCAACAATTTGGTCCATCTATCTTTCCACTTACAAGGTTAATCCTTCTGGGTAAACGTATTTTACTTTACTCGCGTTCACCAATTGGATCTTTGTGCAATGCAGGTAGATACTTTTGTTTTTCTATCTTTAACGAGCTAAGACTTTCATCATAGTTTATTTTACACACATAATTAATCAATCTGTTAATCCATTGTTTTTTGTTAATATTACGGATTTAACAATGCTTAGTAATGAACAAAGTTATATTGGTTGCACAACAGAAATAATTTTTAAAGACAAAACACACATTTATGATGTATTTATTGATTGTGATAATGAAATTATTTTTCATGCAAACGATTCAATTTTACGGTTAATTGTTAAAATAACACCTAATGATCGTAATCGATTACAAAAGAACGTAACGTAAGTAAAATCATTGTAAAAATACTCGAATAGAATAGAATGTATTCTTTATTCAATGACATAATCAATAAATTATTTTCTTTATTTAGTTTGAACTCTTTTATTAACATTGGCAATCGTTTATCACGCTTATTAAACCAATTATCACAGTCAAATATCGATAATAATCAACAGATGACTAAAAAGAATTTTCATTCTATTGGCCTTCATCAACGTTATGACCGATTATTTCTTGATCAATACATTCGAATACATCGCATTCCACATGTCACTATAAGTAACCCAGGCTCAGCATTTTTTCCTATTTCTCCTTGTTGTTCTTGTCCATCGTCTAATTGATTTTTAATTTAAGTATAAAAGCAAAAAAAAATATTGCAATTGATCTCAATTTGTTTTGTTTTTTCTACTTTTATGGTATCGATCGAGTGACGAAAGATGATTAGCTCATATAAAAATGTAATTTATCGTAGTATATATTAAGAAAAAAGTTTCTGCTTGAAAAATATTGCTCATATCGAAAACGTATACAACATTAGATTCTATAGTATTATTTGTTATATTTCTCATTACTATCCATCGCTGTCACGTCGAACAAATCATTTTGCTTTTTGTGTCTCATTATCATCCCATTCTTATCAGAAGAAGTTGACAATAATATCATTCATGCCTCTTTACGCTTTGTCTATAGACACGAAGAAAATAAGTCAATCTCTAAGAAGCTTATGCGTGTCGTCAATAATATCAAGGGGCGGTGAGACGATAGACGTCCACATGTAACGAAAGAATAGTAAACGATAACTATTCTTTCTTCTTTTTTCTAGAGACTCACTAGCAAATATGTACAGAGAACGTTGCTGTATTCTTTTTTTCTCTTGTTCTATTGAGTTTCATTATTTTGTTGAATATAGTAGACAATACAGAGAAACTTTTGTATGCTTTCATTGCGTAAGAATTTTTCTTCTTCAGGAAGAAGAAGAAGAACAACAACAAAAATCATTTAATGATGATACCTTCAGGAGTTCTGTCTATAGTTCGTTATGATACTGTTGGTTTCCATCTGATAACCGAGATAGGCTGTTTACATGTCCTCAAGAACATCAGTTTTTTACCCTTCATTTGTCCATTCATACATATATGTTGACATTCATTGTTCTTCATATAACAAATGGATAAAAAGGGTCCTTCCATATTCATTATAAATACAAAAAGCTTTCTTTCTACAAAGCGCATTTCTCTCTTGACATATTGATAAAAAAAAGTTTTATTTACCCGACTAGACTTCATGATCGTAAACATAAAAAATAAAATTCCACCATTTTCAACGACGCGATCTGTCATGTCATAAATATGTTTTTTTTTTTATGTTGTAGATGGTAAAGTAAAAAGTTACAAGTGACAAAAATTTGTTCGAACGCATCGAACAGTATGTGGCAAACACAAGGAAAAGGGATTTTTACTGACAATAGCAATCCATCGTCGTCAACATTACAGTGTCGAATACAATTTCTTGATGATATCGATCCATTTTCAAGTGTCAATTTACCAGAACCAGCTAGACCTCCGTCCTTCACATTTTTGACATCAACTGTTTTAAGTAATCAATTACATAGTGTACATAAAATTCTCGATGCACCACATAAAGTAATTGAATTCATTTAAAAGATCGTATAGCTAATCCAAATTTTTTCCTATATTTAAAGATTTCTGATAGTACACTTGAATTATGCCGCCAAGATGGATCTAAAACAGAATTTGGACCTTACCTTGAATTAGACCAAACCCTAGATGAACAACGTGAAGATATTGAAGCATTTACACAAGGGTTTGTTTGTCATATTCTGATGGTCGAAAATGTATTCATTTTTATTTTTCTAAGGTTTAAATGGTCAATTGTTCTTCGTACACAGCTTAATGTTCGAGTTCAAGCTTGCATTGGTAGATATTTAAAAAATGAAATATTTTTTACGTTGTTCACTAAATAAAATTATATTTTTCTGTCTAGATAAACTATTGAATTCAGATGGGCGTGAATTACGAAGATCACTTTTTTCATTGAAACAAATTTTTCAAGTAAAGAAAAAAAAATCGATTTATTATATTTTTCGTTATTGTTGTTTTAAGGATGATAAAGATCTTGTGCATGAGTTTGTTAATAATCAAGGTTTACAATGTTTAATAAAAATTGGCGGCGCAGCCGATCAAAACTATCAAAATTATATTTTACGAGGTAGAAATGAAATATTTTTGATTGAAATATTTCAAATGAACATTTTTACTGAATAGCACTTGGCCAATTAATGTTATATGTTGATGGAATGAATGCTGTCATAAATCAAAATGAAGTTGTTCAATGGCTTTATTCATTAGTAGAATCAAATGTATGCAAAAAGAATAGTTTCCTTTAATATGAAAGAACCAGGATCTCTATGCGATGAAATTCATTTTCTTAGTTTTGTCGATAGGCAGCTCAGGCGACTAGAATTGATAGTTTGTACGACCTGAATCGTTAGATTGTATGTCGACTGTCTACAGCTGACTCAAAATTGGATATTATATTTTATTTATAGTATTACGCAATTTTATGTCATATGGACAGTTTGTCTCGATTCTTCAGTTCTTACAATAATTTGTCATTTTTATATCGAATGACATAGATGACGACGACAAAATATCGATCTGTTCTCTTCCTACTTCGATAACGATGTACTCTCTCATGCACATTAAGAGGAAGGACATAGCGAAGCTTCCTTCTATTAATCTTTAATAGAAGCGATTCATTTTGAATTAAAAAGTAATTCAATACGGCTTCCAATGTTTCAAATATTGGCTCTATTGTGTTCATATTAGTTTATAAGCGAGAGATTTAAGTCAAGCACAAAATGTTTATTTCAGCGCCAAAAGTTGCCCTTTTGACTGCTATTTGATCAGAGTAATTAGGTTTAGTATAGGAATCAGCATAGAAAACGATGTCAATTTAGATGAGGTACAAAGTTCTCTGATCACTTTTATTGTCGTCCGAAAATTCAGTCATAATTGTCCTCAGGGTAGTAGCATCGAAAAAGTAAAGTCAACAAAAAACACGTTTGTTTCACTACCAATAGTCACTTCTCTATTTCTAAAGAATTTATAACAACCCTAACGGAGAGGGGGAGGACACAGCTGAGTATTCAGATGCAAATGAAATTCGTCACACAATTGTGAGATGCATATCGATTAACTATGTTCTATAATGTATACAAACACATTACTTTTTTTCTGCATGAGAAAGACTCTTTAAGAGCCAGTCAAAAACACCATTTTTATTACTCATAAAGAATATTCAACAGTTTAAAATTCGAAATCAATAGTTATTTTCACAGCTCAGGAAAAAAAAGAACTTCTTGTCCTTGATCTTCTTTGATTGTTGTACATACAAGTGAATAATGTCATCAATGTAAAAGAAAATGAAAAAGAAGAGTATGTTGTCATACTCTTACATAGCTTTCAATACAATAGAAAAAAGTACTTATATTTAAAAAACAACGAAAAATAAGAAGAACTGAAGACAAGAGGAAAACATTGCATAGCATCGATGATCTATCAAGAATAAATAATATTAAGTTCCATAAACTCTAAGGCTCTTGACATCTACATTGACTATTGATAAAATAAGAAGCTTAACTTCGATTTCATCGTTTATAGATCTTTTGCTTTCAAATATTATTTTTGATTCTAGTTTCGACTTGTTGTAAAGACAAGTTTAAAACTTTTAATTGTATTTGCTGAATATGCAGAATCAAATGCTTCATTAATTCTATCAGCTGTAACACAAGTTGATCAATCAGATAAACGTCCATTATGGTCGAATGCCATGAAAATCTTAAACGAAATGGATAATTCCGGAACGGAAGTTGTTTTATTAATAATTACATTATTTAACACAGTTCTATCAGTAATACCTGATCAAGATACATTTTATGATATGACCGATTCATTAGAACAGCAAGGAATGCAAAGATGTACACAGTTTTATATCAATAGAAAACCAATAGAAGCAGATCTTGTTGAACAATTTCAAATTTTTGACGTACGTTCAAAATGAAAACAAAAAGTCACATTCAATATTTCTATTCTAACACTAATAGTAAAATAGAAAGAGTTCAATAATTTTGATTCTACGCAAAACGACAATTTTCTATTACAAGCTATCACGAGATGAGCTGATTCTGAGTCAAATGTGAATAGTCTAGTACGAAAATTTATAGTTAAACATTGTGGACAATCGTTTTAGTATTGAAATGGTTCTATTTCAGATTTAACAATTTATACAATCTCGACAATAGCTTAGAATCACTGATATATATGAAGAGAAAGAAAAGCGCTGCACTATACTTGTCCTTGGATTAATCATTTTCGACTATTGATTAGAATTTTTAATTCTAGGCAGCACTTCGACGTGAAGATGGTGAAGATGATTCATCAATTTTACAATCAATAAGGTATGTACTCATCTAGATATCTTTCTTTTTGAAGCAGTAGTGAACAAGAAATCAATTAGTGAGATAAATTCTTATTCCAAGCGGAAAACATGTATTTCAGGTCAAAAATCAATTCTCTTTTCTTCCTGTTTATAAAATAAACCAAAACAAAAATACACAGAAGTCAAAGTATGCATAGTAGATCTATAGTAAACAGTTGTATCGCCACCATTCAGAAAAGATATCTATGCCTACACAACAACTTCCATGCTATAGAAAAATTTACAAATACTAAACATCACTCTTCTTCATTTTTCACATTCTTTCTTTCGACGAGAATCCTTCAAAAAAAAAACTTGTTTACAAACTCTTTGTACTACTTCACGTACAGCATTACTTTCTATTTCTTTCGCAGGCATTTGCCCTCTATTGGAACTTATTCATTTCGTTTATCGAAAGCATGTTTTCCGTTCCTTTCTTCAGTATTCTCGCTCAGATTCATTATTTCTCTTGGTCTGACATTTTTGATAGAAGGAAATATTTCGTTTAGTGTTTATCGAACATAATTTCGTACGTATTTTTGACTTGAGCGAAATTTTTCTGTTAGCAATAAAATAATCGTTTATATCACCGATGAGATATTTGTCTAATCTCCAACAACCAGATCTGATCGTAATAATAACAGACAAAAAAAAATTTCATAATTGCTAGTGCTTTATCATCTTCCAACATCTTTGAAGCTCTTGTCTGGAGGTAATTTTTCAATGGTTTTGTTTTTCCCTTCACACAAAAGTTCAAAAATGCAAGGCCAATGTAAAAAAAAGCCCGCTTTCGTCCTGTTATAATCTAGCATGTGTGTTGTCTCTTAACCCTATGTTTGCATGCTTATTGCATTGTATAGGCGCACACCTCGCACAAAATCTTTGTTTGAGCGAATGTCATCCCGTCGTGTTTCATCCGTTGATTCAAATTGTTCATATGATAATCAAGAAGAACCTACAATAATTTATAATACTAATGATCAAGAGATTTCTCAAATTCATTTGGATTTAACTGATTCAACATTGCCACAATATAATGATGTGATCATGTCATCGAATGAACAAGATGATTCAACCGTATCATTCAATGGCGATATAGATGATGATGGTGATAGTGATGAGTATGCTTATTTTATTTTACATTGCCGCTTCTTCGTTTTTTTTCCTTCTTCCTTGTTCATTCTCCTTGTACAATATCAGTAGGTTTTTGTTTTGCTTGGATGCTTCTTTTTCTTTTTATTCTTTCATCATTTATTGATTATTATCTTTCAGGCGAAAAACACGAGCTAAAAGTATGATTGATAATCGACAAAGTATGCGAAGTAGTGCATCGTATACATTTGAACCAAATTTATCATTTAAAAAAAAAGAACAAGAAGTGTAAATACAAGAAAATGTTTTTTTTAGTATTTATTCAATCGTGTAATGAAAATCGTTTTTTTTGTTGTTGCTGTATTTAGACCCAAACCATTGCCAGATAACTCAGCTATTCGTCGAATGCAAGATCGATGGGAAACAGAAATTTTGCATCGTGAACTTCCTCGAACAGCGCCCAATGAAGGTACTCGTAATCGTTGGGGAGCAAATAATGATGATTCAAGTCATCATCAGAGTAAATAATCATCATCTTTATAGTTCGTTTTTTTTTACTGTGAAATTTATTTCTAGCATTAAAACCATTGACCAACCTTGGCAATCATATTGTTCCGTCCAGCTCTTTTACACGTTTATCAGCTAATAATGAATCGGTTTCAACTCCATTTAATAATCAAAAACCAACAAATAATCACAGTTCAATTGAAACATTAGCGCGTCAAATTACTGTGTCAACAATGCATGGGAACGATGGATCACTAACAAACGGCCAAGCCACTATAATTGTCAAAGATCCGAAAGTAATACCATCACCAGAACTTATCGGTGCAGTAACACGAGCAAAAGATGGTCAGTGATTATGATTAAAAAACTCAAAGCTGAAACTTCGAATTTTTAGGTTTACAAGCAGCAACCAGCAAATCACCTCACATCTCAACAACTTGTTTTACTCTACCTGGTCAATTTCCCGATTCATTACTATCGAAACATCTAACAGAACATGATCTTCAATGGGAATATGTTATCAGCAAACCGTTAGACCGCAAATTACGCGTTCAAGACTTGAATTTCGAAGAGCTCGATGAAAAAGATGATACAAGCATTATGAATATCATTACTGGTCGAACAGGACCACCACCTCCACCTCCACCTCCACCTCCATCAATGATGAATGGGAATGGCCCTCCTCCCCCCGCCGCCTCCTCCTCCACCATTTCCTTTAATGATGGCTGGTGGGCCACCCCCACCACCACCCCCCATAGGGTGCCCTCCTCCACCTCCTCCGCCTCCATTTCTACCACGAGGCATGGCACCCCCCCCGTTTACCATGAACAATGGTAATACATGGAGCGAATCATCGTCATCAAATAATAAATCAGTAAAAACATTGCGTCTACATTGGCGTGAAGCTGCTCCAAATATGATGCTCTCGACGACACCTGGAACGAATGATTCTCTTTGGTCTTCATTGAATAAAGTCAAATTAGATACTGAAAAATTATCAAAGTTATTCGAATTGAAACAAGCTGAAGTTAAAGTCAAGGTAATCATACCAAAATGAAGTAGGCAATTTCTTTTTAATACAAAGTTAGCAAGCTTAACAAATATCTGAGAAAATAAAATAAGCTATTTAATATTCTAGTATATTTAAATATTTCTTTCTTTCTTATGTTAAACAGGAAACAGTAAGTACATAGACACATCATATGTGTTAATTGTCAGCTTTGATTCTTTGATTATGTTTATTTTCTTGATTAATGCTTTCGAAATTGATCAATAATTTTCGAAATGTCATTAGTTTACATGTATTTGGCATTGTCAAATCAACAAAAATAAATCTCTATTGGGTCACTATTTTCCTCTTTATTGTTTGTAAATAACTAACATTGGGGTAGTCTTACATAAAAATTCGTTGTCTATTCTCTGTGTGTGTGTGTGTGCTTTATGTATTCGCTTCTTGTTTCTCTCTCTCTCTCTCTCTCTCTTTTGAATTAATTTCTCATAGTAGCGATATTAAATTAGAATATTAATACGTTGTTTTATTCTATAGAAAAGTGGTGATATAAAAAAAGAAATAACTGTACTCGATCCAAAACGTTCAAATGCAATTAATATTGGTCTTACCGTTTTACCAACAGCTCGAACAATCAAAGCAGCTATTTTGAAAATGGACAGTAGTGTTATAAATAAAGAAGGCATTGAGGTAATACATTTTTTGAAAAAGGAAGTGTTTCGTTTTTATTATTTTTTTAAGTTAAAATCAGATCAATTAGCATTTCTTACCTATAAAATGTTAATATTGTTTGAAGTGCGACTAAAGTACTTGAATCAAGGGGGAAACGGCGGATTTTCGGGATTGCCAATCCATGAGCAATCCGAAAAACATCCCAAATTTACCAGCAATCGCCTCTTGTAAATGAAGGAATTTCGAGCTGAAATTTTTATCATATGTAGACCTCGTGGTCCTTAGAATATCCTAAAAGTTTCAGCTCAAACGGATGTTTTATTCTGAAGATAATGCGATTGCAAAAATACTCATATTTCCAAGGATGAAATGGTGGATTTTCGGGATTGCCAATCCATGAACAATCCGAAAAAACTCCGAAAATCTGCAATCCGCCGTTTCCCCCTTGACTTGAATCGTCATCTATATGCTCGATTTTCCGGTTCAAATTCTAAAGAGTAATATTGATTTCATTATTGGTGGACGAATTTTGCTCTGCTTTAAATTGTGATCAATAAAAAGCTAGAGAACGATCAAAAGTAACGTCTTCTCTTAATGATAGTTTTAAATGTAATATTTCAGAAAAGAAATTCATCGTGTAACGAAATCATTTTAGTTAGATTTCGAGCTATTATGGTAATCCAAAAAATGAAAACACAATAATGATCGAAAATTTTCCGATAATGTGTCAAGACATTGCTTGATATAAATAGTTTTGAATTATTATTAGACTTGTATTACTTTTCAACTTTGTGTTCAACATAAAGGATCTATTCAAACAGAAGTATCGAGAGCGGGTTACGATAACCTATTTTAACCTTGTCAAAACTTTTCGTTTTCCTTCGTTGTTCTATTGCTTTTATTTTTGATCGAGAATTCTTAGGTTATATCTGAAAGCTCGCGGTCGATCTTCTCTCAATATTGACGAGTTTCAGACAACGCTAGCTACAAAAGATATACGTAAATCATTGATGAATTTTAGTTTCCCAATGAGAAATAAAGTACTGTATCACGAAATAGGTTCGAAGAGTAATTTTATCAAAAGGAAAATATATACATGTTAGTACCAGCAGAGAGTATATCAGAATTATTTAATCGATTTGTCATTGATCTCTAGTTATAGAGTGAATGAAAAGTTTCTCTCAACCAGAGTATACAAATACAAGAAAAGTGTGCTCTGTCGAACTCTTCTGTTCAGAAACTTTCTAATACTGTTTACAGGAACATTTTCATATACAACTCAACGAATTCTATCATCGTGTAGAATTTATATTTATTGAAAATTAATAGATTAAACGATTTTTGTTTATGATTTAGAAATTATTAACAATGCTTCCAACAGAAGAAGAAAAAAATCGTATAATAGAAGCACAAATGGCTAACAGTGATATACCATTGGGCAATGCTGAATATTTTCTATTAACAATTGGAGCTGTTGTCGAATTGGAAGCTCGTTTAAAGCTATGGTTATTTAAACTTGATTTTGATAATATTGAATTGGTTCGATAGAATATTTAACATAGAATAATTAGAATATATTTTCTTTTCCATAGGAAATCGCTGAACCCTTAATGGATTTAAAAAATGGAATGAGAAACTTGAAAGAGAATATAACATTTCGACGTATACTCGAAGTACTTCTTGCTGTTGGTAATTTTCTTAATGGAGCTGAGGTAAATAGAAATATTTTCATTTAAAAATTATTCAATCGTCATCTTCAATTTTAGTCAACTGGTTTTCAACTTGATTATCTTTCTAAAGTTCCTGAAGTAAAAGATACTATTCAAAAACATTCATTATTATTTCATGTGTGCAATATTGTTGTTGAAAAATATCCTGATACAAGTGATTTCTATTCAGAACTGGGTGAAATAACTCGATGTTCAAAGGTATAGTAATAAAGTTTTCTTTGTTTCACTAGTTATCGTAGAAATCATTTTTACATTAGATTGACTTCGATGAAATTGAATTGAAATTAGCTAAACTAGAAAATGATTGTCGTGGAGCGTTTGAACATTTAAAAGCTATTAGTAAACATGAAACATTACAAGTGAAAACCAAGTACGTATCGTTTCTCTTTTCTACAACGAGTCTGCATCCTAGTGATAAACCCTATTATACTTCTTTTTATGCATTTGAATATATATTTTACTTGAGCCAGAAGTGATCCCTTATAAAAAAAAATACATAATATATATCAAAGATCATTTTCAGAGTTGATATTAAGATGCATGGTAAATTTTATAATGCCACGTATGTATTTGATTACGCTTTTTTTGTTCTACATACACAGAAAAAAGAATCAAAATGATCAAATGTTGCTTCACAGATAAAATCTCGCTTATTGCTAAATAGGTCCTTATTTCTTAATTCAACTGAAAATGGTGTTTTTTTTTCGAATCATAGACTGGCAGAATTTCTTACTGATTGTGCTGAACGTGTTTGTCTATTGAAAATTATACAAACACGTGTATTAAATCGTTTTCGACGATTTCTTCTCTGGCTTGGTTATCCTCTTGGTATAATACAAGAAACCAAGATTACACAATTTTGTAAGATTCTTAGTGAATTCGCACTTGAATATCGAACAACACGTGAACGTATAACAACACAAAAACAAAAGAAACAAAATCGTGGTGAACGAAATAAAACAAGGGGCAAATTAATAACTGAGGTTTGAACAATTTCCGTTTTTGCTACACGCAATCTTTCTATTATATTTGATATCTTTTTATTTTTTTCTGTAGATTATTTCAGAAAAAGGCAATCCATTGACAGATGTTTTATTAAATGGTTTTCGAACAGACGATGAATCTAGTTCCTATTGTGAACCACCAAAAACAAAATATTCTTCATCTACTATTCCACAAACTTATAATACTCTCAAGCCGGCATCTCCTATGGCGGATAAAAGCTCAAGACAACAGACAAATCTAAAAAGTGCTCAACCGGACATGTTAAGTGATCTAGCAGCTGCAGTTAGAAGTTCATCGAAAGATGGTCAAGCAATGCCTGGTCATCGATTACGACAAAAAGCATCTGGTATGTTTAGATTTTTACAAGAATAATATGTTCATAGACGCTCTCTTGGTGTACACTTCACTGAAACACCAGTTCATCGGATTTAGTATGATGAATGAACGAACATTAATCCCATATTTATATTGAAAAAGAACCTCAGTGCTTTGTTTTCTGTGCGACAGTAACGGTACTGTTCCAGATGAGAAATTACTTTTAGGTCAAGAATATCTGAATTGATGTAAAATAAAATAAGTTATGAATTCGAGAAGTACTGATTGCAATAAAAGCGCTTAGATTGCATATCCTATCTAGACATAGACGTCTACAATATAAGGCTCAAGCAGTTTTGGAAAAAGAAAGAAAATTCAAGTCACTTGATTGACTTTTATTCTGAAATACAAATATAAAACCTGTTGATATATAAAGACAAAACAAACGCTATATTTTCCTCTCTAGCAATACTTTTCTATTAATGTTCTTTCTGTGTACATAGTTTCAAATCGAACATAAGTAAGTTTTTTCTCTCACGAATATCATGGTACTCACCAGAATGGTGTAATAGCTTATTCGACTTGACAAAATACACATAGTCTTTATTCCAAGTCATTTATTCATTGAAAGACTTCCGTCATGTTCACATTCATTTTTTACAACGTCACACTAGAACAATTAATGTTGAATATTTGTAGTGAATAATTTACAAAAATCGCCAGCATCGGCTTCACCAACATTAAATACCCTTCAATCGATTAAATCCAATGAAAACGAAGGATTTGATACAAGCGATGAATTACTTGATACTCTTGTTAAAAATGCTACATTAACATCATCGAAAGATGCAATAAAACAACGCCGAATAGCTCGATATGCTCAACGTCAATCATGTACGTTTTTCAATTCATGTTTTTTTCTCGTTCTATTTTCAATAGTATTTTCGTTTAGTACGACGAACGCTTCAAATCAATTTGAATGAAGAAGAACAAGCTCAAGTATTTGGTGCTGGAAAAAACTAATCTATTTTATTATATAAATCACGTCATCTATTGACCTATCCTGCACCGGTGTTTAATCAAGTTTTTTTTTGTGCATACATCCATCCAGTTCTGTGTGTGCGTGCGTGTGTGTGTGTGTGTTCAATTTTAACAATATTCTTTTTTCTTGTGTTTGTGCCTGTCTTTCATATATCGAAGAAAATGAAAAGAATGATTTTTCCAACATCCTTTGATTGTAAAAAAAAGAAGTTAAATCGACCAGTTTTGACAAATAATTATCATCACAATTATTCTGTTTTTTTTTATATGTTGTATTAAATATTAAAATGAAAACATGCTTACATGTGATTTGTAGATATGTTTGAATTCTCAGATTCATTGATATAACTCTGATCAAATGAAAATTCATGGAGACGCTTATGGACAATTATACGAATGTATAAAATTTTTGATGATAGAAATGTTTAAATAAATATAATGTAATTGTGAACTTACATACTCTATAGTTTTGTTTGTACTTCTTTATTTTTACTTTTGATTGGATTCGCTGATTTCCCGTAAACTATAGCGTTTTCTCTTTCTTTGTTTTCGGCTTCAAGTAGGGGTGCATCGATGAATATAAAACAAAGCCAAAAAGTATTTTCTCTATACAAGGTAGATTTTTATTTTCTCAGTAAAAGCTTTTAATGAAAAATGAGCACTATGTGTACTTATTAGCTTATTCGACGATGTGCATCAACAGAAGCTTTAGCGGCTGATTTGAAACATATCGTGGGAACTGATAATGTCACAAACAGTGCAGCTGTTCGAGAGCAACATAACCACGATGAATCATACCATGTGTATGATAACATAACTGGTTCGATACTCATTCTATAATCGTTGCGTTTGTAGAGGTCGCAGCCCTGACGTTGTTGTTTATACCAGAACTACAAAGGAAGTTTCACAAGTTGTCAAGTATTGTGCAGCAAAATGCATTCCTATTATACCATTTGGTACTGGTACTGGTTTAGAAGGTAAAACGAAAAATCCATCTTTAATTTAACTTGATTTGTTGTTCGCTGCTTATGTAGGGGGCGTCACTGCTATGGAAGTTCGTAATAAAATTTTGCGTTTAATAAAAAAAATAAAATTTTGTCGTTTGATTAGGGTGGTGTATGCCTAGATTTGAGTCGTATGGATAAGGTTCTACAAGTCAATCCTGAAGATTTCGATTGTATAGTTCAAGCTGGTGTTACTCGAAATGCATTGAATTCTTTTATTCGTGATACTGGTCTTCAGTTTCCAATTGATCCCGGTGCAAATGCATCTCTCGGTGGTATGTGCGCAACAAGTGCATCAGGAACAATGGCTGTTCGATATGTAAATATATGACAATACTTACGAGATTGCTTTCTTATTTCTATTTCGATCTACAATTAGGGTACCATGCGTGAAAATGTAATGAACTTGGAAGTTGTTTTAGCTGACGGTACTATTATAAAAACAGCTGGACTCAAAGGACGAAGTCGAAAAACGTCAGCTGGTTACAATCTCACTAATTTATTTGTTGGTCAAGAAGGTACTCTCGGTATTATTACTGAAGCAACACTGAAACTACATGCAACACCTGAAGCTGTATATATTTCATTTTCATGCTAGCTAGAAAAGAGATCCCGGTGTGTTTTTTCTTCATATTAACAACTCTAGGTTCTGTCTGCTGTTGCTCCGTTTAAAGATTTCCAGGGTGCAGTGAATGCTACAGTGGCTATAATGCAAAGTGGTTTGCCTGTTGCGCGAATCGAATTTCTCGATGAAAATATGGTTGATGCTTGTAATCGATTTTCAAAACTGGACCTTGATGTAGCTCCTACATTATTTCTTGAATTTCACGGTAGCAAGAATAACATTGAAGCTCAAGGAAAAACAGCAGGTAATGATATAACAAGTGTGAAAGAAAAGGAAATTTTATTGTAAGATTGTTTCAGGTATTTTCATTAAGTTTCATCGATACAGTGAAATGTTTTTTCTGTTGTAAAAATTCAAGATTTAATTTTCTTCAAAAATGAACCATAAATTTTTCTAAAGAATTTTAAAGAAAATCATATTATAGTACATGTAAAGCTTTATGTTAAAACGAAGGTATCAAAATGCTTGTGTCAACTTCGGCTATGTGAATGAGTTTTTTCACTTTCCCCAAACTCTATTCAAATAAAGATTTCAGATGGAAAGATAAAAGAGCTAATCAAACTCAATTTGACTTCATTTTCAAGAGGCATTAGCTTTACGATAGGTAAAGACACCCACAGCTCAACGTAGGTGTTTAGCGAGATAGATCACGTAGAATAAGGAAACTTCAATATATTTTTGGTTCTATTTCAATAAAATAATGCTATTGCCAAAAGTAAAATATTATTTAAAACAGATACGCTGTAGTAAAGTATCACAGTACTGATTATTTTTCTGACACTTTTGCAAAACATTATGCAACAATATATGTTGCATACTCCTTTAGAGAATTATATTGTCCATCTTTTAAAACAATATTCATATCGATAAAGCTAAACTATGAAATGTAACAATGATCTAGATCAGAGCTCTGCGTGGGACGGGATGGGACGAACATTTTTAGAAAATTTTAAGCAGTCAAGAAAGAATCGAAGCCTCTTTCGAGGCGATGCTATTATATGCTTATTATCTTTATCCATTAAAATTATATTTATTGACGTAAGTGACCGCTTTCAAATTTTATTCTCATAGTTTAAAATATTTTCGGTATATGTTGCTCAACTTACCAAAAATATTTTTAAAAAACGAATACAAGCTTTTAAAAGTCATCTAAAACAATGATCTTAATTTTAATGGATAGCGGTAGTATGCATATCATAGAATCATATCGAAAGAGATTTTGATTTTTTCTTGTCTGCTTAAAACTTTCTAAAAATGTTCGTCCCATCCCGTCCCACGCGGCGCTCTGATCTAGATGAATATTCACCATGTCGCATTTATTGGTTTCATCTTTCACAAGTGTAGTGTTTGATTCATAAAATTTTGCTTGTAAAATGATTGATGTCGTTCGATATTTGCGTCTTGTTTTTCTAGAAGAAACATGCAAATCATTTGAATGCCTTCAATTTATTTTCACAACTGATATTGATCGACGAAATGATTTGTGGAAAGCAAGACATAATGTATGGTACGCTGCACATGCTCTCAGACCAGGTTCAAAAGTTAGTATGAGACGAGAACAATCAAGTGCTTATGGAACACAATAGATAAATGATTAATTCTTTAGTACTTTTTTTTTGATAATGTGCAATGAATCAATCAAGAAATAGAATGAATGATCCGTATGATTGATATATTATAATCGAATAAGAGATATGTTGGACTTGATTTTCAAATACATATCGAGAAGTATAGTTAACTGATTTGTTTTCTTCCATCGGATACACATACGCATGAAACAATGAAAATTTCTTAATCAATTGCTTAGGTTATATACGCTGAATTTCTATTACATTATTTATGCTAAATAATGCACTACTTGGTATTAAATTGTATATTTTTGTTTGTATTTTGCAGTGTTATAGTACTGATGTTTGTGTTCCGATTAGTAGTTTACCTGGTATTATCGCGTTTTCCAGAGACGAATTGCGAAGATTAAAATTACTAGGGTATGTCCAAATTATTTATTGTCAGCTACTATATCATTTTATTTTCATAGATTGATTTTGGGACATGTTGGAGACGGAAATTTTCATGTAGTTTTGGTCATTGATCCAAAAGATTTAGAAGAAATAAAGCGTGTTCACGAGTTTTCTATTATTCTAGCCAAGTATAAACTTTTCAAATGTATGCTACTTTTAATTTTACCTTATTTGAAGAGAAGCATTACGTATGAACGGTACTATCACAGGTGAGCATGGTATTGGCTTGGGTAAAAAACAATTACTTATCGATGAATTCGGATTAGAAGGAATCAATACTATGAAATTCATAAAAAAGGCGCTTGATCCATTGAATATTCTTAATCCTGGCAAGGTTATAGACATGAAATAAGCTGTTTAATTCCAGCACACAGTTAAAAAAACATAACTACACTTCTGTTCAATCTTTTTATCTTCTTAGTAGAACAGCGTATTTTCTATACTCATTTAATGTAGCTGTTCTTTCTACAAATTTGATTCTATTTTACTTCAGATCATTATAAAGATGAATATTATTAGAGCTCGAACTACACACATCCCGAATATCTTTCGATCGGTAGGAATAACATGAAAATTACTATGAACTGTTTAAAGGAATATTTAACTATATAGCTTACACAACGATATGCATCATCCCAGACTTTAGTCGCTGATCTAAAACAAATTGTAGGAAATGATAATGTTTCAAATACTGCAGCTGTTCGAGAACAACATAGCCATGACGAATCCTACCATGCGTATGTTATACTACGTATTTTGATAACGATAGTTAACATTTAAATATAATATTTACAGAGGTCATGCACCTGATGTTGTTGCTTTCGCACAAAGCACTGATCATGTTTCACAAGTTGTCAAGTATTGTGCAGCAAAACGTATTCCTATTATACCATTTGGTACTGGTACTGGTTTAGAAGGTAAAACGAAAAATTTATCCTTAAAATTTTTAACTTGATTTTGCTTTTCATTTCTTATGTAGGTGGTGTAACTGCGCTTCAAGTTAGTAATAAACATTTCCTTTGAGAATTAAAAAGAACTTTCAGCACTGTATCAGGGTGGTGTAACTCTCAATTTGAGTCGTATGGATAAGGTTCTACAAGTCAATCCTGAAGATTTCGATTGTATAGTTCAAGCTGGTGTTACTCGAAATGCATTGAATTCTTTTATTCGTGATACTGGTCTTCAGTTTCCAATTGATCCCGGTGCAAATGCATCTCTCGGTGGTATGTGCGCAACAAGTGCATCAGGAACAATGGCTGTTCGATATGTAAATATATGACAATACTTACGAGATTGCTTTCTTATTTCTATTTCGATCTACAATTAGGGTACCATGCGTGAAAATGTAATGAACTTGGAAGTTGTTTTAGCTGACGGTACTATTATAAAAACAGCTGGACTCAAAGGACGAAGTCGAAAAACGTCAGCTGGTTACAATCTCACTAATTTATTTGTTGGTCAAGAAGGTACTCTCGGTATTATTACTGAAGCAACACTGAAACTACATGCAACACCTGAAGCTGTATATATTTCATTTTCATGCTAGCTAGAAAAGAGATCCCGGTGTGTTTTTTCTTCATATTAACAACTCTAGGTTCTGTCTGCTGTTGCTCCGTTTAAAGATTTCCAGGGTGCAGTGAATGCTACAGTGGCTATAATGCAAAGTGGTTTGCCTGTTGCGCGAATCGAATTTCTCGATGAAAATATGGTTGATGCTTGTAATCGATTTTCAAAACTGGNAAGCTGTATATATTTCATTTTCATGCTAGCTAGAAAAGAGATCCCGGTGTGTTTTTTCTTCATATTAACAACTCTAGGTTCTGTCTGCTGTTGCTCCGTTTAAAGATTTCCAGGGTGCAGTGAATGCTACAGTGGCTATAATGCAAAGTGGTTTGCCTGTTGCGCGAATCGAATTTCTCGATGAAAATATGGTTGATGCTTGTAATCGATTTTCAAAACTGGGCCTTGATGTAGCTCCTACATTATTTCTTGAATTTCACGGTAGTAATAGTAATATAGAAACTCAAGGACAAATAGCAGGTAAGAACAGAACTGTCAAATTTTAATAGAATTTTCTAATAGATTCTTTACACTCGTAGAGGAAACATGTAAATCATATGAATGTCTCAAATTTGATTTTGCTACTGATCCAGAAAAGCGTTCCGAATTGTGGAAGGCAAGGCACAGTGCATGGTATGCCGCTCAAGCTCTCAAGCCAGGTTCAAAGGTACGTCGATATCGAAGAATCATCTTATTAAGTTACATTCATAGATGAAAAGCAAGACGATGCATATACAAGTCATAGTATGCATATTTATTTTTGCATGAGAGCATCAATACATGATAATTTTATTTCTGCTGATCAATTTAGGTTTAATATTTTTTTTTTCTTTTGAGATAGGTTCGAGAATGATATTTGTATGTTTAGAATGTTTTTTGTCGATAGCGCTAAATTTATCTTTCAGAGCAAAGTCTATTTTATCAGCCTGGACTGTATAGAATGTGGGGCAGATTTTTATTTACCATTTTGGTGGGAATCACCCACTATTCGAATCTATTTTTATACCGGAATGATATTTATCTCTTGAAGTTACTTCTACAATCGTATGGATAACAGATTAGGGCCATCACTAATCTCTTTCTATTTATAGGGCTACAGTACTGATGTTTGTGTTCCAATCAGTGCTCTACCTGGTATTGTCACATTTGCTAAAGATGAATTGAAGCGATTAAATTTATTAGGGTATGTATTTTTTTCAATGATATACTTTTATTTTGTGCAAATTTAAAGTTTACTTAAATAGACCAATTGTGGGTCATGTTGGTGATGGAAATTTTCATGTATTTGTTATCGTCGATCCGAAAAATCCCAAAGATATGGACCTTGTTCATGAATATAGTGTTGCTTTAGCTAAGTATGTTTTTGTATAATATGAATTGTTCTCTCGATTATCTATCATCTTATTTCTAGAGAAGCATTACGAGTAAATGGCACAGTAACTGGTGAACATGGTATTGGACTAGGAAAGAAAAAATTACTAGTAGAAGAATTTGGACCATCAGGAATAAACACGATGAAAGCAATTAAACAAGCACTTGATCCATTAAATATTCTCAATCCTGGAAAAGTTTTGTAAATTTCCAAGGAATACTATGGACAGAAAAAGAAATAAAGACGTTTCTTCACGACTTAGATAGTACTTTTTTTTAGTAATAAACTTAATACTATTATGCTTAAAATAAAATAAAAACGATATCGATGGTGCTATTTTTGATTTCATTTATTTCAGAAATTGATGCGATGTCTACGTTGGTTTTTTGATTGTAATAATGATAACTGATGTTTATTTCTATACCTACGTGCGTGAGAGAGAATCAATATTTCATACGTCATTTTTTTTCTTTTTATCTCTTGCTCTTAATTGCTTCTTCTCATCATTTTTTCCTTTTCACTATTGTGATGGGTAAATTTTTACTGCTGCGTAATTTATATTAGAACGAACTAATTCACCCGCTAGTATTAAATTATTATTTTATGTAACACCATACGTTTCTACTAATTAATATAAAATGAGAGTTTTTTGCCTTTGCTTTGTGATATTATAGACTACAGTGAAACCAATAATTAAATGATTAACTAAGTTAATGGCAAATACAATAACTTACGGTAAGAGTATTCAGAAAAATGATTAAATATTGATTTTAAACCAATTAGATCCCGACGAACATCTATTTTCGCCATCGCCCGTTGCAGCAAATCAAGTTCTCAGTAAGATAACTGCATATATTTTTGTATGAAAAGACAACATTGTGTTATATTTATCTCGTTAAAGGTGAAGTTAATTCACCAATTTTTTCTGCTTTAAGTTTGTATTCGTATTTTAAAATTTTCATCAACACTTTAACTTTATTTATTTCAATTTCTTAGGTTGCACTGATACTAAATCAAGCTTATATCTATCTCAAACTAGTAGTAACGGTTCTCCACCACAATCAATACCATATTCACCAAATTTATTTAATGATCCTTCTCGACTAACTCATGCAAAAAATGAAATGATTGATTTTTCATTAATGACAAAATCTACTGAAAAACTTCAAATTATAGCACAACCCAAAGCATTTTATCGTGAAAGATATTGTAGTGAAACAGATCCAACTAAACATCGAGCTCAACGTTTCATTCGTGCTGACGATGATACTGGTAAACATGAATATCCAACCATTGAAGTACGACGTTTCTATTATTACTTTTTCTGATGAGTACCAGTTTTTCTTTTCCATTGAGATATTTAAAAAAAAGTGAACCATTTCTTTTACTCGCAGCAAATAGACAAAGATATATATATATATATATATTGAATAGTCAAGAAAAGAAAGAAAAGGCACTACAAAGTTTTATCAGATAGAACAATATATGTACATCTGATACGTGTTGAAATGTAGTATGTTTTGTTCGCGTTTCGTTGAAGAGAATAGCACTAGTAACAATGTCGATATAACCCGTTATAGATAATTGAAGAAGGACAAAAACGAATATTTGCAAAAATGAAAGCATTATAATAAAAAATGATAGAAAACCAATGTATTATTTGATGTAGTGAAGTTAAGGGGATGCCATTTCGCGGATTGGGTTTGCTCGATTAAAGTTTGTGAATATTGTATCACGTACGATGTAAATATGTAAAAATTGTTCTTCGGTTTTGCTAAGTTTTTAAACTGTCCTTTTGAAAGAGCACATCTGAATGAAGTATTTTGTGGAAATTCATTTCCTCTCTGCCAACAACATATGAAAGTTGATAAGATTGTTTTTCCACTCGAGAATATTCGAGTTTCGTGTGCTAGAACTAAAGCAAAAACAATCACTGACAATGTTTTGCACTATCATGCAACTCGAGAGGTACAAAATCGAGAAGAAGTTATTACATGGTAAAATATCGGAATATCACCATAAATTAATTCCGGCAAGAAAAATAGTCTTGTTTAAGTCTCAAACGTTTCGTCAACTGAAAACTGATAAATATATTCATTGAAGTTAAATCTTTTGTTGTGACTACCCTACATCGGTATATGCTGAATAACTTGATTAGGCTATCTTATTTGTAGAAAATATATGCACTTAAATTTAAAATAGATCTGATTGTCTTTTTTTACACTTTATTTTGAAAAGATTCCACGAAAATGGCATGATCGGAATCGAGATTTATACATTCGAGTTACTCTTGTTACAATTTCGTCGGACAAAGTATCTGTCATATGTATACATCCATATGCAATTGATACACCAGAAAATAATGTCCTACGAGATGCATACAATAATTCACTTTATTTTCCAATAAATAGAGAAGAAATGCTAAGTGGTAAAAAAAGGTATGAACGTATAGATAATAAAATTCTTCTATTTATATATTAGTTTAGTTTTCTTATAAATCGAAAAAAAATGGTTCAACACGATTTAAAATTGTATGGACCGTTACGTTTATTTCATTCAAGTAAGAAAACAATATATTTTAATATTTTAATAGTAGGTTATTATTTAGATGAAAATGATATTCAACGTGTTACGAATTCTCATGATGCTAAACAAATCATCGAAACATATCAATTGTGGAAATCTCAACTTGTATTTACTATAGCCGAACGTTTATATCATAATAATTTTCCTATTTCAATACTTTCTACATCAGTAACATCTCAAATAATGTGTGATGAAGCTAGTCGACGAGATAGTAAGAATTTGTTTTGCGTTTATTCAAAATTATTATTTTTCTAGTATAAAAGAACCACCGATTAATGATACAAATATGATTGATGATGATGCTTCAATTAAATGTACACCGAGAAAAGGAGATTGGAATGGTGGAGATGATGTATTAATGACGATTCCTCGACTCGACAAACGAAAATGTAAATAAAACTCTATCTATTCATTAACTAGTCAATGATACGTATGCATGATTCTATTTTAGTATTTCATATTTATTTTGATTATGGTTCAATGGGAAAACTAGATTATATAAAAGCAACGTTTGTTGATTCAAGAACAATCTTTTTTCAAACTCCACCATGTCCAATATTAGCAACTGAACGAAATTTTACAGTACCAATTATTGTCACACAAAACGATATCATCATTGCACGTGTTGATTTTATTTATTTAACACGTAAATTATTTGAACCAAAAAAAAAAGAATGAATAGAATTGATGTTGCTTGCTTTTTAATATTATTTTAGCTGTGAAAATAACAATAAATTCATGTTCACGTTGTCAATATGAAATGATGAATAATAAACGAAGATATTTTATATTAGACCCTACAGAACCTGAAGGTGGAGATTTACTTGTTCAACAAATGAATCTATTAACAACTGAAGAGGTAAATTCATAGAATGTAATTACTTGTTACCCAATACTTCCTAATTTCATATTTTAGAAGTATATTGAAACAAATCGTCGACATATCAATGATGGTATATTTATTTCTTTGTTTTGTTTTGTCATAATCTAAGCTTTGTTTGCTAAAGATAAAATTCCCAAAATCGATAAATATCTTGGCCAATTGCAAGATGCCATTGTTGAATTTGTTCGTACAAATAATCCTTCGCGACTGTTTCGACGAACACGCCTTTTACTTGTTAAATACGATCAAAATCCTCCACCGTTAGACGATGCTATTCGAAATGGTCATTTTGATATAGCATTAAAACTTATCGAGCAAGTAGTTGATATGTCGTCTACATCACCTGGTCTACTTGAACGAAAGAATAATGACGGTGAAACACCATTATTACTCGCTGCTAAACTCAATCAATGGATTTTAATCGAAGTAATTATTAAGAAACGTTTAGATCTTACTGAAAATACTGATGAGAATGATAATAATATTTTACATCTACTTGCAAATATACCCGAAAATAAAGCTTGCGAAACCATCAAAAATGTTCTTAAGTTATTATCGGATAATTTAAGAGTGAATCTTTTAAAACAGAAAAACAAAGATAATCAAACGCCAATTGAAATTGCTCAATCTAAAAACAATACACACTGTGCTGATCTTCTTAATAAATCTTAATTCGATTCTATTTTGAATCTCTATTTTGTGATGCTATTCTTTGTCTATGCTAAATTTTAATATGTTTACATGTACAATCGATAAAATAAATACTTCTATTATTTTGCTTTTATGTTTTATCAATTTACTTTGTTTGTTTTTGGCCGTACGAAAAAACTAAATATGAAATATTGATTACATACTAAAATTTGCGTGTGAAAATAACTAGAAATTTATTTCTAGAATTATAGAGACAGCGTTGATTACCATATAAATATTAGTTACTAGAATATATGTTGTAAGCGAAATAGACAGGATCTATTTGTAGACGAAGTTAGAAAGAAACCCTAAACTAAATCTAGTTAGTTAACGAGAGACCTTCATGCTTCAGTAATGCTTGAAGTGGATTTTACGTGCCGACGTAATCGCATGAGGTTTTACAGTGGAAAAGACGAAGTAATAGTTTTCCGAAGTCCCAATATCGAATGGGAACCACTTTCTTTTATCTCATATTATGATAAGTAAACCACAGTTGATCAGTCAATACCGTCGATTTACTGTGGTTAATGAACTATGTTTTACGATCAACACGATTTTTGTTAATCCTAATATCACAAGTTTTATATTTTCACAAAGCTTTCATATTGAATCTTGATTAGATACATTAGTCGATCAGAGATTGTTAAATTTGTTTTTATCCAATCTAAGTGCAAAAAACAATTTGAATAATCTTGCCCAGGTCGAGCATTCTGGCAAACGGAACCCGTAGGATACTACAGAAAATATATTGGAACGTCGCCATATCCTGCAGGAAAACACGGGAAATCACTGGAACATGAAAGCAGTATTCCGGTCAAAAATACGGGCCGGACTGTTCCGGCGGATTCCTGCCAAGTTTCGGTGCTTTCCGGCAGGAGTTGATCGGAAATCACCGGAAAAAATCCGAAAATTTTCCAAACTGGAATACTGCTTCTACAAAATCAATGGAACTATCCGGAACGGACCGTTTCCAGGCCGGACTGTTCGATCTGGGTGATAATGTAGAATTATGATAATTATATGAAGATGCACTACCAATATTACGGACCCTCCTGGTCACTAAACTGAAACGCATAATTTCTTCGTATGATTGAATACATGGATGAAAAACGTTTTTTCGAATATTTTTAGATTAGTTATCAAACAAATGGCAACAGTACCTGATGATCAGATAATTGGTATGAATGATTAATAATATATTCGTTTTGTAATTACTATTTTATTCAGATGATATCTTCAGCTCACTTCCGTTGTCACCGACTCCAAGTTTTATCGGTAATTCTGATTTCTGATACAATCATATAGATTAAAACAATATATTTTGTTTTTCGCAGACGCTTTTTCAGAATTGAATGAAAATGAAGAAGGTCTTTATAAATGTATCATTTTGTTTGTCTTTCATAATAATTGTTGCAAATCTATATCTACTTTTAGTATTGCCAAGCAATCAAGAGCCTTTCTCAGGATTGTCTGATAGCAGTAAGTAATATTTGGCGATTATTTCTCACTATATTTATATATTCTAGATAATGAAACGTTATTTGGCTACTCTCCCCAATCAAGTGCAATTCTCTCCGGAGAACAATCATCTGGTAATATAAGCTATTCAGTCACTGCTAAAATCTATTGATATTGTTTTTGAACCATCTTAGAAACAGTCATTCGTTCTGATCGTATTGAAATTATTGCTCAACCATGTTTTACTTCTAAATTGCGAACTCTTAAAGACAATGAAAAAGACGGCCGACGACATACACTCAAAACGAAAACAAAAAATGTTCCTTTCTCTGGCCCAACAATTCGTGTATGCTAATTTTACTGTTTTTATGCTCTGGTCTCTTCTAGAAAACGGTTTTTCTTTTATAGGTGCCTAAGATTTACACTAGCCATCCAGTAAACCAATATTATATTGGTATTTCTCTTGTAACAGTTTTCCATGAAAAATCTAATTGTCGGTATATACATCCATATGTCTTGAGAGATGTCGATCAGACAGATCGCAATGATCAATACAATAATGCTGTATGGTATCCAATCAAACATGATAATCTAGATGGTATTCATTGGTATTTGAAAAGCTTTCGAAAAATGAGTTTATAATTACATTTGTTTTATGTTTCAGTTTTACAGATTTACATATTGATAAGATCATTGAAAACGAATTGAAAAACTATGGGCCTTTACGTCGATTTTATGGCGATCGTTAGTAGATAGATGTGTAAGAAAAAGAAATATGTTTAAAATTCATAAATTTTAGATTCAAATCCTTGTAATGATATTGTTTTAAATCTAAGCTCTGGAAGACAAATAGTTAAGGAATATAATATTAAATCAATGCAATTAGCATTCGTTATTGCTATAAAAAACAATATCAATGATACATTTCCGAAAGAAATTGTGTCTGATTTAACAGCTTATTCAGAAGAAATGACGGATACCAACGAAAAAGAGTCACTCGACGAGAATAATCCGACGGACTCAATTAAAAAGTCGATCTTCCCACCACCTGACTGTCGTATGTACAAATATGCACCCCGAAATGGTTCTACGCAAGGCAATGAAGAAGTGCTAATTTTTTATACAAAGAAACTTGAAGAAAATAAATATGGAAGTAATAAGAATTTGTTCTTCAAAGTCATTTAGTATTTCCTTTCTTCTTCATAGACATACAAGTTATGTTTGAATCGGATACAGATGATATTCATTGGCAACCACCAGCACTTGCCATCGATGTTGAAGTTAAAGGTCAAATGGTATCGTTTAAAACACCATATTTTCCATTTCAAATTGATAAACTGGTGCCTGTCAAAATAATCTTACGGCAAAACGAAAGAATATTAGAACCTTTACGATACTTTTATGTTCCATCTTGTAATTTAAATTCTTATTTGTTTTCTCACGATTATTTATTTTTCTTGTTTTCCACTTAAGTACAATGTCAAACATGTCAAGCAAAAATGATGAAATATCCAGATCCACTTGTACCAACTAATTCAAATAAACGCACAAAATTTAGTCGTTTGATCGATGGTGATGACAGGGAAACTGATGCTCTTGTCCCTATTTGTGAAAGTAAAACTGACTTGCAACAATCGAACTCGATACTGGTGATTAAAATCCGATAGATTTCTGATGAAACATTTATGAATACTAATTCTAGGAATCAAGTGCCACTCTAACTTCATCGAATTCAGGTGAATAAAATTTCATAAATTGCATCCTTGTTCATATCAAAGTATCCTACATTATTCGATCTAGAAGAATTTCAGTTAAAATAGACTGATGGCTATTTTTTCTTATTGTTGTCGATCATAGATGATAATAGTCAGGGTTCATAGTATCACATAGATGATTGCTAGATATTTTAATTGAGAAGTTAAATACAGCGTTTGAGGACTCTTTTTTTCTATGACGTACTTTGATACTCATTTAATATGTGAAAGTGGGCTGAAAATTAAGGAGGCATCTTCGAATGCGATTCATGCTATTTAAATTCGATTCTTGATAAAAACAAAATTGCTTTATAACGTTCTTGATTGAGGAATTGCAATATCTGACATGTTCTTTAAAATTGTTAATTTCAATGCCTTTTTTAGTCAAAGGATTCTTCTTTCCTCGAAATCATTTGTATGTTATAAAATTCAGTTATTTATTTAATAAAGAGATTCAGTGGATTTGTAGTCAAAATCTATTTTAAACAATTGAATAGAAATAGTATCGAATAGCATTGAATTTGTTATATATGGATTTTCTTATTTAATGGAAATTGCTTTTGTTGCATATCATGAAGAATATATATATATATTTCCCATATTCCTATTTATTCATCATCATATTATTTAAGATTACTTCTACCCAGGTGAATGAATCCTACAGTGAATCCTATCGGATCTCATGGGATCCGACAAGCCGACAAAATCCGATCAGATTCCTGGTCACGGACCTACTAACGGATCCGACGAAAAAAAATATTTTCTTAATCACCAATGAATAAACATATGGTGCTAACAGAACACATGGGCCGAAGGGTTTTGTCGGTTTAATGAAATTCATACTATATTCGATAAGATTCCGACATGAATCCAATAGAATTCCACTATTGAAATAATTCCCCTGGTATTGAATATGATGATTCTTTTTTTCTATTAAAATATTTTAGCTTCTCCATCGTCGATCAACACTCCAGAAGCAAATTATAATTATAATGAACAGCTTTTGAATAAAATTTCAGATGCTACTCAATCGTTGTTTATCAATAATGATTTCAAATCTATTTTACGCATATGTCGACCATTCATTCAAAAACGTCCAGAATTACTTCATAATAGCATTAGTAACAATCATTCCGATCTGCTAACAAAATTTATTCCTATTGCATCCATCGACTTGCTGAAAAAAACGAATGAATTCGGTGAAACAGTACTTTTACATGCAATACGTCTTAATCGAATCACTACTGTCAAGGATATATTAAAAAGAGAGAACTCGGACGTACTTTTCGACGATACTAATGATAGAGATCAAAATATTTTTCATATTCTTGCTATAAGCACAAATTCACAGGAACTACTCGATGTAATCATTGATTATCTAATGAAAAAATCAGTGAACATCTCAGTGAAATTTGATCATATCGATAAAGATAATCATACACCATTACAACTCGCCATTTTGAACAAAAACATTTCGATAACAAGTTGTTTCTTAAAATATTTCAATAAAACTCTATGCAAAATAAATGATAATAGTGGCGATAATCTTATTCATTTTGCTGTGCGTTATGGTGACTTAACAATGATTAAATTATTACTCGATGATAAAGAACTAATTGAACAAGGAAATCAATCAAATTTAACCATGACACCACTTGAACTGGCTCGATCTTTGAAACATAATGATCTGGTAGAATATATAAATAAAATTTATTATCAATCTGAGGTCAAAGAAAATGAGAGTGCGCAAAACGATTAAGCGTTGTTTTTATCTACATTTATTTATCTGTCTTTTTTTATAAACCAGAACATATTTTGATCAAATAAAATAATTTGTTGTAATCGTGTTACCAAAAAAGAATTGAGTTGATTAGCAGATGGAAATTGGCAAGAGTCATAAGTACACATGTATTTTATAAATCAATAAAAAAACTATCATGACCTTCTTGATTTTGTGGAACTCAAATATATAATTTTCGAAAAAATTATCACGAGTACAATTTTAAATCGAAATTTGTTTTCAGCTGCCTTCCCCTAGGTCTTAGCAACAGGGATAGGACGGGTGAAAATGATAGATCATAAAAATATTTCTATAACAAACGAGAAATGGTACTCTACTGTCAGATTAGTAGTATTTTGGCAGCTGTATGAATTGCTATAGTACAGACAATATCTTAAAAAAAAACGAATTTAAAACATCTATAATTAGAAAGATTTTCTCAAACTGTCACATTTCACAGCTGTTGTATTCAATGTAAACCAAGTAAACAAAGTCGAATATAAAACGTGATAATCAAAACATTATTTTATTTCAAATTATTTTTAATTTTACGATAAAATATATATTTCCAGGTCAAAAGTCAACCATCGGATTCTATCGGATGTGTTTCAATCCAATGAATTCCGATGATTGCATCCGAGATGACTCCGAATGTCGGAATACAATCAGATCTCAGCTAATACCCGTAACTTCCGACTTGTGTCAATTACCGAATCCGACGAAACCCGATTGTCGGACCCTATATGATTCTGTTTTCGGAATCCAGTCGGTTCCCTCCGTTTCCGGCATCTGAAAACTCGGATATTATTTTTTCAAGGAGCAGTCGAAAATGTCTTAACTTTTTGTAAATATTGTATGTAATTATTTTCTTGTGCGACAAAACAAAAAGTCTCTGAGTTTAATTCAGTCTTTAGAGACGATAGTTCTACGAAAGAGTAAATTGAACTAAATTTCGATTGTCGAAATTGCACTAGTCAATTTTATACGAAACTGCTCCGTCCTAAATTCTCTAACTGTCTCATTGAAGAAAGGAAACAACAAAGTAAAGGGCAGGCACGATCGACAATAATAGTTTTAAATGGCAATAGCATTTCATAAAATAGTATTATTCTGTTTTCTTTTTATCTACGACGAAAGCCGTTCTTTCTGATTAATTGAAACGTATTAGGAGTGCCATGTATTCTTTTATTAACATTGATTTCTTTAAGCACAAAGTGCTTGTACTGAAAAAGAAATGTTTGGCGGTATTTTACTACGCTTTAAAATGTTTTATTCGCAAAAACGAAACGTTAAAAGAATTTAATATCATGTAGACTTTCTTATGAAACCTTTGCGGGCGTCGAAAAGAGAAAAGATTTCGCATAGTACTCTTCAAATTATTCTTTCAAAATGTAAGGATTAAAGCAGAAATACTTGCCCGAACTTCATTTCTTATATCATTAATCGTTTTTCACTGCTAATCATATTCCACATTGAGCAAAATATTTCCAATAAACAGTATAGTCATGACAAATCGAAATAGTTGAAGTACTTAAGATTATCAAAAACAACGTACTGCACTGTAACTTCTAGTCGCAATAAAAACTAGTCATACATGTTTTCTGTTGAGGAGTCCAAGTACATTCGCTTAAGTGAAAGAGTTAAACACAGTTACGAAACTATTTTGGGCGTTTGATTAGGGCGCAAGCTTTAAGTTACGGAGATATCTATAGAAACTGTGATAGATTAAGGTTAATGGGTTAAGTTAGGCGGCTAGATATAGTTTCAGGATAGATATAGATAAGATGATAGATTAAGGTTAAGGAGTTAAGGTGTTAAGATAAGCAGCTAGATATAGTTTAAGGGATTAAGTTAGGGGATAGATTTATCCGTTCAAATCTTGGAAGCGAAGATCGAGTGCATTGTAACTGTGACGAAATTTCAGTTACGAAGCCAATTTGAATGCGCATTAAAGATGGTTAGGTATGGAACCATATTTTTAGGAAACCCGCCAAAGGTTTCTTTTTCGCTGCAAATCTGTGAATCTTGATTAAGTTCCTAATGAACCTTTTTTTCAGTGCAGATAACTTGTAGAACCTGGTTAAAAATCCGACCTGATCCTGTCAGTTCCCTTTATTTTTATTACATGATCCGATACGATCCAGTCAGATTCATTGGTCGGAACTTTCGACCTGGGTTATTCATATTTATATTTGATCATTAATGTGCTCAGCAACACTGGAAAAAAAAGGTACTGTACGAAACTCAAAAAGGTTCCGATTTTTGAAACGAAATCGAAACGCTTTTAGGTTTCGTAAAAGACAATAATTTTATCCCACATAAAAAAAGGGTTTTGCTCTTCACGTACCATGAAATGCGCTACGCAGTATTGGACAAAGGTTTCGCTGAATAGTACACTCTACTACTAAAGCAGTTTGCACCACTATTCAATACAAGACTCATGCATAAATCTCTGTTTTCGTAGTTCTCTCAACAACAAAAGCACTGGCGATCTCAACCTGTTTAACGTATCTTCTCACGGCTCTATCATTACTATTCTGATTGTCATCTATTGAGCTATACAACACAACTTCCACTATCGTAGCATTTAGATTCTCTCATCGAAACCGAGAACAAGTCAATACAGATAATTCCTTTAGATAGCATCCACAACCACAAAGGATATTATTTTTTTGCCTGAGGTTTATGAAAAAAATGATTGATTCTTTTGATCCGTTAATGAAAATAATATTACTGGTGTCAAGAACCTAAATAGCAAATATTCGAATATATTAATTATGCTAGTACCTTCCGAATGATAGCATTCTTCATGAACCTAAATAGAAAATTTATTAATTGATTAATTCTAAAGGTAACTTACCAATAATAGAATTTTTCCTAAAATCTAAATAAAGAATAAACACGTATATTAATTCTAATGGTAACTCACATCTGATAGAATTGCTCATACAGCCTAAATAGAAAAGAAACTAATTGATTAATTCTAACGGTAACTTACCAATAATAGAATTCCTCCTAAAATCTATTTAGAGAAAAACAACTTTATTATTTTTAATAGTAACGTATCCAATAATTGAATTTTTAACGAACTAAAATAGAAGGTAAACTAATTTATCATTTCTAATCAGTACTTACTAATAATGTAATTCAAGACAAGCCTTAATAGGAACAAAAATAAATTTTTACTTCTCATCCTAAATTACTGATCATCGAATTTTGAAGGAACTAAAATAGTGGATGAACGAATTTATTGTTTATAATAATAACTTACCAACAGTGCAATTCTCCCAAGAATTAAAATAAAAGAAAAATGAATTTATTAATGCTTATGACAACTAACCTTTAATACGAAAAAGTATAGTTCAAGTGTGATATGATGTACGTGCAAATTCTATAGTCATACTTCAAAACTTGAATCAACACTAAATAAAGAAATGAATGAGATGTGAGCAAAAAATGTAATAAGATACACACATAAAATAGTTGCTGTTATAGATTCAGCAACTGCTTTTGTGGCAATAATTGAAATATAGTAACTACTAGATCGAAGATCTAATCTAAATTAATTAGTTCAATGTAGAACAAAAGAATAATCTTACCAAAAAATAAAGCATTGTGGTAATCACACTCCGATAAAAGACAACCAATAAATATGTTGGATGTTCTTTATCATAACCGCTGGAATCTGATGAGAGAAAACAGTTAGCGATGAATGTAATAAAAAAAATTTCAGGATGAGTTCAGATGTTTGTCGATGAGATTTGATGAAAACCGATTGAATGAAACTGTGAAAGCGCCAGCTGATTGTATCATTAGTCATGTAGTTGTTCTGTTGCATGTGATGTCGAGAGAGATGGCTTTTTTTTAGAATATGCCATGAATACGTTCTCTTGACGAGATATTTTAACAAACCTTTTGGGATGCAAAACTCAAAAGGGTTTATGACGAAACCTACTGTAAATCACAAATTCGAAATAGTTCACAACGAAACCTTTTTAAATTTCGAAACTCTTAAAAGTATATTGCAAAACCTTGCATTTTGCTGAACCTGGTACAGATTTCGTATAACTCCACGGATACCTAAAAAGTATAGTATAGCTCCAAGAAACCTCGAAGGTTCCTTTTGGCATCTTTTTTCTCAGTGTACGAGATTCTATTCAGTTAGTTACCGATTCTATTGATTACACACTATTATTATTACATAGCAGCGATGAAACAAATTGCATCGCAGAACAGCAAAAATGACTGCCAAATTTTAATCTCGCAACGGTTTTACTAATGCTTCTCTTTGAAAAAATCAAGACCGTTTAGAGTCTGCTTTGACAATTTTTGGTTCATGTTGACGACGAAACATCAAAGAATCATTTCGTATTGTTACGAATGGGATGAAGCATGTGACATGCTTGATTCAATACAAATAAAAGCCTTTTGTAGACACAATTTTGTCTCCTCTTGAAAAGCTTTTAAGCAGTGTGTACTTTTCTTTGCATTATAAAATTTTCACCGGGGAGGTAGCAACTCATCTACTTCACAACCGAATCATTCAGTGAGTTGTAACAGGTAATACTAAAACATTCTTGCTTCTTTTTCCTAATTAAATTCACAATAATTTTGATCTATTGAACGTGTTTGATAGATATATATTTCATCGTTTTTTTCTTGTTTTGTTTTGAATGAGTGACTTCTTCTATACATCTATATATATGTCGAGCGTAAATTCACATGCCATAGAATTTATTTTCCAGTGCACTTATGATCAATACCATAATGATTTTTCAAACATTACACACAATTGACAATAATATTCGAAAACTAAAATTAATCTATCCTAACTCATATGTTCCCTAAAAAAAAACAAATTCTTTTCAGCGTATACTGCGAAACTATTCACTTGTTATTTCATGTAAGTCAGTTACAATCCCGTATATTTAAATTTCACAGAAAATATATGTATCAGATTATTCTCAATTTTTTCACTACTTTTATTAGAATGTAGACTGTTCTCATTCTCTCCAGTTATTAAATCAATGTCAAAAGAGTAAAGGAACAAGCTGTGTCTAGTAAAACGCAATTACATTTCTGTATTGCGTCGATAGTTGTTATCATAGGAAATAATATAGATTATTTCCTTCACAGTCATAGGATCAATAGGAGAAGGAGTCAGTTAGCTACTAAACAATACAGAAAATAATCAATAAAACTAGACGTTGAAAATAATGACTATTAGTATAAATTTTTGATTCAATAGGTAGAGCTTTCAAAAATCATTATATTGTACATATATTTTGATAAAAACAAGTGAAAACTATTGCGCACATTGATTATGCAATTAAGTGTCTACATAATATAACTCACTGGAATCAGAAAATAGATAGAAATCTCATCAAATAAATATCCGTTGATATGATTTTCAGAATACTTTTCTGAAAAAGTCATAAAATTGTTTATGTAACCTGCACATATCTATCATGAAAAAGAACGGAAATATCATAGAAGAAATGTAGAAGATGTTATTTGAACTGAAGATGCTAAGATGAGTCAACCCAGCTCCTGGTAAGATTTTTCAAAGAGAGATCTATTAGCCGATAACCAGAAGCTGATATCCTTCTAACCAAAAATATTCATTTCACTACTGACTATTTGATTTCTGCTTCATAAAAATAAAACCCAGACAGTGAAATATTGATTGTAATATTGTTTTCCTACCTGATTCATAAACTTGTTTTTTTTCCAAGTTTCTTTCATCTAACATTGTAATCGATATTATCTATCGTTGTAGCATTTGTTCCTATGGAATTCTATTGCTTTCATTTTTATATTCTACCAGCAAGTAGTAAGCTTGAATTATTTCATTATTGAATCTTTGTCATTTAAAGTAGAGAACAATCTTGAGAATACGATGCCGAAAAAAGGCAAAGAAACACTTTTACCCACAGTGTACTTGCGAAACTACCCACAAAAATATACAAAATGAGAAAAAAAGGGGCCCTATTGGGAATCAACGATTTTACCCAAACTTTCTTCAAGAAATGTATTTAAAAATTGTTTCGGTGTCTTTCTATTGTAAAATCATTTACATGAAACACCAATAAAATGTTCATCCCTCTACAAATTTATTCGAGATTACCATTAATTGGAATATATGTGGCTTTTATTGTTTTTTTGTAGAATACATATAATCATTTATTTATATAGAATTCAAGCAAAGACGTATATTCATTATGTGTGCAAGTTCATCAAGTAGTATTTTGAATAACTTTTCATTACAATATCTTAACTTAACTATCTTTACAGCCTGTCCATTCTACTCTACTTCATTTGAAAATCCATGTGATTCCGGATTACTTGAGATCATCGGACAGCCATGTTACACATCGAAATTACGATACCGTTCCGATTATGTCAGTAAAACAAAGCGTCGTGGAGTTCTTCATAGTACAAATAATCCAAATTATCAATATCCAACTATTCGAGTATATTTTCTTTAACATTTTTTTGCCAACAACATTACGCTGTCTTTTACTTCTAGATTCCAAGGCAATATATGATTCCTACCGACGAACATTATATTTGTATTTCTCTTGTGACCGTTGAAAACGAGACAACGAAATATCGTTATGTACATCCATATGAACTAGAAGATGTTGATAATCAAGGTTATCATGATAGAAACCATAATAGTATTTGGTATTCCATTCAAATGGGAGATATTGATGGAATTAAAAGGTATACTGACAGTAGAGAAGAAGAAAAGAAAATTTAAAAAAAACGTGTTCGTTCCTATTTTAGTTTTCCTAATTTACGTATTGTAAAGAAAAAAGCAGCTGATCTGAAGAATTATGGTAACTTGCAGGTATTCAATTGTCTTAGTAAGTTTTTGGTTAAATCCTACATGAAAATGAAAAGATAATTTTCCTTGTCTTTTTTTTTAGATAACGAATCCAGTTCACAATTATTATCTATAAAAGATACAATTAAAGAATTTAATCTTGAAAAAGCTCAATTGGCAATTAGTATAGGAAAGAAAGCAACAAACACTAACGATAACGATACTATATGGATTATATATAATCGTACGACAGTACTCTCAGACGAACTTATTCAACAATTTGGTAAAGAATCATACGCAAATTGTACACCTTCTGGCACGAGTTCTGTAAGATTCAATTCATCAGAAGAGTCCGATTGTCGTGTGTACAAATATGCACCGAAATTTAGTTACGCGGATAGTAGTGATGAAATACTTATCTTCTATACAAATAGACTTCAGCTTAAAAAATATGGAGGTTAGATAAAATCAAGCTTGTTTCTTAACTTCTTGTAGTTTTTCTTTGTATAGAGTTACAAGTTACATTCGAATTTGAGGGACCCAATGATAAATGGACAGAACCTGCTCTTGAACTAGAAGTCATAGATCGAATGGTATCATTTCGAGCGCCGATTTTCCCATTTCTCATTAACTGTGCTACAACGGTCAATATTATATTGACACAAAAAACTAGACTTTTAGAAACATTAAAATTCGACTATATTCCAAGAGGTAATGCAAGATGTTTCTTTCTTACTTGTATTGTTTCTTATTTTTGTTTTAAGCTCCGCCTCAAGTACATTCATTGCAAAATTCAAATCCAGTTGTTCCAGAAAATTCAAACAAGCGTACTATTTCTTCTCTGTATGGCGACAATGAAGAAACGAATACGGCATGGGGGTGGGGGGAGGGGATGGAGTGGTGGTACAATTATCAGTGATTTTATATTGGTTCTTGTTTATTACTTTCTTTCTTGTTTGTTTTTGTGCTTAATATTGGCAATTAAAAGTATAATCATATTATTGTTCTTTTTTTTTCTTGAAGCTTCTTCATATATCTCTCTTCTCTGAGATATACCTACACTCATTCTTTCAATACATTTCGCTTATCATTTCAACTCGACTGTTCCTTAAGATGACTCTATCTTATGTTAGATATTTGCTTGTCAAGTTCTTATTCTCATATATTTCTTGTTCATTGAATAAAATATTTGATCTTCATCCATATTCAATACCATTTATTTCATTGCTGTCATTCTACCGTAGCTAATTATTGTAGCACCTGGCATTTTGGATAGTTGCTTCTCAGCTGACAAAATTGAGGATGTTACAAGTGGCGATCTTAGCAGGATTGATGTGTGAGTTCTGTATGCCACCAGTCTGCTAACCATTATTTTGCACAATTGCTTACTTTAAAGTTTGAATCATCATAGATTCCGTCGCCATCACAAATATGATCTCTATCATCAAATTCTATGTCATCAATGGAACACTGTTATTTTGACGAAATCGATGATTTAATTCCATCATCTTGTCATTCAGCTACACCAGTAATTACTGATTCTTCGAAAGTTGATTATACTACTCGAAACACAATGGATAAATCTCAGAATATCAGATTCGATAATATTCGAGATCAATTAAAAATATTTTCCGCGCATCTTGCACGTGTCGAACAATCAAGATCTACGCGAACAATTTAGGGGTGTCCAAGGACTAACGATTAAAAATTCTTAATTGGTTCCCCTACAGTTCCTTGCGTACTAAAGGTAAAAATATGGAATATTCACAATAATTTTTATTCTTAAACTCATTTTGACTTGAAAAATTGTGAGAATCAATGATTTCATGCAAAAATGATTTTTAAAACAACAATATCGCAACTTTCGTAAATGGTGGAACTGTGAGGGAACCTATAGTTGATTCCCATTTCCTCTAGGAATTATCACAGCGGCACTAACAATTCCTCGACACATTGGGAATTATCATTTCTCAGTCCTTGGACACTGCTGATGGACCATGGGCTGATAGACAAAGGTAAAAGTGAATTCAAAACGCATATATTCAAATACTGATCTATTCTCAATGTATAGAGATGCATTATAGCAATATTTTTTTCCAACGTTATTTGACAATTGTCCAGTTACACCTGAACCAACAGCTGGACAAACATGAATATTTAAAACTGTAGGTTTTAAACTATATGTCTAAAATGGTTCGTTTGTGTTTTTTTTTGTTGTTATTATTATTATTATTCTAATGGAAAACGAATTTATTTCATCATAGAAACTTAACCAAATACATGCTGAATTGCCGTGCAACTAGGTTCATACATTGAAGCATCATTTCCCTTTTCAACTAATCCCGATGGTTTTGATACACATCCATCCATGAATATTAAACAATCAATTGTTCGCACTAATCTCTCATTTACACAATTATTTAAAGCCGATGAAATTAACGTAAGAGAACATATTGATATTATAAACATAGTAAAACTATCCTTAAGACCATTAAATTGCAGTCTTTGTTCGTGATATAACAAAAGCCCGAGGAATTTAATATAGTATGGATATCTTTGTTAGTCAGAAGGGATCTTGAAGAATTAAATTAAACCACTATTTTTATTATGTGTGATAAATCATAAAATATGAATTTCGTATAATTTATTTTTGCGAGATGAACTAATACTAATTGATAGTTTCAGACAAATATGTAACATTTGATTGAATGAAAAAATCGAACGAGTCATTTTCTACTTTTACTTATTTTATCCGGCGTTGTTTTATCAACAGAATAAACTACACTCTAAAGTGCATAATAAGATATCACAACAATTTTGATACATATAGTCATGATTTGATAAAAAAATTCTGCTTGAATTTAAGTTCTGCTTTCTTCTACTTGAGAAATGAAACAGATTATTAGCTGATAATTTCAAAAATAAAAATATAACATTTTTTATCAAACCTTAATAAACTTTATATCTATATTCATTTTGTATGATAATATAAAATTAATTCGAAAAGTCGAATTACAGAGAAAATATTTTAGAATCACATCAGGCCTGAATAAACGTCATGTAAAGTTAAGATTATATTAAATTAAAAATATAGACAAAAATATATTAAAATATTAGTCAGATTTTACTCAGAAAAATATTTCTGATAGGATTCACAAGATAGTGAAAGTTCAAACGTAAAAATACACGCAACTCCATCACTTCAATTGATAAAATCGAAATATATGTCAAATAGTAATCTCATCTGCGTTTTGACATATAGATTTGTATATATACTGAATTACAAGAGTACTTCAAATAATTAGACTCTTCAGTACCGCACGATACCACAATTTCTCAACTATAGATTCTGATAAATTTGTACTTTCCTCCAGAAAGAATTTTATTAAAATATATTATGTTTATGCGTTAATAATCATGACTAAGTTATAAACCAATAAATTAGATTTTGCAAATTACATACAGTTCATCAGCAACATGAATCTATTAGGAAGTTTGATAAAATTATAAATATCGTATAAATTACTAGTAATTCTAAGATTCTTATAANCCCTAGCGAGATTTTAGATTTTAGAAAATGCATTTTTTTATATAAATATGTAGTAATATTTGCAATTTCATGTTTCAGCCTGTGCTGCCCGCTATGAAACTCAAAAACTCCCGCAAGAATCAAGAAAAAATTTCAAAATTTCAAAAAAATCCAGAAAATCTTCAAAAATTTCAAAAAACCTTCAAAAAAATTCAAAATTCTCCAAAAATCTAAAAACGTTTTCGAAATCCGAAAAAGCCAGAAAAATTGTTAGAATTCCCAATAAAAAACCCAAATGACTTTTAAATTCTCAAACAATTCATGAAAATGTTTTTCGGGGGCTGGGGGGGGGGGGGGGGGGGGGGGGGGGGGGGGGGGGGGGGGGGGGGGGGGGGGGGGGGGGGGGGGGGGGGGGGGGGGGNCCCCCCCCCACTTAGCCCAAAATCCTGGCTCCGCCACTGATTCAGAGTAATGCTGAATACTTTTTATGTCGACATAATGAAATTCATCACTGAGAAAACCAGGGACGGCGCGAAGTAATAAAAGTACAGGGGGTTACTTGAAAACGGGAGGTTTTTTGTTCAAAAATCGGAGGAAATCAATAAAAATTTCTTCTATTTTCTTCAAATCGGAGTAAAACTGAAACAAAAATTTCCAAAGTTGGGGGGGGGGGAACCCCCACCCCCCTGTTTGCGCCGTGCCTGGAGAACTGAGCAATTTTTGAAACNGTTTTTTGTTCAAAAATCGGAGGAAATCAATAAAAATTTCTTCTATTTTCTTCAAATCGGTGTAAAACTGAAACAAAAATTTCCAAAGTTGGGGGGGGGGGAAACCCCACCCCCCTGTTTGCGCCGTTCCTGGAGAACTGAGCAATTTTTGAAACTACAACATGACGCGTCGAAAAAGACATTAACAATAAATGCAATGTTTTTTGGGTACTTTCTGATCGCCCGAGTGCACTTAAAAACGCTCTTTGTTTTATAAGTATGTAATACTTCTAATTTCTACAGAATTAATAAATCATTGAAAAAATAAAAATTAAGGTTTCTTATGTTTTCTTTTACGGAGAACATTAATTATCATTCAAAATGTATCCGGTATACGTAACTGTCAATCTTTAAAATTCAATTTCAAAAAGCGTTTATAAGAATAATCTAGTAACTGGATTGAGTTCAATGTATGAGTACCTACTAACGTAAGTGTCTCTGCAAATCTATGAAGGCTTATATATGAATAGGTAAAATTTTGAACTAGCAAAAAAAAAATTTTTATTCATTTTATTTATCGATAAGATTATCCTTCCTTCGAATCTGATTATTTTGTTTCACCAAATCACTAGTTCGAATTGGATCAATAAAGTAGTTTCGATTGTAATATATTTGAAGACGACATCTGTCATGTCTACCTGAGTAATATCCGCTGCTGTTCTCACATCTATTGATAGTGGCGTCGGAAGAACATTCTCTTCTTTCTATGCGAATCACAATTCACATCATGAATATATGTTTGTTTTGTTTTTTTCTTCTTCTAAAAATTTTCTTATTTTGTGTGATTAGTTTACTTGTGAAGTGGAACAACACTTGAAAAGATAACATTGTAACAAACTAATTTTTAAACGTGAGATCTTTACATTATTGTAATAGGATGATGAGATCATCACCGAATCGTTCACCAAACAGGTATGCAGATCATTATAGTATACTAAAACATAACGAAAAACTAATACATATGAAGAACCAATCGTGAACAAAAGAATTCACCTGGTACTTTTAATCATTATAGATCAATGCCGAGAATATTTAAAAATAGACGTCCATCAAAAAAACAACTTTCAGTAGTTTTAAATACTGCAGATTTTGAATTTTGGTAGGTTTGAATATTAATTGATTGTTTGCTCGTTTGCTCTCGGTGCAGTTTGATTTGTTTCTGTTAAAATTTTTAAAACTTCCATTATTATTAAATTTTTTCTTTTTCTTTCTAGTCAAGCACCGAATGAGAACGAAATGTTTGAAGCAATGCAGAATTCAAATAATAATACGAATCAATCCGATTCAATAACATCCGATGACACTATTACTGATCGACGAGATCAAGTAAAATGACAAAAATAATAATTAAAAATACATCTATTACTGGTTATTATTTTAGCCTTCAAGTATGTATAGCAGTAATAGCCCAACAACGACTAACAAAAAATTTTTAATCTCGCACTTAAAAAATCGGCTTATACCACAAAGATGTGAAAACATGAAGAAAGATGAGAATCACGATGAAAAAAATAGTGGTTTTCTTTTAGTTGATCAAATTGATACTGATTTAGTCTTGATACAAACAGATACATTTGATCAACAGAGTACACGTCATCCGGAACCTTGTGGTGTTCCACCAAGTTATGATGATAATATGGATATTAATCAAATGCAACTTATACCGACTACACCAGTTACACCCAATTTATTACCACCAGAACAACCATCATTAGTTTCTTCTCTATTACCTGTCGCTAATCGTAAGTCAAATGAATTGAAGGATGCAATCCTATTAATATGTATCTTTAAGAATATCGATGATTATATACTAGGAACAGACATGAATTTTTTTCAGAAAATTAATGGAGAATTCTATGTGCGTTTGCTTCCGGCAGGAAACTAATAATTTTTTTCCGAAGTGATTTGAGTATTCCATTATCTCGTTTTACTTATTCAAATGAATAGTTTGACTTCAGTCTTTTCTCCGATTTTTCTATGTTCTCAAAAAAAAAGAACAGAATGCATTCTCTAGTGAATAAGTATAGATTATTGGTGAACAATGGATTTTTTTTATCTAAGAAGAATATGAATATTATTAGAAGGAAAGAAATTTTAATGATCCTATCGTATAGTATAAAAGTTTTCCTGGAAAAAATTATGAAATCGTTCTTTTTCATGAAAAATGCATTTCCAAAATGCAAACCTGTCACGATCGATTATATATGAGATTAGTTATTGTTTTACGAATATGTTCAACTACATGAAATAGAATTGTGTAATCAGTAAGAATGAAGTTTCCAGTATACTAGAGGTTTCTTCATACAGTTTTTTTTGAACAAAATTATATCATGAAAAGAATTATAAAAAGTAAAACAACAAAATTGCGTGTTTTTCTGAAACTGTTGTGCCAGCTTTAGTCGTCTTGGCTTTTTGAGTATTTTGAATAGAAGAAAAACTAATGGAGCATTGAAAAGACCTTGAAAGAAAAAAACATTTTCCAACTAGTACGTCGGAAACTCACTGACAATAAGACCTTTTGTTTGGCAAATATTTCAGATATTTTTTTTATGACTTCAATGATTATTTTATGATCTAGTGTATATTTCATAATTTTTAATAAGAATAACCAGCAATTACGTTGACTTTCTTGATTCCATGTCCTCGTAGCAGCTCATTGTTAGCCATTGTCTGCTGAAAAAGAATCTAAAAAACGTCTTCTCCAAGTAGGTGACCGCCCGAAGCACTTCCCTTACAAAATTCACTACAGTTCACATCATCCTGTAAAAAATATTGTAATTAGCATCGTGCTTTTTTCCGTCTAACAATCTTGTCTATGTATAGTTTGGAAAAGAAAACCTGAATAAATATCAAACAAGAAAAAATTCACAGTTGACTAAACTTTTATTTAATTAGAAAAGAATTTCTTTTTCTGTTTCGCAGCCTATCATGTTGAGCACGGTTCATAAAAAATTAAGCGTTGATTTTTTAGACTCAAGTCATGAATTAGACATTCAAGCAACACAAGCCGGAGTTGAATGTGCCGCACCTTTGTTTGATGAACTAGGTGCTCATGATACACAATTATCAGCCACAAATTCATCTTCATCGACGACCTCATCTAATAATGATCCACGCTTTAATGTTGACCGAGCAACACTCAATGATTATGATTATGGTAATTAAATCTAAATAGAAATCAAAGTTTAATTTACTTAAAACAGTTTTCTTTAGTTCAAGGACAAAAATATGATCTTGAACGCATTACACTCTACGAAATAGATTTTAACGATGATCTTCGTTATGAACAACAATCTGTACATTCGACTGAAAACGTAAAATAACAGAAAAACGATATGTCTAATCTTGTTAGTTAGATGATGATTGAATTGTTCTACCGATTTTGAGACTGTTTTTTCTGAGATAATTTGTCAAAAGTACGAGAAATTCTATATATGCCTGTTTGGTGGAGGAGACTAAATTACATACAGTTCTAATTATATTTATTAATTTAGGAAAAAAATGAATTCAATCATAACTATAACGCAGCAAAGGAAACCAATGTCAAGCTTAAAGAAGAATTGAAAAAATTAGAAAGTAAATCATGTTGCTTGTACTCTACTTATATTGTATCATAATTCGTTTTTAGTATTATTCCAACAACAAGAGCGGCTTCGTGCGCCATGGACATGTGAAGTTTGTACGTTTTTTAATAGACCATATATTGAAACACTTCGAGATGTTTGTGAAATGTGTGAAGGGCCGAGTCCATTAAAACGATGTAAGCAAACCTTCACTTGTATATTTGTTTCCCTATTGTTCTTATTTTCTAGATACATTAACCAATTGATTATTTTATGTAAATTATTTTTCTTCATATTAATTCGTTTTGAGATTTATATTTTATTTAAACATGATCATGAGTGCTTTCCTATTTTTTTTCTTTTTATTTGGCATAAATATATTTACATACTAAGTTTACGAGATAACCATTGCGCTTGAGTTCTTTTTTTTACATTGTATTTTTGATCTTATTATGCCCTTGCTGTATAATAATAACTTTTCTTTTCTAAAAGAAACGATGAATGTATTGAATTTTTCTTTTTACTCGAACTTTTAGATAATAATTTTGTTTTTCTTATTTAATCATGTCATCAGGATCACCGGATAATACAAATAATTCAACTAGTAATGATTTGCTAAAATATAATTCATTAACTATGGCTCAAATAGATGCTGCTTATGCAAAAAATGAAATTCCCATCAATTTATTACCAGCTGGTAATTGTTAGATTTTTTTTCATTTTGTATTTTTATACAATAAAAAATTTTCTTTGAGCCTTGAGATTTGACAAAGAATAAAGAAAAAAGGTATCCCGTTATATCTGATTAATCTTTTTTTTCATGCTGACAACTAGTTTTCTTACGAATTTCACATACTAACACGAACATATGCTTATTTTTCTCATAGCCTTATAAGAATATTTTTTATTGAAGAATTAAAATAAACATAGCTTACAGCCAATGTATTCTCCAGTATGCGACAAGCTTTTTTTTCATGCCCGACGATTTATTTACTAAAGAACGCTATTAAACTATTTAAGGTAATATTTGTTTTGTATGCAAATAGAAAACCGAGAAGTGCATTTGGAAGGAATAAATTAAGAATGTAAAGATAAAAAAAAATCCGACTTTATTTGCTATAAAACTGTTTTTTGATCACATGCATACACTCATATCACTTCCATTATACCTATATGGCATGCACTCGTTTTTTCACCGATAATCCGAAGTCGCATACCATAAGTTAGTGAGACTAGTTTATTCTCATCGCATCGATACTCTCTCCTCACTGACGAACTAAAAATAGAAATTGTAAATATCTTACACGGACTTTGACGCTTTTTTTTCTTGGCCCATAATGATTGAATAGTTTCGCAAGTTTCATTAGAAGAGAAACAAAAATATCACACATTAGAAAGCAATTTTTACACAAATAGTCCAAGATACATTTTGCGTTTATTGCATGATTGGTAGGTACAAAATGTTGACTGTGGTAAAAAAATATTTAGACATACATGCAGATTGTTTTCTTTTTATGCAATTTAACGAGAACTGTTCAACCATGACGGAAAAACAAAAGAAAAATAAATATTTCTGAGGTTTTAGGAGTTTGATCGTATGATACAAATTGTGCTTACGATATTTCTACGCAGAAATCATAGTATAAATAAATAAATTTAGCAGTGAGACAATTCAATTCGTTTGACTCGAACATCATCGCTGACGTACAGTGCAGGCACATATTTATATTCATTTTCGCTTCTATGAGAATAGAGATTTAGGTATTTATGATTGGTGTGATCGTAAAAGTAACTTTAGGAACGAGTGGAATCTTTGCAAGATTTTGTACTTACAAAAGAAAAAGATTCAATTTGTAATAATTTGACACAGAACTGCTTATATCAATTTTTGTTTAATTCAAACTATAGCTATTGTCAATAAAAACAAATTTGATTACGAAAACTAAATTTATTATGGCAAAATATTGATCGAGTGCATGAGATTCAGGAAATTTTTCTATTATTGTCTTTCCAGCTTATTTCCGTATAAACAGAGTGTTACATGTAGATTATTGATTGCTTCGATGCTCTTTTTTTTATTGAAAAAGACAATCTTTCTATTTCGAATTCTTTTCTTTGCTAATTTTAGACAAACATCCTTATTGGAATAATGTTCCCACAGGACGTACAACTATTGAAGATGCTCAGCAACTCGAATATGATGAACATCATATTGATTTAATAGCTGATCAAGGTAAATCATATTTATCTGTTTCTAAAACTCTATTTAAATAAATAATCATGTCTCCAAAAGAAATCGATGATTTCGAATTAGACTACGGTAAGAATACAATGGTTTTCTTTTGAATTAGTTTAACTAACAGCTAACGCTTATCTTTACGGGGCATATCTAATATTGAACTCTTTCTTTTTTTAATATTATTTTTAATGCTTTAACTAATATTATTTTGTGCACCACTTTACTCTTAGACGGTGTCGATCTAGGGCAGCATCTTGGTCTTGATAATCACCAACATGACTTGGATTTCAGTGATGACGAGAATATTATCGGTGGTAAATAACGCTTTTGAATTTACTGACTCTGTTGTTGTTTTTGTTTTTGTATTTGTATTTATTTCTTATCTAATGTAATTTACTGCTTTTACATTTAGATCCATTTGACAATGGAACTGCATCGAACTCGAATAAAAATCGAGGACTAATCAAAGGAAACATAACGTCAGATGGAATTATTGATGATGATTTCGAATCAGAATTAGGCGGGCATGAACCTACCGTTAGTAAAAGTTATTTTTTGTGTGAAAATTGAATACAGACTTTTTTTTCTAAAGGACTTGCAAGATACAGAAGATGCAGATTATCAATTAATGACAAAAATATCTGAATATAGAATTATTGAATGTTGTGGCGATGACAAATTTGGTCGTAAAACAATTGTTTTTTCAGCATGCCGTTTACCAAATCAAGATGATATTAGAAACAGTGAATTTAAAACAGTTGCTAAATTCCGTGAATGTTTATTTAAGTAAAACTTCTTTCCTTTCGTAAATATAAATTATTTATCTAAAATTTTTAAGATATTTTTTACGAGCATTCGATCAATATGTTGATATGGATTATGTTCTAATTTATTTTCATTATGGATTACGATCCTATAATCGACCATCATACGGATGGCTAATGCAATGTTATCTTAAAATTGATCGAAAGTAAGAATTTCTTTTTATAGTTAATAAATAATCTCGTGCTCTAAATTTTAGATACAAGAAAAATTTGAAAGCACTTTATTTAGTACATCCAACAACATGGATTAAATTTTTTTGGCCAGTTATTCGCCCATTTATAAGGTATGAAATTGTCATACTATCATTTTTTTGTTAGAATGATATACAGCTCATTGATTTAGCTATGTGTAGCAAAAAGGATAGAAAACAGAACTAGTTAGACTTCTGAGAGAATCATTTTCGAATGGTATATTGACAACCTCAATTAATAAGGTCTATTTTTTGTCAAATTTCAAGACTAGAAAAAACACAAGTCAATCTATTTACAAATATCATTCAAAGAATCTTTGGGATTAACGTTCGTAAGCTTTTTTTTCTTAACTTCAAAGTCAGTGAAAGAAAAATAATCTCCTATCAACATCGGAATTTGATCCAGCTTCTTAAAATATTTCAATTTTTATAGGCTTTATTCCCCTTTTAAAATCTAAATTGCACAGCATAAGCCGCGTTTAAACTATGCTGAAAACAAAAATCGGATCCGTCTTATCTTTTACAATTAATTTGCATTTTTTTTATTGTCAGTGTAAAATTCTCGCGTAAAGTAACTTACATTAATCGTCTAAGTCAACTTGAAGAATATGTTCATCTTGATAATATTCGAATACCTGATGAAGTAAAAAGGTAAGTGAAAAAACAAGAATTGTATCATTTTTTTTCGAAATTTACAATCTTTATAAAATATAGTTGTGATCCAGTGGGTCCTTTGGAAATATCAAAAAATCAAACACGTCCAACCACAAAGTTTCATGTTTCACTGCAATTGTAATTTAATACGAATCGAGAAATTTTCAATAATTAAAATTGAATTGAATTCAGTATTCTAGAAAATGAACCCGGCGAAGTTATACCATTGGTTGTTCGACAAACCATTGATTTTATTAAAAATTTTGGTAATTCAATTTCATGGCTCAATAAAATATTTTAGTCTTATTATTTACGTTTTTTTTTCATTTTAGGATTGAATGAACCAGGGATTTTTCGACGATCTGCACTTGTTTCATTAACCAAACAAGTACAGACAAAGTATAACGAAGGTTTGAACAAATGTTTTTTTCAAATATTTATCATTGTTTTCGATGATTATTATGATGAATAGGTCAACCAGTTGTATTTGAACAGTATGGAGATGTTCATTTGGCAGCATGTATCTTGAAAACATTTTTACGAGATTTATCTGAACCATTAATGACATATCGTTTATACCCTGAACTTCTCGGCCTCTCAGGTAGTGAGTATGTTGTAGTTTTATTCTCGTCTATCTTCGTTGTGGCGTGCAAACTTCTTAGTTGGCCAGATCTTCTCGGTTTCTTTCTCTGCTTCAATGCGGTACACTTATATTATTTTATTCACAATTGCACATTTCTTGTTTTGCTTTAATTATTTACTAGATAAACATTCAATACAGATTATTTCTATTCTAACGATATAACTCACATAGATTATTAATCTGTATGTGGGAAATATTTTCATAATGAAAGTTTTTGTTTAGCACTAAAACGACCTGATCAAGTTGATATAATCCGAGATCTGATTGTTGAAAAATTACCAACACAAAATTATAATGTTTTAAAATATTTAATTGAATTCTTAAATTTGGTAAGATGAAATTTACATCATTTTTAAGAACAAAGAATTATTTCATCGCAATTAGGAAATACATTAGTGCAGTTTGAGTTTTACATAATGAAAAGGGCATTATTCAAATACGAACTACTACTGCCGATTATCTACTAGCGCTGATTTCAGTTTAATTGAAACGTATTAGTGAAGAGAAGGCAGAGAATATGCTTTAAAAATCGTTATACTTGTATAACATACTGTATCTGTATCGAATCAATAAATAAACCGTTGAACAACTGGTAAATCACTGAGGAGAAACGTTATCAAACAGAACAAGATTAATTCAGAATCGAAAAACTTACAACATTAGGAATAGTGCTGAGCAAACATTGAAGAGAAGACAAATCTTAGAAAAACCCTCAAACTATCTTATTATTGATGATGATCATTAAACAAATTTTTCTTTCGATTTAGGCATCTAACTATTCAAATACAAATCTAATGACAACATCTAATTTAGCCATTGTTTTTGGACCTAATCTGGCATGGGCAGAAGATGTTCAAATGAACTCATTGGCTAATTATTCACTTATCAATACATTTACGGAAATCTTGATTGCGCGTTATACAGAACTTTTTCTCAAATAATGCAAAGTACTATTCCATTCAATTGTTATATTATTATGTCTATGTTTATGTTTGGTTTTGTCTTTCATCTATCATACATTCCAACAAGAAGACAAAACAAAAACAAAAAACGCTTTATCTTGTCTTGATTCTTTTGATAAATTCCACTAGAACACGCGATTCAATTTACATTCCATTGTTTGTTCATGATTTTAAAGTTGATTATTTTTTTTTCTATTTTATATTCTTTTTTTGTGTTATATATAATTTTAAGCTTATTGTTTATTTGTTCGTTTCATAATTATTATCAATGCATCTAGCTACGAAAAATAAAATGTCCAATAATAAATGCAAACAAAAATAAAAAGAACAAACTAAAAAGTTTCTCTTTTGCAGATTATATTGTAAATAAATCAAAACTTTATTGGAATAAAACAAGAAACTTTTAGTCTCGTTGAATTTAATGAAATGACGACAGCAGCAAAACAAGATTTTGGGTAAGTTTTCTTTTCGTTTTTCAAAAGAATATGCATACAATTATAAACTCAAATAGATTGTTACCGCGTGTTGTCAATGGTGGTATCGCCGGTATTGTTGGTGTCATCTGTGTATTTCCGTTAGATTTAATTAAAACTCGAATGCAAAATCAATCGAAAATTGTTGGTCAACCAGCAGCTTATAAAAATATGTGTGTAAATTCAAATGATGTTTTATGTTATTGTTTACTGTTGTTTTTTTGTTTAGTCTTGATTGTGCAGTAAAGACATTTCGAGGTGGTGGGTTTATTGGAATGTACAGGGGTTCGTATCGATATTGTTCCTTTCAAATATCTAATCAAAATATCTGTTTAGGTTCGGCAGTGAATATTTTATTAATAACACCAGAAAAAGCCATTAAACTTGTTGCTAATGATGGCTTTCGTCATTTATTAAAAACCAAGTAAATTCTAATAGAATAAAAACATGCGCAGGATTGTATATATATAGTTCTTTTTATTAGAGATGGATCTCTTCCTGTTCATCGTCAAATTTTAGCCGGCGCTGGTGCTGGTACATGTCAAATTGTTATAACAACACCAATGGAATTACTGAAAATTCAAAGACAAATGGCCAAATCCAAAGGTAAGAATATTTCAATTTGGTTTACTTTAGTTTTTATTATTGTCTCTAGATTCAACACAGTCACCTAATGCTCGACAATTAGCGTTGCAGTTATATCGTGAGAAAGGTGTATTGGGTTTATATCAAGGTGTTGGTGCAACTTTCACTCGGGATGTTGTATTTTCCATGATGTATTTTCCTTTATTTGCTTATTTCAATGATAAGGTTAGCTCAAACAAAATTTTCGTTCAGTTTTCTTTTTACAAATTTTCTTTTCTCAGGGAAAAACACCCAATAACAACCAAGTACCGTTTTATCATTCATTTGCATCCGGCATTGTTGCTGGTGCCATCAGTGCTTTTCTAGCAACACCATTGGATGGTAATATATATATACTTAAAACGATTTTTTTCCCTATGAATCCAGATGAGAATTATCATTATACAATGTACAGAGATTCGAATTTTTTATACTTGCTTCTTTGATGATTTTCGAGACTCTCAGCTGACGTTTTTCTTCTGATTGCCTATTAGAAACTCTCCAGTGAGTATCATCGTTGCTAATTGCTGGCTTTCTATTATTTAAAAAAGAATTTCTTGAGATAGGTTTATATACTTTAGTAGAGTCTCTACACTGGAGTCCTCTCATGGTTAATTTTATAATAAAATAATTCTCGAAGAAACAGATCACAACTGCCTTACAGTTGTTTGATACATCTGACTATCAGATTTACTAAAAGCTAATTGATATTCTAAGATATGATTATTTCGTAGGATAATATTAATGTGGGCTCAATTTCAAATTGTTTTTCTTTTCTTTTTTATGCTGTAGCTTTAATCATATTTGAACTTTAAAAAGATAGACAAAGTAATTAGAGTGAAACAAAAGCTGCTGAATGAATGTTTTGATAAACCACTAAACTCTAGTAGCAAACCGGATGGATAAACGATGTTCATATTGTTCGTTTTATGGCTGCATTTATTTTAATTGGGCATGATAGTCCTTATTCAGCATTTGCTATTATTTTATTGCACTTTTCTTTGAAAATAGAAATAGCGTTGGAATTCTTGATTCTTTTTGTTACTTCGGGGATGGAATGAAACACGATAACTGATGTTTACCTGTCTAATATTACATTCTATTTGTTTAGTTGTCAAGACTCGTTTACAAACACTTGAATATAAAAGTCGTTATTCAGGGATGGTCGATTGTGCTTCGTAAGTGAATTCATTTATTATTTTTATTTTTGCTTTTATTATTATTCTTTTTAGTAAAATCATGGTTGAAGAAGGTGCAAGTGCCTTTTTCAAAGGTTCATTACTTCGGGTCATGGTTATTGCGCCTCTATTTGGTATAGCCCAAATGGTCTACTATTTAGGTTTAGCTGAAGCTATGATGGGTCTTAAGCCTTTAGGCAGCGTCAGCTAATTCAAGAAATAATCTTCACCATGAATCGTATCTCAAATAACACGAAAAATCACCAATTTATGATGCCCCTGTGTATCTCATTTTACTTCCTGAATTTATTTTCTCTATTGTATTTGTCACGTATATAAACAGAAAAACAGTACTATTTATTGTCTAATGTTGTGACTTGTTTTCTCGCAATACAATCTAGCTTTGATGTGTAATATTTTTTTAGGAAAACAATCGTTTGGTTTTTTGTTTTTCATGTATCTTTCCGAGAATGGATATAGATCTCTTCCGTTCATTCTCCGTTTATTTCCTATAGATATATTGCATTGCGTTTGATAGCTTCTTTAATTATGATGGATGACTTCTTGAAATGATAGAATATTTTGATGATTACTAACCAACATTCAACCGTTAGGATTTCGTTTTGTTTAGATTAATGCGAAAAAGAGAAATGAAATTAAAGATGATATTTATTATTAAACGTGAGATTTTATTATTTAACTGCCGATTATTTGAGTATTTTCACTTTGTGTAAAGTTATTTGTCTTGCACAAAGAAAAATTTCACAAGAATTTACTTTGATATTCAATTCGAGTTGACGCATTATTTATTAGCCATTCTAATTTGATGTTTTTATACAGGATAATATCGATCATGGAAAAATGTAAAATGTACTAACAAATCATAAACCTGGATTTTGTGAAAAGATTGAAAGAAAAGGCGCTTAACAAAAAATGTATGTTTAATGTTTCTCAATCAATCAACGCATCGAACTCCAAAGTGTTGTGCCGAATAATTTATTCAATACTATTGATTTCTTTTTTTTCCTGTCGGTTTCTTCATCATTTGTTGCATTCTTTATATCAAATGTAGGTTTCTTTAACAAAAGATCATCGCCAATGAGTTAACACAGTAAGTAGACTTCTGATCACTTCATCAGATTATGGTTATGTGCAATACTATTGCTAGTGTGCATTTACGTAGTAAATCAATCTCTCTAGTATTTAAGAGTATTCGAATAAGAATAATGAATTAAGAGTTATCTTACTCTATGTAAATACTTCTGTAAGAACTATAGAAGAAGTACGTCACAGTTATATGACGATGATCTTCATATATATTTTACTTCACGTAAAAGAGTTTAAAAATGGTTAAACCTTGAATTTAAGAACAAAGGCTTATCCTTAAGACAGATTGTTGAATCTTATAAAAATTCAGTTCTTTTAGTCAATTTGTATTCTACTAATAATATCATCGATTTCATAGTTATTCATTGTTGAAGTAACTTGTAAATAATTTCTACTATGCATTGTCGTGCAAAATGACGAATATGAACTCATTTTTTATTCTGCTCTACAATAGCGAAGGGTAAGAAAACACCTACTAGGATATTGTAAATAGACTAAATTGACGACCATAAACAAGAAACCATAAATTATTAATTTTTAGTTTTCTAACAGACTCAGCTTTCAGTGACTTCAGTTGCCAAATTGTTCTTTATAGTACATTCTCTATCACAGTCGTACGTGACATCAATTATTACAACACGAAAAAACTATATAAAAGAAAAAGTTCTTTTCAATGAACAGTAAAAGAACAACAAAGAAGTCAATGTCAATTGTAATTCATGGTTAAGATATGGCATACTAAATAAATATAAAAGTTCAAATATTAGCAAAGTGAATCCTTGATCAAATATGACAAAGGTTGAAGATTTAACAAGAACTTGAGAATATATTACAAAACTATCAAATATCAATGTGTAAAAGTAAAGCATCTCTATATACCATTTCTTATAGTAAATCATAACTAAACTTTTTCGATTGATGTAAAAGAAAAAGCGAACAAACGAACGAAGGAAAGAAAGAAATTGACAGTTTATTCAATTAAATATACGCCATCAAAAATACACTCAATTATTATTTATACACATACATGTTTAAAATAAAATTGAAAAATATTTTCTCATCAACATTATGTTTCCATTGAAAAACTAAGGCAACAATGTGTTACCATACTTTATATAATTCCATATTGTGCAAGGTAAGAATAACGTCCATCATGCTTACATGAAGGTAATAGTAAAGCGAAACACAATATAAAAAAAATGAATAAAGAAAATTGAAGTAGCAATGTGCAAGCATGGCCAATAAACGTTAAACATAAGTGAATATTTGTTTATTTAAGTTATTTTTCATACGAAAAAAAAAGAAAGCTATAAAAATCATACTTCATTAAATAACAAAACTAACATCGAGTTTTCTCTTTATGCTTATAACTAAAAAGCAAAATGATTGATTGATTTATTTTCCAGAATATTTAAACTAATAATCATTGAATAATATAAAATATGCGTCGTCAGAATGAAAATACCAATAATAAATATTATTCTTATATACCTCCGACAAATTCAACATCATCTCGAAATCCTTCTTCAAATAGTACAAATAGAAATGCACATTATCAGTATTATGATCCTCGTCTACGTACACGACAACAAGCACAACAATCTTTATACGAATATCAATATAGTAGCACGAGTCCTAATCGAAAAAGTCCAGGTTCTATTTATGGTTCACCACGTCGTCAACCATCCTATCAACCACCATCGTTTCTTCAAGAATTACCTTCATCATCAGCAGATTCGATTTCGGATTTAGGTGAACCGATATCCGTTTTTGATGATATTCAACCATTAGAATATCGACGAGGGATTGTTGCGCCTGCTTTATCATCAACTTATATGCCACCAGATCCAAGCCAACGTGTATCACTAAATGATAATCGTATCGCAACAGCACAAGCTCTACGAGAACAATTATTAAATGATATTCAACATTCGATTGTTGATATTGATAGAGAACTGACTTCACTGGATAAGCGAACACCGGTGCCACGATATTTGCCACCTCGTTTCTCACCTATAGTAGAATTCGATGTAAGAAATATTTTCTTATCTCGTTTTAGATTCAAGAAGAAAAATAGTATTATTTATTTATTTATTTATTTATTTTAGGCTCATGATGTTAATCCTTTTCGACAAATAAAAAAAACTAATAAACCAGTTAGTGTTCCAGTGAAAAAAACTGTTCCAATTGTAACTTCACCTATGAGTAAAACGATTCAACAAACATCAGCACATTCATCAATAGCAAAAGAAAACAGCAGTGCCAATAGTCAAACATGGCCAAATAAACCGAAACGTATTTATCAAGTAATACCTAGTTTAACAAGTGATTCAAGAAAAACATCAAGACAATCATCTGTTGGTGCACAACATGAACATATTAAAATAAGTGAAATTTATTCAAATCAATCAACACCAAAACTTGTTGATAAAAGTAAAATTTTCATTTCTATATGTTTTTTTCTTCTTCTATGAATAATTTCATTTCAAAGGTATTTCATCGTCAAAACTTCAATTGCGTGGTCAATATCATTATGGACCAGAAGTTGAAGAAACAGAAATACTTCCCAATGATCCAGAAAATACTGATCATAAATCGACATTGGACGAAATGGAAGGAACAAATCAATATGAACCATTGAATACAGATGAATTTCTTCGTGAGCTATCTCCTCCACCTCAAAGTCGTGCGATGATAAATGTTCCTGAATTCAGTGGTAATAATCAACTGGAATCTCGTGAATCTGCTGAGGATTTCATTCACAAGAATCAAATCGATAGCAATAATGCTCGAGTATTAACAGCAAATTCTCTACACGATTTAACACCAACGAAAGATTTAATGATTCCAGACACTGAATTACTTATTCAAACCGCACCAGAAGATCATGCTGAATCTGAACTTAAATCTGAACATGTATTCACTCCACGTGAATCACCTAAAGATAATGAAATTCATTTTGAAAATGAAAATGAAAATGAAAATGACAATAAAAAGGAAAAGGAAAATGAAAATGAAAATAATCCAACTCTTTCAAAACCAAATCAAAATTCACGTCCATCAACAAAAGCGTCAAGAACAACTCCCATTGCTGCTAATGATAATCTAATTGAAAAACCAACTTTACTACAAGTACCGACGATTGATTCTACTGTTGATATTACTTCTCCTCCTCCTCGTTCTTATCCTCCTCCTTCTTCTCCTCCTCCAGCTGTTGCGGCAGATAACAATGTTGGCGGTGTAGCTGCTTATTTCTTTAGTGATTATGGTAATGATGATGAAGGTGAAGAAGATCTGATGCCAATTGATCAAAGTAATTTTATTGTTCCAACTGGTGCGGATGTCATTTCTGAAGATACAATCAGTAATAGCATATTGGGACATTCCCAAGCATCACTTTCAATTTTACATTCGGCACACGTGCCACAACAAAAGCAACAAGAACAACAACAACAACAACATGCACGACAACTTACCTCGGCTATGTCGTTGACTTCAAAAAATAACAATGAGCATAGAAAAGTAGAAAAAAATGAAGAAATAGAACGCGAAGAAACGGATGCAACGAAGAAAGGTATAACAAATGCTGTTTCAGGGTTACCGCCGTCGTCTCCGTCGTCAAAAAACATCTTGCCAACGTCCGCGATCGACAACATGCAAACGCAATTTAATAGAAACAACAGTAGAAGTAACGACGATCATCATCATCATCGCCAATCGTCAACTACGATTTCAAACTCAGATGCTATTTACTCAAATATAGAAGAACAAGAAAAACGTTTAAATATTTCGCGAATACGTCGTCGTTCATCGGTATCAGTAAAATCTCAAATGCAATCTCGTATTCAATCGGCAACATCACAAAAAAATGAAAAACCATTGAAAAACAAGCTTGAAGAAGCGCCGAGTTTATCAACACGAAGTAATACACCATTTAAAAATATCGATAATGAAAATATTGAAGCATCAGAAAGAATTGATTCTGCTAATCAAAGATTGAAATCATCGTCTAAAACATTATCTCGTAGTGCATCAATGAATTCGAATCCTAGAAAACATGACGAGGCAATAACACCTATTGATTCTGCAACAAAAAGTGCACTAAGTCATACCGATAGAGAAAGTTCCGTTGGTTCAAGAGCAAGTTCTCGTCCATCATCAATTGCACCTAGTGAACAATCTCGTTTAAGTGAACGAAGGTCTGGTTCATTATATCGTTCTGTTACTAATGATGAACTAGGTCAATTACTTAGTTCAAATGATCTTAACCCATATAGAAATCCAACAAATAACAATGAACCAAATATATTTTCAGCTCAAAGTGAACATTTTCTTCATCATGAACAACATACAACCTATGATATGAATCAACGAATGCCAAGTAACTATTCAGAAAGTCATCCCGGTGAATCCCGTCAAAGTTTAACAGGCTCAGCACTTCCTGTTGCTCTTAATTCGCCTGAACATGACGATAATCCACCAAAAACATCAAGAACAGCAACACCGAAAAATCAAAGTTCTGTTTGTTCGATGGAAATGCCATCGCATCCAAATGTAATTCTTACAACAACCGATGATCCAGATCCGAATGATTCATCCATTATAAATAGTACAATACATTTTCAAATGTTATCATCTCAACCACCCAACATTGATAGACCTTTTGATGAACGTAATGAACCCAGTCCATTAGCAAATATTGTACCAGTACAAACATTTCCATCGCGTATTCCATCTGTTGAACTACCTAGTGAATTATTGACCCCAGAAGAACAGTTAAATAAGTCTTCATCTAATCTACAGCGTAGTCCTACACCGAAAGTTGAACTTCAACCAAATAGTACATTATCACCAGGAGCACCAGAAAATGATCCTCTTCTACGTGCTTCAACACTTCATCGAACACTTTCGTCACCTAAAATTGAACGTGAAGAAACATTATCACATCAAACTCCTATACTTTCTCATCCAGCACGTCTTGAAGATTCAATGCGTCCAACGCCATCGCCATTGCTATCAGCAAACGAACATCAACAAAACCAAAATGAAAATGAAAATGAAAATGTTGACAATACTCATCTATCGTCAGTATCAACACCAATAAATGAAAATCATCATGCACAACAATATTCACCAGATAAATTAGAAAATAATAATGTTCATTCACAACTGAGTTCTCCCCGTCGAAGTGTATTATCCGATACTAATCATACATCTGTTGAAGGCGATGATACGTATCGGCAACAATTGGATACTCCGCCAATGTCTCCTAAGAATTTAAGAGTTATATCTCATAATCATGATAGCTATATGAATAATCATCAACTTGAAATTCAAAAGCCAGCATCGCCAATATCGTCACCTGTTCATCAAATATTCATCAGTGAAAATAAACGTTATCCATCATCGGAACGATCAATATCTCCGATTCAAGTTAGATATCAACAGCATGGTGATGATCATTTACATCGAAACGATATTCAACTTAGTTCAGCTTCAATTCGACTTACAAAAAATCCTACACCACATTCATCAGCATCAAATACAAGACCAACATCAACTGACGATGATTATCCTGCAATGACACCGAGTCAACAACATTCAAAATTATCACTTCGATTACGAAAACAGAAATCAAAGCGAAAAAAATCGCTGGCTGACCAGCAACCAGCACCACCACAAATCGATGTAGGTATACCTCGTGAGAGGCTCAGAATAACACACACTATTGATAATCGAAATTCATTTAGACATCTGATATAAGTCCAATGAATAACGAGGAAAATCTCGACGAAAACAAACCAAAACAACGACAACGTCGACGAGTCTCATTTTCCAGTAGCATTGCACATTTTCATGTGGAAGAACGACAACTTTTAACAAATTGGCGTGAACGCGTTGCTGCTATTTTAGCAAGCAAAGTTCGTAGATTTATGTAGCAGTGGTTGCAAACTATATAAGCTCAATCCTTTTTTTCCTGTTCGACAAGAATATTTAGCACTTAGTTCAAATAGAAATAGTTGTTTAGATAGTTAAGAAAGTTTTTGTTTTTACCAAACGTATTTCATAATAGAATTCCATCAATGAACTATTCGAAGAATGTCTCTAAAATATTCAAAGAGAACAAAATTCTGAATAAAATAAAGGTTGACTATAATTATTTCCTACGATTTACTCACACGCTATGCTTGTAAATTATTTAGGAGCAATCTTATTTCATCGAAAAATGTTCTATTTTAGAGAAGGTTCGCACACGATAGAGAATATCAGTCACTATAGAAACCATAATTTGAATTTTAAGTTAAATGTTAAATATCTTAGAGAAAACTTGGCCTTACCTTTGTTTTTTTCGTTACTTTAATTGATTAACTTTGCCTGCCTGAATTTAGCATCGTCAAAACGAAAAATATTCTCATATACAATCACGTGTAAATTCATTTGCTAATTTTGAATATCAACCAAAAAAGATTAATGTAGTGCCGGTGAAAAAATCACGTCCAAAAGTATGTTTAAATGCTCTTCTATATTTTCCAGTAATAAGACTGATGTATTTTCCTTCTAGGTTGTTGAAGTAAAATTTGAATAAAAAGAAAAAGAGAACTCTCTTGATTATTTTTTTTTTCTTTGTATTAGCCAACAACTGTTAAAGAAAGCAAATTTATAAAACGGAAAAAATTTAAAGTAAAGAAAAATAAATAATTTTAAAAGCTCAACTGTGAAATTTGATTTAACAAGGTAAAAAAACCGAAGCCTCACCCAGTAACATCACCTGAAGATCAAACCGACGATGACCAACAACCAGTTCAACAATTAAAAGTATGTGTGTTGGAGATAATTCATTCGAAATTTAATTGAACTGTTTTATTCTCAGGAGCCGGCACCTCAGCTATTCGGACGACTTTGGTGCCTACCCGATGGAAGTCCGACAGTTTTTCATGAATCTCTGGAATGGAATGTTGCATCGAAATTACGAAGTTATTCATATGAAAATCTTAACTATGAACCACATCGCAGTGAATTTAAAGTATGAAGATTTGTTTTTTAATTTTAATTTCATTGTTGTCATAAAATAAAATATTTGAAATAAATCAAGATTTTTAATAAAAAACCCAAATGGCAAAGTGAATCAAAATTAGCTGATCTTATAAAAGAGCCACCACGTTTTCTTCATCGACAAACGCTTGCTCCGAATAATATGTTACCGATGCTACCGGACAGAGGGAAACCATATTCTTATCAACAACGATCCAATCTAGAAGATGGAATGGAAAGAAAAGTAAATCTCGTGAATCGTCAGATTTATCTTGTATAATTTCATGTAGATTTTTGATATACAAACTAATATTCAACAATCAGGAACAAGATTTCCAAGTCATTTTCCTGAGAATATGTCATATAGATCGCATGGTTCAAGACTTTCAGATGTACCCGTAAGATTATCAATATGCATAGTCGATAATTGAGTTGACTTCTTTTTTTGTATCAGATTTTCAATGAAAAACTTGCATGGTTAAAGCAATCAAAACTAAAAGATACAACATGGAAAAATATAAATTATCAACCAAAAAAATCTAAAGTTCAAGTAAAACAAATCGAACTCACAGAATCAATGAATTGAATTATAATTTTACTTTCTTGATTAAAGATTTTCAACAAAATAGTTCGTTGGAATGGCGAATCAAAGGTTCGCACACGTTCACCATCGACAGTTTATCCAGCAGGAGGACCCATGAGTAATGTTCAAGTAACATTATACAATTCATTGTATTTTTCAAAACACACATTCCTATTGATTCGTCCTTTTTCTTTCAGATATTTGATGAAAAATTAAATTGGGATGCTCAAGCAAAAGTACATTGTTGGTCGGAAATCGATCTTCGTCAATTAACAAAAAAGAAAGCAATTTTTGCTGTATAAAGAAAAATAATTTACAGTTTTTGTTTTCAGGTAATACTTTAATTTTTTTTTAAATTTAGCAATATCATGATCCAAAATGGAATGACATTGTAACACCTCGTGTCGATGCAAATAATTATAATTATTCAAAATTTTCAAATCATGTTGAAGTAGAGTATTCAAAATTAATTTATCTTTTATTGAACTTCGTTTTCATTACAAAAGATTTTCTCCGATCGACCAGCATGGACACGAAATTCAGAATTAAAAGATTACGTTTGGGAAAACTTTGATTATAAATCACATCGGCGAACCGAACAGGTAATCATTAGTAAATATTAAGATAAACAAAATAACACGGTTGCTATGTAATAGCAATTCTGTTTGACTGTGTTCGCTTTTATTGACTTCACTTTAGACATTTTACTTGTTAACGATTCAAAAACTTTCCATATTGATCAAAGAAAATATATACGCATGTAAAGAAGGAGAAGAAGAAAAGAAAATGCTTGTTACTGTAACTAGAGGAAAAAAGCCTGTCTAGAAAGTTTTTTTTTTGTAATGCTCAATTGCGTGTGAAAGCATCATACAAGTAGAGCATACTTTTCAATCTTGTTGTCGAATCATGTTTTATTATAAGTGTATTTAAACAAAGTGAATGCTCGGTTCTCGTTTTTTTTTCTTCTTCTCTGAGTCTCATAAAAGAAAGAGTGGCACAGCTAGTCAAAACGAAGTGAGCTCTGTTAGCAACTTTGTTTTTTCAATCGCGTTCTTTGCTTCATTTAACAATTCTTTTTCTTGACGATCATTAGTTTAAAAAGTTAATAGAAACTATCGACCGATATTTGAAAACAACACAGATTGTTGGCTTGTTTGATATACTTATACATATATATATATATGTATTTGTTTGCATACACCCATCATAAATAAATATTGATACATAATTTAGTAAACTTATTTTTTACTTTTAACAAATAATATCGACTGAATTGTTTTATTTGTATTTTAGTCAAGCAATCAACGACGTGCTCAAGAATCTGATCAGGTGGGTAGATGTTGCGTTATAATTTCTTCAGTTGTGAAATAATATAAATGATGCTTTTAACGTTGAGTTAGTTTTTCGTCGTGTGTAAACATTTTTAAGATAAAACAAAATAAAGCTAACCTAATAACCTTAGGAAAACGAGAAAATGGCGTTTGATCTACGTATTTCGAATGAGTTCGGAAGTCAGTTTCGTCGTTTGAACGTATGTCATTTTAATTGCGAATGTGATATGTTTCATTTGTTCTCTTTTTCTGTTCAAGAGTCCGCCAAATAAACCGAAATGGAATGCAGTAAGCAAAACACGCAGTCTCAATTCAGTTTACAATCCAAAGATGGGAAATTCGACTATGGTAAATTTACTTTTTCTTTTTGATTAAACTAAATATGTTATTTAATTAGATTCGACGAAGTTGGGATCAAGATCTTCGTCGAAAAAGAATTCATAGAGTAAGAATGTTGCTTGTAATTCTTTGTCGTAGAATTTTCTTTCTTTTATTTTTCTTGAATATTAAGTTACCACCATTAAAAAGAAAAAGAAAACATGATGAAATGCCACAATTAGCCATGGATGGTCTACCATCAACAATGCCACCGAATACACATTTATCTATTGATTATAATTATGAGCATGGCTCAGTGACGGTCAGTGATTAATATTAGATGGATTTTAATGGGAACGTAAAAAAACCGATGTAATATTATTTTAGCAAGGACGAGCGACTAGCAATGGTTATGGAACAATGTCTTCGAGAAGATCAAGTAAAGCACTTGTTCCAATAAATCACCATCGAAATTTTCCAGATCTTGAAGTAAATAAAAGTATTTTGTCTAATCTCAATGTTGATTTCTATATTTCATTGAAGTTACCAGCTGAAACTCCGCGATCACAACGACCAGTTCAACAAGAATGGTACGATGAAATGAATAAATCTCGTTTAACTCATGTAAGACAAGATTTTTCTTTCGACTATTATTTTCGTGGATATTTATTCATTTATTTTGTAGCGAACGGATATGGGACGTATAACAAATCATTCGTTTCGAAACTCTATTGATTCTCTTCACCAAGCAAATACACCCAGAGAATTAGCAACATTCGTTCGTTATTGATAATTACTAAATTTTATTGAAAATTAGTTTTGCTTTTCTAGCGTTCGTCTACACGAAATAGTCAAAATAGTGTTATAAGTGGTACATTACTTGATTCAAGTATTCGAACGAATCGAGCTACGGATTTCCGATTGGCAAAAGACATGGTATCATAATTGCTACATAGAAAATTATCTGACAGAACTATACTCACGTTGAGAAACGTCGTAAAAGATTTATTCCTCACCATTTCCTAAATTTACCAAAAGAATCGTATGGACAACTTTGTTTGTACTGAAAAAATGTTATTAGTTGCAAGTTGTGGGTGAAATCAAACTAGATTTTCTAAATTCTAGAAATAGCTTATGCCTGTATAACTCAAATTCTAGTCAATTTTGAGATCTTTTACATGAGTTGTACTTGTGGGGTAGAAAGAAAACGATATTAATTTTGTATAATTGTACTGATTGTTATTTGTTGATTTTTAGGAAGAACATCATCATCATTCTCATACGCCAAGTCAATCCATGCCTATTGAAATACGTGGTTTTCAGCTTGAGGGCACACAATTATCTGTAGATAATGCAACAATTCGTCCATTATCAAATGTTAGTTATGGTACAAGTGAACGAGTTAAAAGCCGTCGTGTTTATCCATGGAGTAGTTTGCATCCGCATGGAACATCAAGTCGAAATAGTTCATTGGTACCTATTGCAGAATTTCGCCGTCCATCCCTTGACACAACAATAACTGAAGCTCAACAATTAATTCACGAAGAATGAAAATTGAGAATAAATATTTCTTTTAAGTGCTTTCTTTTTTTCAATTCTTTTATTTGTCTGCTTGTACAGATGAGATTTAATTTAATTTATTATTTTGTTTTAAATCTTTTCAACTGAATTGCAAATAAGCAAAAAAAAGTTTTTTTTTTATTTAACCAAATGTATTAATATGAAGATCACTAATTAGCTCATGTATATATTTGTTTAAATTAATTAATCGTTGATCTTTTAGTGGACAACTCAAGTCAGGTGTTTGTTGTTCATTGTAAGTAACATGAAGTGTTGTACCAAATGAAACACTTTTAATACAAAAAATTGGTGCATATTGACTGAATGGTAAAGCTTGTTCAGCAGCTTGAAAAATATTATTTGTACGAGATAATGAAAGTTGAATGCTATTTTGTGTAGTTGTACTACTTGGTGTTGTTGAAAACACTTGATGAGTTCGAGGAGCAACAGTCCATTTGACATTACCATCTCGTTGTAATTCAATTATATAGCCAGCAGTATTCGTAGAGCCTGAATTGATAATTTGAATAATATTGTTTTCATTATTCGATGAAACTAATGCAAAGAATACTGCAAGAATGATAAACGATAGCGTAGCCATATTGAAAATTGGTAGATTATTGGATTGCAAAATTTTTAATTTATAGGTGATATTAATGTGAGAAAATGAAGCAGATGATATTATCATAGTTTGCACCTTGGACTCTAACAAATTAAAGTATATTGTAAAAGTGAAAGTATGATGACTTGTTTTCGATGTGGGACTTTTATTGGCATTGTTAATAAAAGTACGAAGTCTAGGAGAAGTGCGAAAATTTTCTTATCAGTAGTTTTCCTCTACTTGCGAGAAAAAAAACAATGTCAATCATTCACAAGTAATAAAAACATCCATCCATACAAACATAGTACACGATTTGAAATGTCTCTATTCTAAATTGTTCTGTTAGAAAGCTACTATATGTGTGTATGCCATTGAGTGTAGAAAACAGGCACCAATCTGCTAATATTCTTCTGAGATCAAAGAATTTATAATAATTGAAGTTGATGTTTTGTTTTCTGATTTTTCACTTTCGATAACAAATGAACAATTAAAGAATATGAGGATAAGAAGTTAGTGTTTTAGACATAAATATTCCTCGAATGGATCTATCTTATCTCAATTATTTTGCAGAGTTCTTCCGACGATCAGTGCCAAATTGAACGTTTGTTTATTGACGATTCGAGGAACTGAACGTTTTTTTTAAAGATCCAACAAAGAACTCATAATAAAATTCCAGTATGAAAAAATAAATCGCTCGATATAGTAAATCCGTAGTCTTTTCCGAAGTTGTTAAACAATCGTTCATCGGCAATAATCTGAATCGTTCATGATCAGTAAATTTCAAAGAGTAGTGCACCAGTCTTGGTAAACTGAAACTTATCGAATGGTGGCTTCTGAGGAGTAGTGTTCGTTAAAAAAATATCAAAACTAACCATGGATATAGACACACGTGTTGAATATAAAAGGGTTTTCTGTTTATTTTAATGTTCCATTGAATAGAATATTTGAATTTTATAATGTAACGATAAGACAATAATTGCTTCCTTCTAATTACGTTCTTTTTGTCTGAATTCTACGCGTATATATATATATATCTATGCGTAATATAAAACTCACATCGCAATAGCTTATATCATCAACAATAATGAGTAGAAGTGTAAAAAATCATTTTTTACTTTTTATGAGACAATAAAATATATCCGAAAGACAACACAAGAAATGGAACGGCAAATCACTGGCTAAGTAATAAACTTCGAAATACTAGACGCAATAAAATATTAAAAACAAAAAGAATAAGAATGCTTTCTTCTATTTTTTCTTCTCTGATGTGCTGCCTCTGTAACAGGAGAATAAGCTAAAACCTTAATGAGGATATTATTGACACAGGGAAGTACGATACCCGACTATAACCTAAATCGAATGCATTTGTGATTGCACGCTAGATAATTTCTCATTATGAACCTCTTTTTTAGAAAAGCAAAATATTTCTCTCGATACATAAGATTCTTTGAAGGGTAAATAGACTTTTGATCCCCAAAAAAATGACTATTGATCACCAAAATGCGTTAGTTGCGAAATGATCACCAAAAAAATGTACAAATGATCCCCAATCTATTTTGTTGCGAAATGATCACAAAAAAATATATATTTGATCACCAATTTGCTTTTTGTGGAATGAATGGTAGAGTTGTGGTAGATAACGTGTTTATCTCAAAAGACAACAGATTGATAAGACATAGTTAAACAATAATCATAATTGGATCAAAATGGTCTCATTAACTGAAAATAGTTACACAAAATGTTCTATCATAACAATGCAGAAAACTAAAAATGTCAAGTACAAAAAAAGTTCGAACAGCATGGTTACCATGATTTTGGTAGAACATATTTTCTGTTTCCATTGTTTATTGTATTTTGTGTAACTATAGTTGTTATTTATTATTCTATCTCTTATTGTATTGATAATAAATTCGGTGATCGAATATATATTTTTTGTGATCATTTCGCAACAAAATAGATTGGGGATCATTTGTACATTTTTTTGGTGATCATTTCGCAACTAACACATTTTGGTGATCAATAGTCATTTTTTTGGGGATCAAAAATATTGCTACCCTTCTTTGAAGCAGGTCTTTTTTATTTAACACAAAGATATTTCATTTTTCGCCAAATCAATCGACTTTCGGATTGTAGCGAAGCAATAAAAACGATTTCATTCTATTTCATAGATTACCGATTGGGTACACAGTCGCAATAGAGTAATGCATCTCAGAATCTCACACTAACTTTCGCAGAGTTACAGATATTAGTTGAGTCATTTAGTTTGTTTATCGACGGCACTTTATATTCTTCTCTAAAATTATTCCAGTAGAATGAACGGAAACGTTTCTCTGAATATTTCAATAAATATGCTTATTCACTGTAAAAAGCTTGTTAACAAACGATGTAATGATGATTGCGAAATAAATACATCATAATTTATCACTCATGGCAATTATTTGTAGCATCATCGACTCCTAGATGCATCGCTTTTCATTACTATAGAAACATCATATGAAGATGGGTAGTAGTGTCCCTAATTGAAATGCATTCTATCAATGTTCTTATCACTTATCATTGAGACAATACTTCACAAATTGAAAATTAAGAGCGGAGTTTTTATTATTTATTTTGAATTGTTTCCCTACCTTTTCATATGGCAAATTGTGTTAACTCATTATAGAGTATTGAACAATACAACGAACGGTACTAATTATGTTTGTGGTATTGTAACCGATGTATCACTAGAGAAGTCAAATATATCTGACAATATCTAGACTTAAAATTATGAAGCACATTGTAGACGAAATGTAAATTTTCAACAGCAAGATGAATTCGATAGCATTCAAAGATAGAACAATGCATAAAGCATAGTGATAGATATCCCTGTCTGAATCGGTCTGTGTTGTAGACGTGAATAGACGATGACAATGTGAATTTTCTCTGACGCTTAAATGTGTATCGTGTGCAAAAACATGATTAACGTTTTCGAAATCGTAATATTACTTCATCATATTCACTTCATTGTTATACTCAGCAAAATACTTTTCGGTTCTTAGTTTGCTAAATTTCCGAAAGAGAAGGATTCCCTTCCTCGAGTATCCAGAAATGAATTGACACAAGGATTCAACTGATCCCTTAGCGTCATTTTATAGAAGAAAATTCACGGTTGATCCATCGTTTTCCATCGCTTTAGTATTGATATAAGTGTTTATCTAAAAATCTATTGCAATTGTTGTGATGTTTTCGCTGAAGTGCTGAACCGACTATTCAGATTTTCGAAGAAGTTAGTTTCCATCGATTCAACAATTGTATTGACCTACAAATCAAAGATTTTTTAAAAGTACCGGTAAAGCCTAGAAATTGCCGGAAATTCTGATTTTGCCTTTTTCAGAACCCTGTGCACTGTTGTGAGCAGAGAAATAGTCAAAATCATCAACAGTGACGCGGCTAGCTGAAGAGTGATGAACAACCATTGTGCGATTAAGGCACTGTTACTTTTATTTTTTAGAGATTACGATAGAATCTTGATTCAATACTCTCATATTACCAACAAATCAATCATTTGAATGCCCGATCTAAGCATAGAACATATTGTGATACCCATATTGCTATTCTTGCTCATATCCTATTTATTCATAATTATACCTTATGGATTGATACTTATCTTTAATAAACAGTTTCATACATCGGCCAATATGATTCTTCTCAATGTTGTTATATGGTATTTTATATTGGATGTTGTTACTGCTGTATTTCTGTTTTTGACTACCTTCTTTCCCGCTGTCTTTGTCAGCTTTTGTATGGTGAACTCGTATATATGGAGTATTGCAGTTTGCGGAACGATCTATNTATTTATTCATAATTATACCTTATGGATTGATACTTATCTTTAATAAACAGTTTCATACATCGGCCAATATGATTCTTCTCAATGTTGTTATATGGTATTTTATATTGGATGTTGTTACTGCTGTATTTCTGTTTTTGACTACCTTCTTTCCCGCTGTCTTTGTCAGCTTTTGTATGGTGAACTCATATATATGGAGTATTGCAGTTTGCGGAACGATCTATTCTCTGGTGCTCATGTCGATTAATCAACTTTGTCGAGTCCTTTATCCCACGCGATTATTGTTCAAAAAGAAAAAATGGGTTTTGATTAGCTCTGGACTTGAATGGATTGTTGCTATAGTCATTCCAATTCCTCAACTTGGTCCGTCTACTAAGATAAAATTATGTTCACATGCATCGTCTAACTGTAGAGATTATTGAAATCTATGGCCTATATGAGTGCTGAATCTAGTGTGAACGAGAGTAACGATACATGTGAGCGAAGCAAAGAATTGCTTCTACTTAAAAGCACCCTGATTTATCTATCTCTTATTGGTTATAACTCTTCTTAAATTGATTTCAATAATTGAAAACTGGGTAAAAAAATTCAATCATCGATTATATTTTATAATAATCGAGTCCATAGAATTTGCTTAGAATATTTCTCTTTTTTTTTGCTTCGCAGTCTGGTGATATATTGTTTCCCCATCTCCTCCTCACTATTTATATATTGATTCCTATTACTATTATACCCTGCGTTATAATGTTTTTCATTCACGTGATCATTATTCTCTATACGTGGCGATGTGTTAAACGTTTGGCGCCTACAGCTAATACTGAAGAAACGCAAGCAACCTATCGAATGGCGTTGAATGATAGAGAAAAAAGTCTTCTGAACCATATGATTTTCATGCTTATTGCCTATGTTATCGGTTGGGTATCCCTTTATATTGCTAAAATATTCGCCTCAAACACATCAAAACTATCTACCATAGTAACCATATTAACTTCTCTACCTATTGCTACCTGTTGGATCAACATTATCGATATACTCGTGTATCATCATGAAATATGACTATATGTTAAAATGCACGTAGCTCGTTGGATCAAAACAGGCAATCTATAAGAGCCTCTTATTCTATAGTAAAAAACATCATTTTTCGCACTTAATCAAGCGCAAATATATCGATACCACGATGAAATCACTGAAGCAAATACAATCTGGCAGCTATACGAATGATGACGGTTACTCCTCGGATGTCTGAAGTTTAGACGTT